TAGATTCTAAAATTAGAAAGATACTAGTATTTAATTAAGATTATAATTAATTATAGAAATCTAGAGTATTTTATAATAATTAAAATATTAAACTAATAATAAACCTAATAATTTAAATTCCTATTTTATTTTAATTTTATAATTAATTATTGCCTAGATAAGTATAAAATAAAATTAGATAATTTAATTAAAAGATTATAAAATCTTTCTAAAAAAAGGAATAAATATTTATTATACTAGAATTAAATAATATTAAAAAAAGAAAACTTGACAAGCTTCTTACTTAAATATTTAGAAAAGTTATAGAGCTAATAAATACTATAATTAATCTAGCTCTAAGTTATTACTAGGAGGAAGTTAGTATACTTCTAGCTGCCTAAGCCTAAAAAAGAAGAGACTATCTAGCTCCCTAAATAATTAAGAGAGTACCTAGATAGGGATTATAAATAAGATCTAGCCTCTAATAATATTTTAGAAAGTCTAGAAAAGGGCTATAATTATTATTTATTAATTATATTATTTAAATATATTTATTATTCTAGACTTTTATTTTACTATAATTAATTATATATTCTTAATATAGAAAAATTAAAAATAAAATTAATATATAAATATTATAAAAATATAATTATTAATTATTAAAATAAATTAAAAATTTATAAATTATTATTATAATTATATTACTAGTCTAGAATATTATAATTTATAAAATAATAAATTTATAATTATTATATTTATAAATAATCTATATCTTATTAAAATAAATATTAAAAAATACTTTATTTCTTATTTATATTTAAAAATCTTTAAAAAAATATATTTATTAATTTTATTATATATTTATTCTAAAACTTAGGCTTTAATATTATTATAATAATAATTAATTAATTAATAAAATTTTAATACTATATTCCTTATAATAATACTTATAATATTAAGAAAGTTACTTACTTATTTTAAGATTATATTTAAAGATTTTATAGATTCTTTAAGTTTATTATATTTAATTAAGAATTTTAATTTATATTAATATTTTAAATATATTTAAATTATATTTTAAAAATAAGATTACTTTTATTTATTATTTATTATTTTAAAATTAATAAATAAATTAAATATATAAATATTATTTTAGAATAATATTTATAAATTTATATTAATTATTTATAAAATAATTAGATTAAATAATTATTTATAATAAAATTTATTACTAATAATATTAATTTTAAAATTATTAGATATTTTTTATTTTTTATTTTATATAATTTTAACCCTTATATAAGATTTAAGCTTATTTTATTTAATTATTATTTATAAACTTATAATACTTATTAATTTATTTTAATTATAAAATAAATATAGAAATATTATTATATTATTATAATTATTACTTAAACTTACTATAAATATTATATTAATTAAAAATATTACTCTATTAAATATTATATTAAGAATTAATTAATCTAATTAAATATTAAGAATATTATAATTTTATATTTTTAAAAAAAATTAAATTAGAAAAATCTAGATTTTTTTCTTATTAGAAAGATTATTAGCCTTTATATTTATAAATTAAACTTATTTAAGAATATAAAAATATATCTAGTATTTTATATTAAATTATTATACTTAATTATTAAAAATTTATTATTTAAATAAGAGAAAATTAAACTTCTATATATTAAAATTAATAATATTAAAAAATAAAAGATTAAGAAAATAATTAATTCTTATTAAAATTATTATAATTAAGATAGCTACTTATATTTAAAATATATTATTAAATAGATTAAATATTTTATTATTACTAAAATTCTTACTAGCTATCTAGAAAATATTATTAAATATATTATTATTTATTATTATTACTACTCTAAAAAGTCTAGATCTTAGGAATACTTTACTAGAGCTTAACTTAAGAAAAAGAATACTATTATAGTATAATTATATATTTATTTAATTAGATTTTACTCTAATTATCTACCTTTACTCCTATATTTAAGCTATATTACCCCTAATCCTATTATAGCTCTTTAAGCTATATCCTTATCCTGACCTAACCCTTACCTATTGTACCTATACGCAGATAGCCTGAATATACACCTTGCTGTTAGCTACACCTACTACCCGCCTGCTCCCCATGACATAGAGTAGCTTTAATATTAGTAATAATAATAATAAATATCTAGTATTTATAGCAGGCATATATAATATAAATAGTAATTAAGACTCTAGTAATATCTTAGTTCTTTAGAGATTTAGGGTAGAAATTAAGATATTAAGAAAAAACTTTTAATAATATATTATATAATATTAAAATTTTTATAAATTTTAGAAATATATTATAATACTTTTTATAATAAGGACTTTTAAATAAAATAGTATAATTAATAAATTTAATCTAAGAATTATAGATTTTTAATTAAAATAAGCTAAAAATAATAAAAAAATATATAAGTTAAATTATAAAAAAAGTAATATTTTTTTTAGTATAGTTATAAATTCTTTAAATTAAATAAATAAAATAAGTAATATAACTAGACTTTATTAGAATATTATTAAATCTTTTTAATAAAATAAGGTTCCTTAATAATAGTATCTCTAATTAATTATTTATAGCCTAATTATAGTCTATAAAATATTTATTCTTAGTTCTAGAGTTAATTATAATAAAGATTAATAAAATTTTATTAAAGATTTTTAGATTAATAAATAAGATTATTAATTTAGATTAGTAACTTTCCTCCTTTACTATTATTCTAGTTATTATAGCCTTTAATAAGTAGAGGAAGTACTAGGGATATTCCTAATTATAGCTTAGGTTAGGAATATTCTATTTTCTAATTTAGGGGATATAAGATATTTAGTAGGCAGGATTCTAATTAATAGGGGATATAGGTCTAGTTTAGTAATAAATATAGAAATATAGCTAGTTAGTCTTTAATTAGGATATAGATAATTACTTATTAGATAATTAGTACTATTATAGTAATAATATAAGTATTAAATTTAATAATTAAGATAATAAATAATAAATAGGTCTATTAAATCTTTAGTAGAAGTAATAGTAATAATAAGATTAATAAGAATTATAGGAATTTAGGTAGTAGAAGTTAGCTTTAAAATAGGTTAAGAAGGCTAGAAATTTCTTATAGATAGGAATAAAGTAATATTTATATAATAATAATAATAATTTTCTAAATTTTATAGATAATTAATAAAGTTATAATATTATAATAAGATTTTAAAGTATATTAATATTTCTTAAAATTTTTAGCTAATAATTTATTCTAGAATTATAGATAAGATATCTTTATTTATATTTTCTTTTAATATAAGATATTAAAATTTAGTAAAAAAGATATTAAACTTATAATAAATTTATTAGAAATAAAATAAATTAATATAAGTATTAATTTCTAGATTTAAGTTTTTAAAAACTTTTTCTAGAATTTTTAAAATTTTAATATAATTATTTAATTTATAGATTCTATTTTAGATATATAATAAGATTTAGATATATAAGGTTCTTTTAAGATAACTAGTTATATAAGCTATTTTATTATTTAGAGTTAGAAAATAATTAAAGTTTATAATTATTTTTTAGTAAATTTAAGAAATAAAGTATCTTAAATTACTTTATTAGTTATTAAATTTATTAGAATTAAAAAGTTATTTAGAGGTTTAAATAGTAAAAATAAATATAATAAGAGTAATAATAATAATAAGAAAAGTAATAATATTAGTATCTCTTTTAGAAGAAAATAATAATTAAGAAGGCATACTATTTTAAATAAATATTTTAAATAATTCTTATTAGATTTTTTTAGCTTATATTTTCTAGTACTTAATTATATTATTTTTTTATTAAATATAATTAAGAAAATTAGTAATAATAGAATATAAAATAAATAATTTATAGAATTTTTTTATAATAATAGTAAAAAATTAATATATTTTAATAATATATTATCTTAATTTATTAGGAGTATTATATAGAAGGGTTTTTATATTTTTAAGTAATATAGATAGTAAGGTAGATATAATAGTAATAATTAACTTCTAGTAAAGAGGAGCTATATAATATTAGAGAATAAAATTAGATTTAGATATTTATTAACTAGAAGCTAACTAGATAGAATAATAGAATAGTAAGTATTAGGTAATAAATAGGATATAGCTTGAAGAGCTATAATAGGATTAAGGATAATATGGCTTAAATATAGGAATAAGGGTGGATAGTCAAGGTAGAATCTAACTAGATAGGTACTACAGCTTCGCGCCGTGACACTTATAACTAGTATTAGTAGTAATAATTTTTTAATAACTAGAAATAATTAATATATTTTTAAAAATCTTAAGATAGGGCAGGATTATAAAGTAATATATTTTAAAATTTAATTAAAATATTTTAAATTAAAAAAGATATTAAAGAGTTATTAAGTATTTCTTTTTCTAGAGTAAGATAATAAAATTTTATAAAGTAAGTATTAAAGTCTAAATTTCTTTATTTCTAATTATAGAGATAATTCTAAGTATTTTAAACTTAGTTAGGGTCTTTAAATATTATTTCTAGATAATTAAGTAAGTTAGAATAGTCTAAAAACTAGAGAATATTAAATCTTATCTTAAGTAAGATTAATTTATAAGCCTTTTTAATTAGGTATCCTACTATATAAGTTAATTAGGTTTTAATAGCTAGAAAATAGTTTAGATTAGTATCTATTTTATTATAAATTTATTATATAAAGTAATAAAGATTAAAATAAGTACTATTAAATTCTTATAGATTAGGGAATAGGTGTATAGTCTAGGCAGAATCCTAGCAAATAAGTACTACAGCTACACACCATGACAGAGATAAGTACTTTATTTTATTACTTCTAATATCTTTTTACTACCCTTATACTCTGTATAGCTTTACTTTCTTTACTAACACTATCCATACCCAAGCACCTTGCCAGCGAGACACTTACATGATTACTGAGGAATTGGATATAGGGTAGTATGTATTATATTCACTGCCTGATGAGCTATGTCTTTTCAATCCACTGTGTCTGCCTTTTAAAATCTTCCCTCTCCTTGCCTAGCATAGATTTTAAGCCAGCTTCTCGTAACTCTGTAAAAAGCGCAACAGCGTCGTCATAAAGATGGATAGGCGTCCATCCATCCCTAGAAACAATATCTGAAACAGAATTCCAGAAGTCTTGCACATCATTCCACCCTTCACCTTCCTCTGCATGAATACGAAGCTCATCCTGCGTAAAATGGATTGGACATGGAGACTTGAATCCCAGTTCATCCCAATATCTACAGAGAATTAGACGAGTATTTAGGGGTAAAAAAAATCATACTAAGCACAATAGCTCTTGGATAGGAAATTGAACAAACTTACTTCTCAATTCGGATCAAGGATTCCCTCAAAGGCAAAATATCATTATCCCAGGTGTCGCCCACAAATTGTATAGGCTCGCACCTTGTTCGACCATGATCAAAGTGGAGAACTTTATCTAAAAGAGGCACTTGCTTCGCAATCTGCTTTTTGTAAAGGTAAAGGATTATAGAACTGCTCATTTCTCTCCTTACCCTAGCCTTCTCAGCCGGTTCAAGGTCCTTGAAGCTTGGGGGAGCTTTCAGAATAATTTCCCCATGATAATCAACTAGCTGGGGGTGGCGTGCCTGAAGTATTAAAGGCGCTGCCCATGTTCCTTGCCAGTCTATCACACTACAGATGCGACCCCTATCAACGAAGATATTGCCTGAATGGAGATCCGTGTGCCACAGATGAGACGCAATAACAGCAGGATCATCTGGAAGAAGATATGGGACAATCTCTAGGTACTTTTGAAGTAGTAAAATGTGGCTCTCAGGAGAATTTTGCGTTGCAGAAGTCACTAAAGGGTCATCCTGTGATTTGGGAATTGCATGCTGTTTTATCCATTCAAGCTCCCGACGAGCTAGGGAGGCGGCAAATCGTTGTGGTTGTTTCCCTTCAAGGAGTTAGAAGAGACTCAAATAAGGAAGAAGAAACGTACAGGGCCCACGGTCTATATCCATCATTGCGCGTTCTTTGTTCCAATAACCTCTTTCCACTACTGGGCCAATAACAAAGCGATTAAGCACTGTTTTTTTAACCTCTGGAGTCACATCACCAAAAACTTCAGCTCTTACAGCGCCTTGGATAGCTTCGGTAGCATAATATATATTGCCGTAACTAAGCCCTTGTTAGAGTCTGGGGGTGTAGTCTGAGCTTGATATGTATCATACCTATTGAAAGATACGGATATCATTTTTTTCTCCAGTAAAACAAGGTCTTTCATGATTGCTATCTTTTCCTCCAGGGAAAGATTATTCCATATATCTTCTAATTTTTCCCCTGGAGCTTCCTCCATAATTATATATTCGGACTCAACAGGATTTTTCACATCGGCGCTCCAGGCATATATCCGGGGTACAGGGATTTCTAGGATGCTACGAGCCTGTCATCATATTAGAATATACCGATCTCAAGATCAGAGAACTCACAAATTCCATCGTCGCTACTTCGGAAGCTGTCGTGTAGTGCTGGGGCCCTGCAATGGGATGAGGAATCCTTGCAATCACAGTCATTCCATTATCCATCATGAGCCTGAAAGTCTTGTTGAATGAGCCTTCCGCTAGCTTTGTGATTGTAACGCATTTTTTGGCTCCAACGCTGCTTGCGGCAACCTTCTGGAGCTCGGGTATATTAAATGGAGAAAAACGATCGCGAAGCTGCTGTTCTTCGTCCCAAAGCCAGCGACCGCTTGTGTACCGGAAGAAATCCGTGCATGACTGCTGCGTGCTAGATGACCTCATCAGGCGCAGACGTATACGTGATTGCGGGTTGTAAAGTGGAAGAAAGTTGTGTCCTAAGCAGACTTCTGGTGTGAACCTGAGTACAGAGAAATATCGACGGTAGATTCTTGAATATAAATGCGAGGGGTGAGGTATGCTGGGTGTGGAGTGTGAAAACTTAAGAGATGTTTTCATATTTCGTATCTGCAGAAATCTTGCCTTCAAGTAAGGTGGTCTGCTTTTATGGTTCGCCGGAGATTGATTTCCAGCAGAGTTCTAGGGACTTGAGAGAGTCAGGCGCACCGAGCAGAGCCCAGTTTGACGTACTTCTATCACTAGGGCATAATATCATTCGACAACGTTCTGTCACACTCAGTTAGTCGGCGAAGGCGAGGAATGGGGGGCCACATTTACGGACCTGAGTTGCCTCGGAATCTATGAAATTCCGTGCCAACGCTAGTCTACTTCTGGTTCGTTAAAGACAGTCCATGGTGAGTACTCCACCCACGCCGAGGGTTAATCCGTTCCGGGTTCCTGCCCACGCCGAGCTTATCTCTGCCTTAGGTACCCACCTTGAGCTGTAAGCCCACCCAATCACGCCTTCCAGATCAAGCCTTGGTCCTGGAAGCCAGGATACATATCAACCACCGTCTCACATTTTCACGGGTCTCCAATATTTCGTCCGAGCAGGTTATGCTATTCCTCGCTCACAATGTCGCCGTGTAAGGACGCCCCTGAGGAACGTCGCTTCGAGTACAACTGGATCGATAGTGCAGAGAACCTTGAAAAATATAAACCGGGTGGGTATCATCCTATCATGATTGGTGATGTACCACACAATTGATACCATATTGTTGATAAGTTGGGTTTTGGAGGTTATTCAACTGTTTGGCTTGCCCGTGACTATGGGCGCAGCCTAGCATATGAGTGACTTCATCATAACAGGTTAAAATAAAGTATAAAAAAATTCAAAAAATTTGAAGACATAAAATGGAATAATTAGTAATTAAATATTGAATTCTTATACAGAATAGCATGTAATTTAAAGAAACAAAGTTATTAATACATAATAGCATACTCTGTACAAAATTCAAACTTGTAACTAGAATTATTTTGGTGTTATATTAAGGGCCTTGACGTACTGCCAACCCCCCTGCATTCCACGTGATAAAAATTGATTACATTTGTTTTTCCTCTGTTTCTTTTACACCCCCAGCTCCTAATCGAATCTGAATTGGAAGACGCGTCCTCACAAGGTCTGTACACGGCAATCATGCCTTGGAAAGCACAGGTTTGCCCTTTTTGTCAGACTCGATATGCGAATAAACAAGGCTTGATAAACCATCTCCTCAAATATACGGGGGAATTGCGTATTCCGGCCGACGGAATACATGATGTCTTGGGGATCCAGCGCCTCTCCATCATGAAGCGTCACTTCCCTGCAGAGGAAGTCTCTTACCGCTGTCCATCCTGTTTAAAAGCCATCAGCGGTCAACGAAGGTTCACTGATCATGTTATTTATCGCGGGCATTACCGTCATAGCGAGAACCACGAGGAGAAGTCATCTCGGTTTGACCCCGAGCCTTTCAAGATATGGCGGCCGAGGGGCACATTTCCACTTTTCCGTCTCCCTCCCGGTGGGTCGAGTTTTATAAATTTGGCTGTACCAAGCATGTTGAATGTAAGAGCTGCTTTTACTAACAGTTTGGCGCCGGGGCCACAAAACAGAACTACGACAAATGGTATACAGAGCCGTTCTTTGTTTTCAAAGCGTCAGGTTTTCTGGGTGCGTCCAGAAATATTCTGTTGACCCAGTTAATGGCCTCCGGCTCCAGTATAACCCCTCCAGGAACCTACTCGCTCTTCTGGCAGTGAGTCGTCAAGTTTATCATGAAGCGCGTCGAGTCTTCTATCGCTACAATACATTCGTATTCGAGTCCAAACCTCTTCTTCCCATATTTCTTATCGGTATCGGGAAGGCAAATACGCTGCTACTACAATCTGTAGAATGGGTTAGCGACAGTGGCCTGTATGAGAATCACATAGCTGTTCTTAAGTCGTTTATAACGCGAAGAGATGCAGATGTGCCGGGACTGACGGATGTCAGCATTTGGAACGATGAAGACCACTTTCTGGAATTCATGCGGATAATGAAGTTCCCGGATCCAGTGTATCGTCCCAGCACTGATCGCCTACTGCGGCTAGATGCCGACGATGTGTCAGAAAGAGATGGTTATTATCGCTACAGCCTTTCTGTTCGCTGCTCTGAGAATGGAAGAAAACAAAACGGAAAGGCCGTATATGAATTACGCACGCGGAGAATGAGGGACGATGACCCCGTACGGATCGCTGCTCTCCAGGCTCTCATGGATCAAGCGGCAAAGAGCAGCAGAAGCAAAAGGAAATAAAAAAAAATATGGGCGATAACACGTCGAGGGATTGGTTTTTACTCTTGGTGTGATTTGTGATAGGTAGAATAATTGTTTGTAGCTGCTGTGTCTGCTGTTCAGGTCGAGTGGATGAAGACCTGCACGGCAATCAGTTGCCTCTACCAGTATCTATATTACTGATGTAATCTAGAAGCATGCAATCAGAGGTAATATACGGAGCAATAACCATCAAAATCTATAATAAATTCGTGAAAATCCACTACAAAGAGGAAAATCTGAGGGAGCCCTGCTTCCAAGTACTGGAGTTTTGGCGTACCTTCCAGTGCTATTCTTCTGATAGCATCTCCTTGGGGTTGCTCGGATAGGATTGAAAGCTTTCCTGATATACAAGTCGAGCATGCAGAACTACAGCGCAGGGTGGTACGCTAAAGGCCTCTACTTTCGCTTGCAGGCTGATATCGCCCCCGTCTAATGGGGTCTCCAGACAGGGTGACATCCCCCCGAGTTCTTTGCACACGTTCTGTGGTTATGAGTAGGAAAATCAGTGATAAATAAGTGGGATATGCATTAAAAAGGGCAAAAATAACAACAATACTGCAATTGCCAAGGTTCCATACAAACAAGCGCTCCATATATGCCAACAAGACCTCAATGAAAAGTCATAACTTTCAACAGAAACATTCAATCCGCAGATTCCATGACGCCCATGTACATGCAATGCAATGCAATTAGTTCCGGGGGTAGTCCCGGGCTAGCCAAAGTTCGTATTCCGTGCCAGCGCAAGACTCGTCGCTGGTGCATACAGACGAGTCATACGCGCCGTAGGTGTAAAATGCAGCCTTTTTATTCACGAGGTCCTCCCCAGAAACATTGGGAGGCAGGGCCTTCATGGGGTATCCCTCGTAGGCAATGACAGCTCCAGGAAAGATAGAAGCGACGGCTGCTTCATTCGCAAAAAGGGCCCCGGCAGTGTGGTCGCTATGATCACCGCTGCCAAAGTCATCGATATAGTTCTGCGCATTCATGTAGTCGGGATCATACTCGTTGATCATTTGAGTAAGGGTGTTGATTAGGTCCTCCCGGGTATACCTGGTGCCAGATTCATCCACGGTGCCAATTTCACCAATCTCCGACTTCCACAGCTTCTCCATACTTTCATAGCCAGTGCTCGCAAAGCCACTCCCATCCATATTTCCATCGGGCATATGGATAAATGCTATCGAAACCTGGTCGTTGTCTCTAAGTGTATATAGAGGGATATCCTTGCCCGGCACGCCAATATCTGACTCGTCCCAGTCATTGCTGACATCCACCATTTCTGCATAAGCAGCCATAACACCGGCTTGACGGCTTGTCCAGTAGTCCGCACCCAGGCCAGCATCCCCAGCTGTCAAATACACCGTCCGAACCATTCGCCCACTTTCAATGTCTATAAGCACATCGGGATTGAGGAACAGAAGGTCATCATCTTGATGGGCGACGATGTTTAGTGTCTTTTCGTCGCTCCTGCGGCCAGCAACAAACGAGCCAGATAGGGCATACAGGCCTATGGTCATGAAAAGAGTTTGAAAATGCATGGCGAAAATCAAGGCACTTGGCGTATCGAAATAAGAAACGAGAAGACTTGTTTGTGATCGTGTATTAATTATCACGCTTGGACTTGATCTTTCGCAAGTTGCGACGCTGGTGTTTTTATATTGGGCTTGGTCCAATTTCAGTTCCCCCTTGGTATCCAACTTCAGTCGATTCTTGTGATATCTTACATTCTCTACATAAGGGTCAGTGATGCCTTCAGGTTTCCCTCGAGCATTCGGATGAATCGGGCACTCTTTCTTTCCCGCCACCAGCTTTTACTTTTAGAATTGCAGCATATTTGCTGACTTCAGGCCTGCTATTGTCGCAAACAACCGCTCTCGATCAATATCAAACGGTTGGCATTTGGTCAAGCCAGCCATTCCGAGGAATGTCATTTGTTTTGGGCAATTCATGGATATTCATCTTGGGAACTCGGAGGCATGGTAAGAATGCGAGAGGAAACCCAAACAAGGCAATGAATTCATATCTATTAGTTAAGTATAGATAGGATATATCTAATCAATAACATAAACATACAATATAGACGCCTAAATGAAGAGCGAGATATTATTTAGGAAGTGTTTGTTCCCTGCTAATATAGTACATACATAAAGTAAGCCCTAAAATATAGGTCACTTTTCAACCTGAGCATTCTAGTGGTTATAATGAGAATTAACATACAAGCAACTGAATTTTAGAAGCTCTTCTCGCGCTTCCCACGCTGATATCTAGTTCTATACCCATTTCTGATCATAATAATAGTTATTGTTTATTGTTATTCCATGCAGGCAAGGGGAAATGACATGATCTACCGGACTTTCTCGGAAAGGCATTTTAAACAGACAGGAATGTCTAACTAACCATGCAAACAAATATTTTCCTGCTCTGAGGTTTCTAGAATACCTTTAAGTGGATAGAATAGATTTTCCATCCCAAACGAAGAACACATCTTTTGTGGAATGTTGGAATGCTTCTCACAGCGATTGACCCCTAGACACAAGCCCAAAGGGACTGACTCGAGCTCACAGAGTTGAGTTTAATGCAATCGCCCGCTTGAATCAGTATATATCCCTTTCTAAAGCTTTGATCCTAAAACCGTCTGGCATTCTATGGCAACCATCTGTCTGTGGCGTCTCTACTCCGTACAGCATGTATAAAACTGAACCAAGTAATCGCATACCCAGTTTTGCAGTAAAAATAAACACGGCTTTTTACAAATGTCATCAACGGAAGCAATTGAGGGTTGCGGAAAGAATATTCAAATTAAAAAGTAAAGAAATAAACAAAATAAATAAAAAACCGCTGTAATCCCGAACATATTTTGCGGCAGTCGGGGGGAAAGCTTCACAAATAGGCTATATCAGGGATGTCACCAAATAGGAGTCATCGTTTTCCAGCAGTATCACTGATGAGAAAGGCTCCATACTTATCCATTACTCAGTGCATCTATCAAGATCCTTTAGGCGGTTTTTGTATCCCACCAGTCCTTCCAAGAAATCACCTTATCGTCCCGCCGCGCTTCTGCAGCAAAAACCATCGCATGGCCGAGGACAGCGTCCTCCAAATTACCTCCTATGAAGCGGCATTGTGCCTCACTCGCCCACATCTCCTCATTTTGGACAGCCTCTATGGCTGCGATGAATGCACGGATGAGTCCGTAGTCACCTCCACCATGAGATCTCATCTCATGAGATGATTGTCGAGGCACGTCTATTACGGTTTTCTTCCTTGTTAGGAAGCAAAAATAAGTAATTGTATGGCTATTGTAGGTCAGTTCACCACTTGTACCGTACACCCGGCCTCGGCGAATGCATTCATCCTCCGTGTTGGCAATCATATGAAGCATAGCTCGTTTTCCAGGACTACTGGATGATACATCTTCGTCCCAGGATAGAATTACAAGCTGGTCGTCACAAACATCGTTATCGCTCTCGTAAACACACCTTCCGTACCACGGACGCGCCGCGATAACCTTATCTGAGGTGGTAGAACGATCGTAGTCTTCTGCAAGTTTGTGTAAAAGGGTGGTACGAATCATTTCGGGCTTTGCAGCCTTCATAAGATCCTCGATATCATGAATAACATTCTTCACCCAGTGAGGGTTCCCAATGGCAACTCTATTGTCGTAGTAGATATTTGTACTGCACTATATTGGCACTCGCGCTCAATCGGGCAGGAAATACAATTGGTAGTACCGTTAGCTGCAGCTGGTTTCCTAGGCCTGCGGAACTGACTCCGGGATCCCATCGAGGCTATGGATTCGTGGCAAGTGAGGTTCTCGCTGTGTTTCTTCTGCAGGGACCGCGAGCAACCAAAGCAAAAAGTCAATGTCGTGAGAACACTTTGTCAGTAAGGATCCGTCGCGGTTCTTCGTCTCTCTGCGCCAGTTTCTACGGACATAGCTATGCGCAAAATGCCACCACCCTACCGGCTCTACATGCTCGATTGAAAGGAGATCCCCGATGGCTTTGTCGGTTAAAAGCAGCTTCTTGAGCATAATGTTGTGTTGGACTATACTGCAACACGTGTCCAACAGAAAAGATTTTTCCGTGAATCTGTTGAAAAGCCCGATATATAGACAAACAATCTTCCAGAGAGGTCGCCAGAGGCTTCTCACACAACACATGTAAGTCCAGCGGAGCGATAGCGCACATAATATCGACATGTGTCTCATCCAATGTACAGACCAACACTCCATCAACCCCATCAGGGACAGATTCACCGAGCTTTTGCCTTCGCCGCCGGTCCGTCTCCCCCACACACCATTCTTTCCAGCCTGTGAATTCCTGTCCTTCTGATGGTGTGCCGTCTGCGCCCCAGATGTACTTGCGACCGAAAGACGTGCGTCTGAACTCAACAGGTTCAGCTACTGCGTGGACCCCGGCCGAGGTGATTTCGTTAATTGGGTCTGCGTAACTGATCCCGAAGCTTCAGTTGGTTGGAGGACATCTTTTTCAATGCCAGTGGAAACGGAAGAAGCGTATTTATTCCACTGGAAATCTTCACGATCCTGTCCTAATATACGGGATCTTGCCGGGGACGGACAGGTCCTTTTATTCCCACAAAAGGCTGGGTTATTGATGAATACTGGAGTGATGGGTTACGCTTTGTGCTAGTATCTGGTGGTCCAATACATAACAAATTCCATAAGGAACTGGAGCTCGCCTTGCATGTCGAATGCTACTATATGATGGGACATGACTATCAACCGGGCCAGTGGAAAAATGGGGTAGTTCGACGGAGATCGTAATGAGAATCAATCAATAGGCCAACAAACGTGCCAGATTGAGTGGAGAGTGTACTCCGTATGGTAATACTCGGATATCTGAGAAGATAACTCTCGAAGCAGAATCTGTTTTATGTTGCTTATGGGGGATCTCTCTTCGACCAGATTGCAGGAAACCCTAAAACACGTTCAACACGCAATAAATTATATGTAGCCAATACGAATAACGGTGTCGGATCTCGATGATTGGCAATATAGATGCCATCACGCGTCTTCATGACGTACTTCGAGAAGATCATGATCCTTAAACTGCCGTGCAGGAACGTGTTTATCGAACAAGATATCCAATTCTCCAAAAGTCCGACCCTGACTCTCGGGAATCCTTATCCAGCACCAGATATAGCATACGAGGCTAATTGCACCAAAAAGGAAACCTGCCTTACCGCGCCAGTTTGCTTGATCGCTGTTCAGCATGTATGGCATGGCCACGGTGAACGCAATGCTGGCCGCAGCTTGTGCGGCGGTTGCAATCGCGATAGTGCGTCCCCTCAGCCGTGTCGATGAGATTTCGGAAATAATAACAAAGCAAATGGGGCCCACTGTCATTTGGTATATGAAGGTCCAAATATCCATCAATGATGCCTGCGCCCAAATCGCACCGTCGGGATGTGACCCGAGGTCCAGGAACCCAATTACAAACAGGATAACCGTCATGGCGAGCAGGCCGGAATTGTAGATTGTTCGACGTCCAAACTGCAGTAAGTGTGAGTCAGGTCCAAGACCAGTATGGCAAGGAATATCCCCACATGAGACATCAATGGCCACGAAAGACAGGTGCCGACAAAGCCCAAGGCCGTATTCCCGACTCCCACTACAGATGGGTTGGCATTATCCTATTCTAAAACGGCTGAACACTTACTATTAAAAGCATCAGAAGGATCTAGTCCAGCTTGCTCAAAAAAGTAGTTGGCATATCCAATCAGCGGATTCCCCCCAATCACTTGGATCAGGTAAACCATCACTGAGATTTCCGTGCGCCGAAGACTGACTCCTTTAAAGCAATCCAGATACGACGTATTGTCTTCGATTTCCCTCTCAATCCAATCCGTTTCCTCAATCATCTCTAGCATGCCCTCGATGTTTGGACGATGCGAAGCCGAGGAAAGTTTCAAAAGCGCTGCGCGAGCATCATCTTTCCGGCCCTGGCGAATCAACCAGTAGGGACTCTCGGGGGCGAATATCAGGCCAACAAGAAGAATAACGGGCCAGATCCATTGGATAGCAAACGGAGCCTTATATGCCCATTCATCAAGCCTACTCTCCAGCGCTGCGGCGCATCCTTGTGCCACAAATTGGCCAATCACGAACGCCAAATTCACGGACGCGGTCAACACCCCTCGTAGAGCCAGGGGACATACTTCGGAGGCATATGTGGGGGCAATACAGACATAGAAGCCCCAAGCTAGCCCTCCCAGCATCTCACCGGCACATAGCATACCGATTGAGGTCGCGAAGAACTGCACAAAGACGAACCCGATCGTCCATATGCAACAGACAGCCAAGGTCAACCGACGACCGAATTTTTCCAGCGGCCAGCCACTCGCAAGAGCACCAAGAACCTGGCCAATAGGGTTCCCCATGCCCAATGCTGTCTGCCATGGCGCTGATATGATGTATGAGCCCTCGTACAAGAACCCAAATCGCTGCTGAAATGCGGGCAACGCGTAGAACGAGGGGATCAGCTGGGCGTCAAATCCAGCCATAATCACGGCAATACAGAAAAACATGGCCCAAAAGATGGCCCTGGGATACTGTTTCGCAGCTGTCCAGAATCCGAGTCGATGTTCGGCTTTGGTGATTTCATGTGTCGCGTGAATTCGAACAATATCCCCAGACTTAACATCAGGTGGCAGACAGGATTCCTCCATTATTCACTCTCTTTGATGCTGGTCTTCTGCTTTCGTATACCTACAGTTTCCGAGGAATTAGAGGGGCGGTTGCCAACCTCCGAACAACTCTTCCGTGACCCAGGGTTAGGTGAACAGTTAGCATGCTTTTACTTCCCCCAAAGGCACTGCAAGGGGGGTGAGCCCTCTATTAGCCAAGGTCTGGCAATCAGCCGATCAACATTCTTGTCAAGATAGCGGATTTTGTGTATTGCGATAGTATCATGTATGTATACTATTTCACGTTGGAAAGCAGAGGTGGGGTCACACCAGTCATGAATGTCACCCTCCCCTCTTTCTGGCCTATACAGTCAGTGATCACCTGACACCTGGTCCCACCTGACGCCTGATTTCCCCTTACTAACTATTTTTTTAATAATTTTTAATAACTTATATCTTAATTAATATAGATTTAATTAAAGTTATGATAGAAGTAATTAACTTATTAAAAATTAGTAATTTAATTAATTATACTAAGATTATAAAAGAATTTAGTATTAATTAGATAATATTATTAAGATACTATTATAAGGTATAATACTCTAAAGACTATTAATATAAATAATAATAAGTTCTTACTAATTAATATAAAAAAAAATTAATAAACTATATTAATAAATTTACTAAGTAAGGCCTTTTTATATTTTATAAGATATTTTAAAATTTTATAAAGAAAATTATTAGTAAGAAGCTTAAAAAATACTAGTTTAAGTACTTTATAAAATATTATTAAAATAATCTTATTTTAACTTATATAATAATTATTAATATTATATAAAAATAAGCTAATTTTATATATAAATATATTTTATATTTTAAGTTATTAAATTAGAAAATATAATAATATAAGTTATAACTAGAAGATATTTATAATATAAATAAAAAAAAATTTTTTATTAAAATATTAATTAAAGGTCTTAAGATCTTTTTAAAGTAAAAATATATAATTAAAGGAGAATTTAAATAATATTTATAAAATAAAAATTATAAGTAAATAATTTTAATTATTTATATTTATATTAATAAAATCTTTTTTTTACTAGATTTTATTTACTAGATTTTTACTAGTAATATATAAGATTTCTAGCTTTAAAATTTTAATTTTAAGCTTTATTTTTATTTCTTTATTTTTTTTATAAATAATTAGACTAATAATAAGCTAGAATATATTTAATTAATTAATATATTTAACTATAAGATTAAGAATAAAATATATAAGTAATAAAGATTTTTTATTTTTAATAATTATAAATTTTATTTTATTATAAAATTTATTAATTACTATAATATTAATAAAATCTTATTAATAATATATTTATTTTATTTAATTTATTTATTATAATTACTTAATATTAGAATTTTTAATTCTTTTTTTACTATTTATAGTAAGAATCTTAAGAATTTTTTATATAAATTAATAGGTCTTAATTATATTATTAAATAGAATTTTTTTTATTTTTTCTAGCTAGTCTAGAAATAGATTTTATTAATAAAAAATATTCTTTTTTTATAGTAAATTATAGGAATATAATTATTAAATTTAGAAATAATTTTAATTTAATTTAATAAATAAAATAATTTTAGGCCTTTTTTAAATAATTTCTTATATTCTATCTTATAAGTAAAGAACTAGTAAAAAATTAAAAAATTTTTAAATTAAGTTATTATTAATATATATAATAAAAATATTAAAAAATTAAGCTTAATAATATATTATTTCTTTATAAAAAATATTATTCTAAAACTATATTATTAAGATTTTAAATTAATTTTTTAAAATAAGAAAAAAAAATATTAATATAAGAAATTTTTATAATTTAAATTTATAATTTTTAAAAATAATAATATAATTTTTTACTTTCTTTAAAAAATTTAATAGGCTTGTAATTTTTAAATATAGAAAAATAAAGTTATATAATTTATTAAAGTATTAAAGAAGTAAAAGAAGATTTATTAATAATTTATTAAAAAAAAAAAATAATACTTACTTAAAGAATAAAAGAGAAATTAAGTATTTTAATAAGAATTATAGTTACTAAAGATAGTGTCACGGTGCGAAGCCGTAGTACCTATCTAGTTAGATTCTGCCTTGACTGTCCACCCTTATTCCTATATTTAAGCCATATTATCCTTAATCCTATTATAGCTCTTTAAGTTATATCCTATCTATTACCTAATATTTATTATTCTACTATTTTATCTAATTAGCTCCTAGTTAATAAATATCTAAATCTAACTCTGCCCCCTAATATTATATAGCTCCTCTTTACTAAGAGTTAATTATTACTATTATACCTGCTTTATTATTTATATTACTTAAAAATATAGAAACCCTCTTATATAATATTCTTAATAAATTAAGATAATATATTACTAAAATATATTAATTCTTTATTACTATTATAAAAGAACTTTATAAATTATTTATCTTATATTTTACTATTATTAACCTTCTTAACTATATTTAATAGAAAGATAGTATAATTAAGTACTAGAAAATACAAGCTAAAAAAACTTAATAAGAGTTATTTAAAGTACTTACTTAAAATAATATATCTTTTTAATTATTATTTTTTTCTAAAAAAAATACTAATATTACTACCCTCTCTACTATTATTATTACTCTTATTATATTTATTCTTACTACTTAAACTTCTAAATAATTTCCTGATCCTAATAAATTTAATAACTAATAAAGTAACTTAAGATACTTTACTTCTTAAATTTACTAGAAAATAATTATAAATCTTAATTATTTTCTAATTTTAAATAATAAAATAGTTTATATAACTAGTTATCTTAAAGAAATCTTATATACCTAAATCTTACTATATATTTAAAATAGAATCTATAAATTAAGTAATTATATTAAGATTTTAAAAATTTTAAAGAAAGTTTTTAGAAACTTAAATTTAGAAATTAATATTTATACTAATTTATTTTATCTCTAATAAATTTATTATAAATTTAGTATTTTTTTTACTAAATTTTAATATTTTATATTAGAAAGGAATATAAATAAAAATATCTTACCTATAATTCTAGAATAGGCTATTAATTAAAAACTTTAAGAAATATTAATATATTCTAAAATCTTATTATAATATTATAACTTTATTAATTACTTATAAAATCTAGAAAATTACTATTATTATTATATAAGTACTACTCTATCCCTATCTATAAAGAATTCCTAGCCTTCCTAACCTATCTTAAAATTAATTCCTGCTACCTAAATTCCTATAGTCCCTATTAATCCTGTTATTACTGCTACTCCTACTAAAGACCTAATAGACTTATTTACTACTTATTATCTTAATTATTAAACTTAATACCTATATTACTATTATAATAGTACTAACTATTTAGTAGGCAGCTACTTATACTCTAATTAAAGACTAACTAGCTATATCTCTATATTTATTACTAAACTAGATCTATACCCCCTATTAATTAGAATCTTGCCTGCTAAATACCTTATATTCTCTAAATTAGAAAATAGAGTATCTCTAATCTAAATTATAATTAGGAATATCCCTAGCACTCTCTTTATCTATTAAAGGCTATAATAACTAGAATAATAATAAAGGAAGAAAGTTACTAATTTAAATTAATAATCTTATTTATTAATCTAGAAACTTTTAATAAAATTCTACTAATCTTTATTATAATTAATTCTAGAGCTAAGAATAAATATTTTATAAATTATAATTAGATTATAAATAACTAACTAAAAATATTATTATTAAGGAATTTTATCTTATTAAGGGGATTTAATAATACTCTAATAAAGTTTAGTAATATTATTTATTTTATTTATTTAACCTAAAAAATTTATAACTATATTAAAAAAAATATTACTTTTCTTATAACTTAATTTATATATTTTTCTATTATTCTTAACTTACCTTAATTAAAGACTTATAATTTCTAGATTAGATTTACTAATTATACTATTCTATTTAAAAGCTTCTATTATAGGAAGTATTATAATATATTTCTAAAATTTATAAAAATTTTAATATTATATAATATATTACTAAAAGTTTCTCCCTAATACCTTAACTCCTGCCTTAAATTTCTAAAGAACTAAGATATTACTAGAATCTTAATTATTATTTATACTATATATACCTGCTATAGATACTAGATATTTACTACTATTATTACTAATATTAAAGCTATTCTAAACCCTATTATTATTACTAAATCTAAACTATAAGAATAATTATCCCTTAAATTTACTAAGTTCTATAATATATTCTTACTAAAGAAGGCTAAGTACTTACTACCCTACTAATTTAATAATTATAAGATTAAATTACTATCTAAAAAAATTCTACTTTTTAGGAGCCTATATAACATATCCTAAGATAAATTAAAAGTTTTAAAGAAATAGATTAAAAAGAATTTAAGAAAAGATTTTATTTATTCTAGTTTTTTTCCTACTATATCTCCTATCCTATTTATAAAGAAATCTAGAAAAAGCCTGTAATTTTATATAAATTATTAAGCCCTAAATATAATTATTATAAAAGATTATTACCTGCTATTACTAATAAAAAAGATATTAAATAACCTAAAAAAAATAAAATATTTCTTAAAAATTAATATTATCTCTACTTTTAATAATCTATAGATTAAGAAAGGACAAGAATATCTTACTACTTTTTAAACTTAGTTAGGCCTATTTAAATCTTTAGTAATATTATTTAGACTTACTAGAGCCCTAATATTATTCTAGAGATTTATTAATAAAGCCCTATATAATTATCTAGATATCTTCTATATTATATATCTAGATAATATTCTAATTTATAGCCAAACCTATACTAAATATACCTAGTATATTTAATAAGTATTAGAATATTTATAAGTAGTAAGATTTTATATTAAATTTAGTAAATATAAATTTTTTATATATAAGATAAAGTTTCTAGAATTAATTATAAATAAAGATAGCTTTTAAATAAACTTTAATAAAGTAAAAATAATTATTAAGTAAAAAATACTAACCTATTTAATTAATATTTAAGTTTTTATTAATTTTAGGAACTTTTATTACTAATTTATCTATAATTTTTTAAAAATTATTAGACTATTAGTTAACTTAATTAAGAAAAATATTAATTTTAACTAGATACTTACTTATTAAGAAGTATTTAAATAATTAAAAATTACTTTTATAAATATCTTAATATTAAAATTTTTTAACTAGTTAAAAAATATAATTCTAAAAATTAATATCTTTAATTATATATTTACTAAAGTATTATTATAATATAATAATAAAAATATATTATATTTTATTATATTTTTTTCTAAAAAGTATTTTATAATAAAATATAATTATAAAATTTATAATAAAGAATTATTAGTTATTATTTATTACTTTAAAGAATAGTATCCTAAACTAGAAAAGACTTTATTACCTATAAAGGTTATTATAGATTACTAGAACCTAGAGTATTTTATATTAATTAAATTACTAAATTATTAATAAGTCTACTAGTCTAAATTTTTATTAAAATTTAACTTCTAAATATATTATTATTTTAAGAAGTTAGATATTAAGCCTAATATATTAACTAGAAGGTTAGAAAATCTACTTAAGAAGGGGGATAAATAATTCTTTTATTAGAGCTAGACTATTCTAAAATCTAAAAACCTGCTATCTAAGACTACTACTAATCTAAGACTAAATATTAATAGTTAATATTAAATATACTTTACTAAATAACCTGCTACTAATAAATTAATCTCCCTACTACTAATACTATAATCATTATTTAATAGAGCTTATCTACAAGATAAGAAGCTCTAGTTTATTTTAAATACCTTAAAGAATAGTCTATTAAGATATCTTAATATTATACTAGCTAACTATAGATATACTAGTCTATACTTAAGATATTAAGACTAACTTTATATGCCTAACTATAATAAGATAAAAGCTAAAATATTAAGACTCTATTATAAAAACCTTATTACTAGATATTCTAGAAAAACTAAGATATATAAATTAATATTATATAAATATTTCTAGCCTAGGATTTATAAGTATATTAACTAATAGGTTTAGAATTATTATTTCTATTACTAAATTACTTCTTCCTAAGAAGTAAAATAAAAAGTATTAAGATTTCTATTAATTTTTAAATATATCTAGTAAGATATAAGTATAAACTTTATTATATACTTATTATTAAGTAATAGCTATAATACTATTCTAGTTATAATTAATTATTTAATAAAAATAAAGTACTTCCTCCCTTATACTAGGATAATTAATATTAAAGAGATAGCTAATTTATACCTTAAATATATTTAGAAGCTTTATAGTATTTCTAAAATAATTATATTAGATTATAGAGTCTAGTTTATTATTACTTTTTAAAAATACCTAATATCCTGCCTAAAGATTTATAATCTATTATTTATTACTTATTATCTTAAGATTAATAATTAAACTAAATATATTAATACTATCTTAGAATAATATTTATAAGTATATATATTATACTTATAAGATAATTAGTTTAAATAATTATTAATAACTAAGTTTATTACTAATTCTATCTACTCTAAGTCTATAGGAGTATCACTATTTATAGCTAATTATAGATTTTATGTCATGGTGCGAAGCCATAGTACCTATCTAGTTAGATTCTGCCTTGACTGTCCACCCTTATTCCTGTATTTAAGCCATGTTATCCTTAATCCTGTTATAGCTCTTCAAGCTATATCCTGTCTATTACCTAATATCTACTATTCTACTATTCTATCTAGTTAGTTCCTAATTAATAAATATCTAAATCTAACTCTACCCCCTAATATTATATAGCTCCTCTCTATTAGGAATTAATTACTACTATTATACTTATCTTACTACCTATACTACTTAAAGATATAGAAACCCTCCTATATAATACCCCTAATAAATTAAGATAATATATTACTAAGATATACTAGTTCTCTACTACTACTATAGAAAAACTTTATAAATTATCTATTCTATACTTTACTATTACTAATTTTTTTAACTATATTTAATAGAAAAATAGTATAATTAAGTACTAGAAGATATAAGCTAAAGAAACCTAATAAAAATTATTTAAAGTACTTATTTAAAATAATATACTTTCTTAATTATTATTTTTTTTTAAAAAAGATACTAATATTACTATCCCCTCTATTATTATTATTACTCTTACTATATTTATTTTTATTACTTAAATCTCTAAATAACTTCCTAATCTTAATAAATTTAATAACTAATAAAATAATCTAAGATACTTTACTTCTTAAATCTATTAAAAAATAATTATAAACTTTAATTATTTTCTAACTCTAAATAATAAAATAACTTATATAACTAGTTATCTTAAAGAAACTTTATATACCTAAATCTTACTATATATTTAAGATAGAATCTATAAATTAAATAATTATATTAAGATTTTAAAAATTCTAGAGAAAGCTTTTAAAAATTTAAATTTAGAAATTAATATTTATACTAATTTATTCTACCTCTAATAAATTTATTATAAGTTTAATATCTTTTTTACTAAATTTTAATACCTTATATTAGAAGAGAATATAAATAAAGATATCTTATTTATAATTTTAGAATAGGTTATTAGCTAAGAACTTTAAGAAATATTAATATACTTTAAGGCCTTATTATAATACTATAACTTTATTAATTACCTATAAAATCTAGAAAACTACTACTATTATTATATAAGTACTGCCCTATCTTTATCTATAAAGAATTCCTAGCCTCCCTAATCTATCTTAAAGCTAACTTCTACTGCCCAAATTCCTATAGTTCTTATTAATCTTGTTATTACTACTACTCCTACTAAAGACTTAATAGACCTGTCTATTACCTATTACCTTAATTATTAAACCTAATACCTATATTACCGCTGCAGCAGCACTAACTACCTAGTAGGTAGCTGCCCGCACCCTAATTAAAAACTAACTAGCCATACCTCTATATCTACTGCCAAACTAGACCTATACCTCCTATTAACTAGAATCCTGCCTGCTAAATACCCTGTATTCCCTAAATTAGAAAATAGAGTATCCCTAACCTAAGCTATAATTAGGGATACCTCTAGTACTCCCTCTACCTATTAAAAGCTATAATAGCTAGAATAATAATAAAGAAGGAAAGTTACTAATTTAAATTAATAATCCTACTTATTAACCTAGAGATTCTTAATAAGACTTTACTAATCTTTACTATAATTAATTCTAGAGCTAAGAATAAATATTTTATAGACTATAATTAAGCTATAAATAACTAACTAAAGATACTACTATTAAAGAATCTTATCTTATTAAGGAAATTTAATAGTACTCTAGTAAAGTCTAGTAATATTACTTATTTTATTTATTTAATTTAAAGAATCTATAATTATATTAAAAAAAATACTATTTTTTTTATAATTTAATTTATATACTTTCTTATTATCCTTAACTTACTTTAGTTAAAGACTTATAATCCCTAGATTAGATTTACTAATTATACTATTTTATTTAAAAGTCTCTATTATAGGAAATACTATAATATACCTTTAAAGTTTATAAAGATTTTAATATTATATAATATATTACTAGAAGCTTCTTCCTAATACCTTAACTCTTACTCTAAATCTCTAAAAAACCAAGATATTACTAAAATCTTAATTACTACCTATACTATATATACCTGCTATAAATACTAGATATTTATTATTACTATTACTAATATTAAAGTTACTCTAAATCCTGTTATTATTACTAAATCTAAGCTACAAGAGTAACTACCCCCTAAATTTACTAAATTCTATAATATATTCTTACTAAAGGAGGCTAAGTACCTGCTACCCTACTAATCTAATAATTATAAGATTAAATTATTACCTAGAAAAATTTTATCTTTTAGGAGCCTGTATAGCATGTCCTAAGATAAATTAAAAGTTTTAAAGGAATAGATTAAAAAAAATCTAAAAAAAGATTTTATTTATTCTAATTCCTTCCTTGCTGTATCCCCTATTCTATTTATAAAGAAACCTAGAGAAGGCCTATAATTCTATATAAATTATCAAGCCCTAAATATAATTATTATAAAAGATTATTACCTACTATTACTAATAAAAAAGATACTAAATAATCTAAAAAAAATAAGATATTTCTTAAAAATTAATATTATTTCTACTTTTAATAATCTATAGATTAAGAAAGAATAAAAATATTTTACTATTTTTTAAACTTAATTAAATCTATTTAAATCCTTAATAATACTATTTAGGCTTACTAGAGCCCTAGTATTATTCTAGAGATTTATTAATAAAGTCTTATATAATTATCTAGATATTTTCTATACTATATATCTAGATAATATTTTAATTTATAGCTAAACCTATACTAAATATATTTATTATATCTAATAAGTATTAGAATACTTATAAGTAATAGGACTTTATACTAAATTTAGTAAATATAAATTCTTCATGCGCGAGATAAAGTTCCTAGAACTAATTATAGGTAGAAATAGCTTTTAAATAGACCTTAATAAAGTAAAAATAATTACTAAATAGGAAATACTAACCTATCTAACTAATATTCAAGCCTTTATTAGCTTTAGGAACTTTTACTACTAATTTATCTATAATTTTTTAAAAATTATTAGATTATTAGTTAACCTAATTAAGAAAAATATTAATTTTAACTAGATATTTACCTGCTAAGAAATATTTAAATAATTAAAAATTACTTTTATAAATACCTTAATACTAAAATCTTTTAACTAGTTAAAAAATATAATTTTAGAAATTAATACCTTTAATTATATATTTACTAGAGTATTATTATAATATAATAATAAAAATATATTATATCTTATTATATTTTTCTCTAAGAAATATTCTATAATAAAATATAATTATAAGATTTATAATAAAAAATTATTAGTTATTATTTACTACTTTAAAGAATAGTACTCTAAATTAAAAGAGACTTTATTACTTATAAAGATTATTATAGACTACTAGAATCTAGAGTATTTTATATTAATTAAGCTACTAAATTATTAATAAGCTTACTAGTCTAAATTTCTATTAAAATTTAACTTCTAAATATATTACTGCCCTAGGAAGTTAGGTATTAAGCCTAATATATTAACTAGGAGGTTAGAGAACCTACCTAAGAAGGGGAATAAATAATTCCTTTACTAGAACTAAACTATCCTAAAATCTAAAAACCTGCTACTTAAGACTACTACTAATTTAAGATTAAATACTAATAATTAATATTAAGTATACTTTACTAAATAATCTACTATTAATAAACTAATCTCCTTGCTACTAATACTATAATTATTATTTAATAGAGCTTATTTATAAGATAAGAAGCTCTAGTCTATTCTAAATATTCTAAAGGATAGTCTACTAAGATACCCTAATATTATACTAGCTAATTATAGATATGTTAGTCTATACTTAAGATATTAAGACTAACTTTATATACTTAATTATAATAAGATAAAAGCTAAAATACTAAAACTTTATTATAAAAATCTTATTACTAGATATTTTAGAAAAATTAAGATATATAAATTAATATTATATAAATATTTCTAGCCTAGGATTTATAAATATATTAACTAATAAATCTAGAATTATTATCTCTACTACTAAATTACTCCTTTCTAAGAAATAAAGTAAGGAGTACTAAAGCCTTTACTAATTCCTAAATATATCTAATAAGATATAAGCATGGACTTTATTATATATTTATTATTAAATAATAATTATAATACTATTCTAGTTATAATTAATTATCTAATAAAGATAAAATACTTCCTCCCCTATACTAGAATAATTAATACTAAAGAAATAACTAACTTATTTCTTAAGTATATTTAGAAGCTCTATAATATTTCTAAAATAATTATATTAGATTATAAAGTCTAGTTTATTACTATTTTTTAAAAATACTTAATATCCTGCCTAAAAATTTATAATCTATTATCTACTACTTATTACTCTAAAATTAATAACTAAATTAAATATACTAATACTATCTTAGGATAATACTTGCAAGTATATATATTATACTTATAAGATAATTAGTCTAAATAACTACTAATAATTAAGTTTATTACTAACTTTATCTACTCCAAGTCTATAGGAGTATTACTATTCATGACTAATTATAGATTCTACCTAATATTAGGATTTAAACTAAGCTATTCTACTATCTACCTTACTAAGAAAGATATTAAGAAGTTTACTAATATTATATATAAGATTTATAAGTTTATCTATACTAAAATCCTATCTATTCAAGCCTGTTATAAAATATAAGCTAATTACTAAAGATAACCTATATATTACTATACTATAGGGCAAGAAGTCTAGCTAGATACCTATAATATCTAAATATTCTACTTATAGAAGAAATTAGACTAGAAGAATTTCAGGCTATACTATATTAAGAAGATTATTAGCCTATATATTTATAAACTTAAACTATTTAAAAATATAAAAATCTATTTTATATTTAATATATTTCTACTTTACCCTACTATTAATAACCCTCTATCTAGTTAATACTTTAATCTACTACCACTTGTTAAAGTAGAAGGATTAGAAGAATAGGAAATTAAGAAAGTCCTTAATTTCTAATAAATTTATTAAGACTATAGTAAACTTAAGCTATAATATACTATTAAATAGATTAGATATAATAAGCTAATTAAAAAACCTGCTAAGTATCTAGAGAATATCTACTAACTAGTAAATAATTATTACTTCTATTATTCTAAGAAACCCTAGCTAATTCCTCCCTAGTCTTAACAGAGCTTAATCTTAAGGAGGGAGGTACTATCATAGTATAAAGCTATAGTATCTATCTAGTTAGATTCTACCTTAACTATCTGCCCTTATTCCTATATTTAAGCCATATTATTCTTAATCCTGTTATAGCTCTTCAAGCTACATCCTGTCTATTACCTAACACCTACTGTTCTGCTGTTCTGTCTGGTTAGCTCCTAGTCAATGAATATCTGAATCTGACTCTGCCCCCTGACATTTTATTTAATATTAGGATTTAAATTAAGCTACTCTATTATCTACTCTACTAAGAAAAATATTAAGAAGTTTACTAATATTATATATAAAATTTATAAGTTTATTTATATTAAGATTTTATTTATTTAAGCTTATTATAAAATATAAGCTAATTACTAAAGATAATCTATATATTATTATATTATAGAGTAAGAAGTCTAGCTAGATACTTATAATATTTAAATACTCTACTTATAGAAAAAATTAGATTAGAAGAATTTTAAATTATATTATATTAAAAAAATTATTAGCCTATATATTTATAAACTTAAATTACTTAAAAATATAAGAATCTATTTTATATTTAATATATTTTTACTCTACCTTATTATTAATAACTCTTTATCTAGTTAATATCCTAATTTACTACTACCTATTAAAGTAGAAGAATTAGAAGAATAAAAAATTAAAGAAGTTCTTAATTTCTAATAGATTTATTAAGATTATAGTAAACTTAAGCTATAATATATTATTAAGTAAATTAGATATAATAAGCTAATTAAAGAGCCTATTAAGTATCTAAAGAATATCTATTAACTAGTAAATAATTACTATCTTTATTATCCTAAGAAACTCTAGCTAATTCCTTCCTAGTTTTAATAAAGCTTAACTTTAAGAAAGGGGGTACTATTATAGTATAAAGCTATAGTACTTATCTAGTTAGATTCTACCTTAATTATCTACTCTTATTCCTATATTTAAGCTATATTATTCTTAATCCTATTATAGCTCTTCAAGCTATATCCTGTCTATTACCTAATACCTACTATTCTGCTGTTCTGTCTGGTTAGCTCCTAGTCAATGAATATCTGAATCCGACTCTGCCCCCTGACAGATAGAGTAAAAAAAATAATAAAAGAAGGATACTTACCTAGTAAAAAAAGTAGATTACTAGCTTTAAAATAACTTTTAGTAAGTAAAGAAGTCTTTAAAGAAGGTCTCTAAAGCTTTATACTAGTAAAAATCTATAAAAATCAAGCTAATAATACTTATAGAAGTCCTAGAGGCCCCTTTAATAGTAAATTATTAAGACTATAAGATCTAGCTCCTATAATACTTTTAGATTAATTAAAAACTATATATAGAGTCTTAATAATAACTATATTTATCTACTAAAAGATCACGCGATAATAATAATTATATATAATTGAATTGCTTCATATTTAATATTACTGGTGGTAGTGAAATCAGGCGTCAGGTAGGACCAGGCATCAGGTGATCACTGACTGTACATATCCTGCCACAATGGAGTTAACTAGTGTTACGGCAACTTGATAAGCTGGCCAAAGCTTCCAGACACACAGCACCGGCATTTCTTTCAGGAGATTACCGGACTGTAAAATTCACTCCCTGGTACGACCCCGGAGGATTCTCCCTATCTTCTCCGTATACCAACTGCTCAGATACTTCCCTTGCTCCCACGGCTGTCTAGATTTCCCTCTTGTTATTATACCCATCCCCTACAGCTGCTAAAGAACCTCGTTAACCCTTTCCGGCTCAGTGTGAGGTGACCGCTCTCATTTTCGCTTGGCCCGACATGTCATCCGAGCAGCTTTTCCCGCCTTCACTTATCTCATCCGAGGTGATGGCTTCGCTTCCAAGCGGCTACACCCTTCGGCCATTGCAGAGAGACGACTACACTCGTGGATTCTTGGACTGCTTATCTGACTTAACGTGGGTCGGAGAGTACAGCGAGGAAGATTTCTACGAACGTTATGACTGGCTAGCAACCAGCGGGAAGGACTGGTACTATAGTGTGGTGATTGATGATGGGAAACAAATTGTGGCGACCGCCACCATGATTGTGGAACGGAAATTGTACGTCTTCCCATCCCTCGTTAACTGTGAGACCTGAGAGTAGTTGCTGGGCCCTGGGTGTATTTTTTTGTTTATAGGCTGACACTGCTTGTTAGTATCCATAACCGTGGTATGATAGGCCACATCGAAGAGGTTGTGGTAGCCAAAGATCACCAGGCCAGAGGCTTCGGATTGAAAGTGATTCAAGCGCTCGATTCCGTCGCTATTGGCCTGGGGTGCTATAAGACTATCCTGGACTGCGGAGAACACAATGTAGAATTCTACAAGAAATGCGGCTATCACCCGGCGGGGACGGAGATGTCCCATTATTATGAACCCTTTACCACCGGGTACAAACGTGGTTAAAGAAGCGATCTTGCAGAATACGTCCATGTTCTTGCCCATCAAGATTGGATCAAGTTGCAGTAGACGGCCCTGTGCCAGTTGGAGTGTAGCCGCTGGGGTAGCATGGTTTAGTTGTCGATGTCAAGTAGAGATTGGCCCAAAATAATGATATGCTTCCCCTTAATACTAATCGCAGGCTTTGAAGGGGCACAGGGCTTTCCGAATAAGAAATCTGTCTTGAATGTTTTGATGGTCGTGGGAGAGGATGAGTAGCATCGAAGGATTATCTTGGATTTCCATATCTTCCTAGAACTGCCTGTTCTTTCTGACCTCTCCAAGTTCTTTCAGCTATATTCCAAGTATTCATTTCATTTTCGGCCTCTATTTCCAGGAATTTCATGCCGAGTCAGCCAGTGGACCACAGTTTGGCCAAAAATATTCCCACGCAATAAGAATCTCACCAGACAAAATAGTCCCTGCTAACTTGAAAAGCGAGCATTCCCGCAAGGAATAAATCAGCAGGATAGAGGGAATTTCAGTAAAGGAAATAAATACGCTGATCAATAGCGGGAGTTATTGATTCATTTCTGTGAACGCTCCATCGTCTACTCCGGTCCCCGTCTTCGGTTACCGAAAGTAGCACTGGGGTATATGTCGGCGAGATGGTGAACCCCCATTACCTACCTAGGTGCTGGGCAGTCTTCTTAAAGGCCTGGACATGAAAGGAGTATAACAAGGGTTACAGAAAACTAGCTACCCTGGGTTATTCTAGGCTTACACATAGATCCCTAACCTATGCCTAGAAATCGCGATGGCACAGGCCTTACATGAACCGTATTAACCATTCTCCTGAATCAACAAGCTATACATCGCCATAAAATGCAAACTGGTTGAAGTCATCTGCGTCGCTGGCCTCTGGAGGATGCTCCCTCTCCACGGAGCGAATAAGGGCCTCATGCTCAGGGCTTCGAGGGACCACCTTCACGTCAAATGGCCCGGGGTGACTAATGAGACCAGCCTGCCATTTAGGCTCTGGGGCATGAGGATCCTTGGGGGATATATCAAGACACGCAAGAGTTAGAGCGACGACTAAAAATACCTTTTCATCGATCAGAAATCGTCCAGGGCATATACGGCGGCCAAAGCCAAAGACGAATTTCGCAGGATCAGCTTCTGGCGGGTGTCCTTCACTAGCCAGGAAGCGCTCTGGCTTGAATGACCTCGGATCGTGGTAGACACTCGTATCCTGGGTGATTGCACTGTATAATTCACATTAAATCCTGCTGGGAGACCGACGGGTGGTAAGGCTAACGAACCAGATATTCGGCAGCAATAGCGCGCCCCTGGGAATGAGATACCCCTGATAGATCTCGTCTCGCTCAAGTATATGCGGTGCTCCTAGAGGAGAAGATGGGTGCCAGCGAAAAGTCTCTTTCACAATGGCATTAATATACGGGAGGCTGGACCGGTGCTCGAATTTCGGGAGCGTCATCTCCCCAATAACCTGATCGAGCTCCGCGCGTGCCTTTTGTTGAACATCTGGGTAAAGGGCCATAGCCAAAAAGAAACTCGTCACTATTGAGACGCTCTGATGCAAATAATCAGCCATAGACGACCATCATCCTGGCTAGGAATTTTACCGTATCACTTCCTCCGAGAAAAAATTCTGCCGCAGACCATTTTAATATATCCTCTTCGAGGGACCCGGGTTCGTACGAGCCCTGCTGCTCAAGTAGTCTGGAGAGCATGGATGACTCCAAGGAGCTCTGGGCCATTTTATGTTTAGCGAAATGAAATGGTAGATCGGTGAACTGTCGGGCACTATGGCCATATTCAGCTGCCTTCTCCAGAAACCCAGTGCCTGGTAACCAGGAGGGCACATGTCGCACTGCGTTGAAATCCCACCTTAGTATCATTTCAAAGCCGTAACTAGAAGCAATCCAGAGGCATGCAACTTACGTATAGGCACGAAGTTGACAAGCCAATTCCCTGGCGTAAAGATTTCTTCGAATCCTCCCAGCGCTCGTTGGGCGATCTCACACATCGGATCTCGACCGTGAGGCGAGATGGTGTAGCCGTACGCAGCGTTCAGCATGAACCCAGTCGCTTCCCTATCGGTCCATATCGTTAGCGAGCCCAGTCATCCGCTATTTGGGGCTCCAACTTACTTCCTGATAAGAGCGCGTAGTTCGTCTGGATCTGCCAGCACGCCAACTAAGAACCGCCGAACCGAAATGTCGAGTTTAGAGTGAAACCGTGAAACTAGTCGTCTCGTCCCAACCTCTACTTTGATATTCTTTCGGATTCCTTTCCAGAGCTCCATATTCCTTGCCGTTGCAAGACTCTTTCCCCAGCCTGCCCTATTGGGCCAATCAGTGTAATGCGCTGGAGACGGGTTATCACCTTCCTTACATTTCGGCGAACGGGGCATCTGGGATGGTCCGGCTGTGCGCAGATTTCCTCTCCATGAGGTCGATTGCCACATGAGCATTGTTAATGAGGATGATTATTTGTCCGAATGTTGTCAGTGAGGCAATTGGACCTAAAGAGGCGAAGGTTTCAGGATTAGCATCTCCCAAGTTCGCGGGCTCTTGTAGCCGTGATGGGGACATGGTCACCATATTGATGCAGGAACTTCTCAAAGAAAACCCATTGGCGAGCGCCCCTGGGAGGAAAGTCGGTTAGATTCCCAATTATCAGTTTTCGGGGCGGTCCAGGGGGTAGAGGCCCCAATGAAGGTGTGGAAGTAAACAGCCTCCTGCCGAGGGACAGTGCCGAAAACACAACCGCGAACACAATTAAAACTTGAAGCATGATTTCATCTGATGAATCGCTGGTGTCTGAGAAATAAACACCAACCGAGCAAGGCATATGGATTAAATACAGGACTTCCGGGCAGATCAACGAGGCCCTCCCTCACAACCCCGAGTTCCCGAGACTTCGGTCAGTCCATAACAGTGCCGGGATAAGGAAAGGGTGGTCAAAACAAGGAAAATCTGTTCTTGCTTTCCTATTTCCCGTAGTTTGAGCGTAGCAGTATCGGCGGGCGACTTGAGGAGTAACCTTGAATTACTTGTTATGGAGCAGCTCGTCCCACGTTAAATGAATAGCGTAAGCCACCATCTTAGGAAGGATCCTCCGTGCATGTCGTATGTAATAATATGTATTTGTTTTTTGAATTAGTTGCGAAGGATTCTCTAGGGCATTGCTTATCCGACTATCTTATTAGCCACCTGTTGTTCCTGTCAGCCAACTAGGTAGCCTTTGTATGGACTCATACGGACGATAGTAATCTCAATTGCACTAACCGCAGCGCTCAATGTACAGGAGCACAGGATGTCTCTGGGATTTTCTGGTCAACAGCCTATGTAAGTCCGTCTACTCTGTACATTGGGTTGGAACCCATCCTGGACACGTCACATCCCATACATAAATCTCTCCCAAGCAACGATGGCCGATGTACATAGCGGTGACAAGTTCCTTCCTACTACATACGACCGGCATGCAAAAAGATACGCACGAGCTACCTTACTGACTATCAGCATGTTCTTTTTGCCCATTGGTAACTGCGGAACCGGTTCCTCCAGGATTAATAAGGTATAAGGGATTCATTGGTACCACACAACATGTTTGAATATATTTCCCGCTTCTCTGGACTTTTGTACCGAAATATAGACTATTCGTAGCCACCAACGCCAATGGATTTGCTATCTATTAACGACTTCAAAATCGAATGTAATTAGCCGCGGCTTGGAACTCATCCGGGATCGATACTAACATCTATAGTAGCGATTCACTATATCAGGAACGTGTATCGAATCTGCACGAGAGGATATACTTGACATTAGGGTTTATTATATTCCTAACCTATGAAATGTAGAAACCAGGGGAAAATATTTTTGAGGGTCCTATGTCCACAATTAATTCCACCCAAACTCTGGTTATGATGCTGTTCAAGTTCCCAGAGGAGAATAATCATGCATCCACATGGTTAGCAGATATATCAAGCTAGGCATTGCGGTCGACAATCTTCTCGGTGATAGTGCCATCGGCCTGTTGCACCACTTTGTCAACGTGCTGAGAAGCTTTGACTGGGTTGGGTTGCTCGTAAACCCACTGTAGCTCTTCAAGTGTACGGCCTTGAGCTTCGACACTAGGAAAGAGTTAGTGATTATGTTTCTTTTGCGAGGATGACAGGTATGGGAACTGGAGTTTGGGGTTCTGTGCGCATACCCAAAGAAATACCAGCAAACGGCTTCAACACAGTCCCAGCCCACAAATACCCAAATATAATTCAGACCGATGGTCCTGTTGGCGATTGGGGTGCAGAATGTGTTGATGAATCCGAGACAACCAGTCAGGAATCCGTAGAAGGCCAAGCCCTTTGCACGTCTTCGGTTATCAAGGGCCTCGACGGGCACAACACCTTGCAAAGGGGTATAAGTAAAAGAGTTCACCACGTTGAAAAGGAAGTAAAAGGCGAGGGCTGCCCGGCCAGCCGAAACGTTATTTTGGTCCTCACCAAAGGCGTGGTTGGATCCACCATTAATCGCCAGCATAACCGCACAGGCAAAGGTGCCATATACCAACACCTTGCGGCGAGGCATTCGGTCAGTTAGCGAGACCGCCGTTCCGGCTCCGATCGCCGAGAGAACTGAATTGAGCACGTTGTAGCCGAGTTGCTGCGCCGTGGACTTTACTCCGAGCTCATTGAAGATTTGAGGGTTGAAATATCCAAGACCGTTTCCCGAGAATTGACCAAAAACACCCATCATTAGCACCTGTGCCGAACGCCAACGACCCTCGCGAGTGTCGAAAAGGCAGCGGTAGTCCCACCACGCAATCTGTCTGTCACGGATCTCCTGGTGGATACTTTCCCGGATTTCTTCAATCTCAAGCTGCACCAGACGAGAATGGCGGTTGCCGTTGCCATGGTATTTCACCAAAAAATCGACGGCTTCTTGCTCCCTGCCCTGGGCAAAAAGATAGCGCGGAGACTCCGGAATGGAATAGACCGAAGCTAAAACAACGAAGCACGCAAAACACTGACAGATGAATGGAACCCTCCATGACCAGTTATTGTCAATGTATTGGCATCCAAAGGTAACCAGGGCAGCCGGAATTGAGCCACCAAACCAACCGCAGTTATAGAAACCTGTGCAACGACCACGCCATTGGGGAGGAGCAATCTCCATAGAGTATGCCGGTGCTGCAACAGTCATAAACTGAATTCCGGATCCGAGGACAATCCGGCCAACGGTGACCTGGGCGAGGCTGAAGGAACTTGCCGCAATGATACTTCCAATAATAATACCGAACGAACCGAAGACCATGCCGACACGACGACCCCATCTGTCGCTGACGGCAGCTGCGAAAGGCGTCGTGATGATAGAACCTCTATAAGACATGGCCACCGTCAGTTAGCCCTAGACTCTGCCGGAAAGAAAAAGTGGTTCGCATGCTATACTTACACCGAATAAAGGGAAGTCATAACAGAGACCTGCCAGCCGTCATTTTGACTGTGCATAGTCATCTTGAAGTGAGGCATCACAGTGATGGAACCCATTAAGGATCCATCGTATCCGTTGGCACATGCACAGCAGAAGGCCACAAACACGCAGTCTAGTTGGTAAGTACACCATTAATTTTGTCGGCCATCAGGGAAAGTTGAAAGGGTGTGTTGCTCACAGTACAAATGAATGGTGGATGGGCTCCATCTAGGAATATTGGACTCCTGGATAGCGGCATATAGCTCGGCCTAAAAGCAGTGTTCCGATTATAAATATCTCTTCATCTGCATGACATGAATGGCACAGGGTCTGCAGCAGGGCCTCCACTCACATTATACACTTCCTTCCTCAGGGCGCCCTTATTTTCCGCAGTCTTCCCCGTGCCCTCGGCAATGATGGGAACAAGCAGATGTTCCTCACGGATGTCTTGACCAACCTCTTCTGTCTTCGTCATCCTGATTTGGGCCGTGGAGTCTGTTTCTTGGCCACGGCTTGTCAACTGGGTAGTGGCTTCTTGTCTGTAATGGCGGTTAGAGATGAAGTCTGGGCAGGGATGAGCCAGGGTTTTATGGCCCTGGCATTAGGTGCCAATGTCGTTCTCGAAAACGCCATATCCTCGTTTTGTTTCTCTCCCTATTCGCCAGCCGACAGAAATCCCAGCCTTTGCCTCAGCTGAGCAAAGACCTCGACATCCGGTGAAGCTCTCCGCCCTGTGAGAAAGGGCGGGTGCCGGCCCGAGACTACCGATCCCCAGTTCCTTAACAAATCAGATATCAAGCCCGGGGCGTTGCTCTCCATTTCTCCCCTACTTCCCCAGGAATTCTACACCATCAGATCCCCGCTCCGATATTGCAGCTCCTGAAGCCCTGCAGGAGTCGCAGGATTACTTAATTCGGCACGGCTGAACCGCCGTGCCAGACCTTATAAGGGGCTCACTCCCCGATCCCAACCCCGGATTATGATCATGGATTCTTGTGGAAGTTTTTCGTGCCCAACAATTGCGTGGCGCGCGGACACCCCGGGCTAGAAGCCAATTAGGAAACGGGATTACTTTCCTGTTGAATTCGTCCTTCTCCTGGGCGGCCAGCTCGCTTCTTTTTCTGCACTGCTTTTGTTGGGACTTGAAAGGTACGGAGAACAACAGGTGCCTTTATTCTGAGACTGAACTTGCAAGTTTTTGCAACGGCCAGACAGGCTGTTAGACACATCCACACACGGGATACATGTAATATATACATATACAAGCTCCCAAGATAAAATCTTCCCTGGGGTTTTGATTTTTAGCATATGAGCGTGTACAATAGTTGCGTATCTTCTTCGCGACAGAGATACACCTACTACTGTCCACGAACGTGTATGATAAAATAGAGAAAGCTATCAATGCAAGGCGGGTGTATATTCCACAGCTACTTGTATGAATGGCGAAGCTTGACAGTAGCCTAGAGCCTCAATTGCCCAGCATGGTGCATTTCAAAAATTGGGTTACTATAGAGGGATAGGAATTACGACTGCATAGAGAACCAACCCTATGAAACGAATCCACCGGTTGCAACCAGTTCTAGGAATAAACATAGAGACAGAAAAGGTATTTCCCGGTCCAAAGGTTTCTACCCCATATTTGCGCTCTTGCGGGAACTATCAGTCATTCCAGACAATCTGGTTTGTGACTGTGGTACACCTGAAGATGAAGGCAAGTTCAAGTTCAAGACGGCACTTTTATCATCTCCATCAACTACTGGGCCGCCTCTTTCGCACCCCAAGAACCAGTGTAATACGCTCGGATCAATCCACCTTACGGTTCTATAGCTGTTCTCATGGTTTTCCAGAAGCCGAACCCTGACTCTCTCGTCGAGATCCTTTCCTATACGGTGATGAGCCCCAAGCCCCGTCTTGATCAGTGTCCATGAGAGTCCCATTGACCACGAGGAATATTGGTGGATGTCACATCTATTGGGCATATGCAACTTGTTGTAAACCCGAAATCGCCGCATTCAATACTCCGTACACCCCTTTTTAGGCCTTGCCAGGACCTTCTTCGTTAAATGAGGTAAAATCGTGCTGATCTCTGCTAGCGGCTAGAGACCATTCGCTGTCTCTCAAGTTACAGCCAGCGCTCCTGGATGCACCGTGCAATTAGGACCTCCACTAGTCTCATTTTGTCATTCGAGTAAGGGGTGATCAAGAAAGAACGCACGGGGATGTATGGAGATATGCAGGGTAATCAATCCCTTCAGGCAGGGAAAGCTCGTATAGAACATTAAAGGAGCCAATTGGTGGTAGTCAGTGCCCACCTTCTTTTACAGATTGACCATACAAAAGCTGCGTGGGATGTTCACTAGTGGAGCTTGGAGATACAGAAATAGACAAGTCACCCTGTGAAAGCCTTCTTCTTTGTGTCTATTCTTTCTTTGTTGTGGATTTTGTTTTGCAACTGCCCTTTCGCTATTCTTTTTTCTACCTCTACAATGTTGCTTTATGAATCCGAGAGACGTTGCTGCAAATCGGCCATCAGGTTTTCAGGCCATGTTCCAGATAAAATGCTGTCCTTCTTGACTTGACTGGTTTTCCTATCACCTCACATTTGCAAGTAATACGTACCCACCCTCCTCAACAGACGACGAACCATGTCCCACGCCGTTGACATTGACCCTAATAGCGCTCCAGGACTGGCACCGCCAGCAGGACAGACCAACAACCTCGATAATCCCTACTCTCTTCAGAACTATACGTCTGCAACAGCCGGGGTCACTGTATCTCTTTCAACGATCGCAGTTCTTCTTCGTGTATTCATGAAAGCCAGGGTTTTGCGCAGGGTGCAATTGGAAGAATATATTCTCATCTTGTCTCTCATCGGGCTCTACACTTTCACGGGCTTTATAATACAAGCAGTACATATGGGTCAAGGCACTCATCAATGGAATGTATCTGTGGGACATGTACAAAGCGTTATCAAATTGGCAAATATCCTCGAAATCATATACTGCCCCACCATCCTGGGTGCCAAAGTGGCTTTGCTCTTACAGATGAAGCGAATGTTTGTCGTCGGCAAATATGGGAAGCTTTACTGGCTGCACGAGATACTGCTCTGGACTAACGTCCCATGCTATCTGGCCATCATGCTAAGCTTCGCGTTGGCCTGTATCCCTCGTGAGAAGCTATGGAACCCTGAGCTCCCGGGTCGGTGTATCTCCTCCACTGGGTCTCTTATCGCTTCCTCTGCTCTCAATGTGCTGTCCGACATGACTATACTGCTACTTCCACTGACAGTTATAATGCGGCTTCGTCTTCCTCCTAAAAGCAAGCTGATTCTGGGCGTGGTATTTGGAACCGGTGTTCTGTACGAAGACCCCCAGCCAAGAAGGGTTGAAGCTAACAAGGCGCAGAGGATGTATTTCTAGCGTATTTCGCCTGATATACAGCATACTCTTAACGAGAACCGGGGATTTTACCTGGGGAATTGCCCCTGTGGGGCATTGGGCGTAAGTACAGAACTGCCTCTTCCACAGGATGATACTCCAGGGAGCCCAGTCGCTCATTACCATCCAGGCTCGGCGAGATTTGCTCTGCGATATTATCGGGGGCAATCCCGATGCTTCCTGGCTTTTTCAAATTCGTTCGGGGCCGGAGTACATCTCAGTCGCCGCCTACATACGGCAACACGTCCAGCTGCACCCGGCGAGGTCGAAGCACACGCACGGAGCCAAAGGGGGCTGCCATCACCGATCCCAGCGCCAACGATCTCCATAACTGTTACTATGAGATGGGGGTCATAAATGATGCTCATGTCAGTGCAGCGTCTCTTCTCAATCCTGATGAGGAACGTAATTCTAGGTCTGGTATTATGAAGACCATCCACGTTCAAACGGAATATATCCACACCTGAGCAATAACTTTGAATTCGATTTTTCTACGCTGTTTCTTTTCCATAATGGACCAGTTCTGAAACATGATTTTAATACATTCATCTCACATTGACTTTACCTGGATTGAACCCATACCGAATTCCTTTTAGGGTTAGGGTTTCGTTTTGCGATGAGTGGATATAACATAACCAACGATATATATGGATGTGTTGAATAGCCTAGTGAGTAACTAGTTAAACACTCGCAATAAGCTAAATCGTATATTCTGAGAGCAGCCCTTTCTCTACGATCATGACAACTTTGCCTAGAAATGATTCAATTCAATTACGGACAACTAACTATTAACTTCGGTCTAAAGAGGAGATGGGTTTTTTTAGCGGGACCCCGACCTTTCCAAGGTTCCGATTTGGCCACGGAAGGATTGGGAAACAAGCTTCAGTAAAGCAATGGAGGGTAACATCGCGTTCTTTTAGTCGGCTCTCGAAGATAAGCGGTCCTACCTTCATCGAATCATGGAGTTATCCACGTTAACTGAACAAGCCGATGGAAAGGAAAGGATAGGCCCTCACGCTATCAGGGAACAACAATAGGATCCCCTTGCCGTCCTTGATGTCACGGACTAAATCCCCCGATTGGATCGTCCATCACACTCGGATTCCGGCCGTAAATGAGATTCCATGCCATTATCCCCTCATTAGCGGCCGCAAACAAATGGCATGTGCATTGATTCAAGCATGGGTCCATTGTGAGCCAGAAAATTGCCTCGCCGCAGGAATAGGAGACCGGTGGTTGATAAACTGCTGGGATGGTACCTATTAAGCGGAACAGCCCGCTGCTAAAGTCATCAATCAATCGTACTCCGTATAGAAGCATCTATTTCGGATCCGACAATTCAGCTTTGGTTTCAAAAACAATTGGCCACCAGCTGGCGGGGCGTGGCGTCGGGACATTCCTGGTATCACGACTCAGAGTGGACGGAGTGGGCCCGCAATGGAACGGGAGAAACGGATTTTCTTTGGCAATTAGGAGATATTTAAAATATCTAATAGTCAGAGACAAAAGGTAATTTCCCCTGCATACAGCAATTCCGAACGTGGAAAAAAAAAAAAAAAAGGAAACAATGCATACTCTGCCGAGGACATTATATGTACAAAATACTACCAACATAGGGCGTAATTTATGAAAGGGCCCAGCCATGGGATTCTTAACCATCCAAAGGACTCTGGCACACAAATGATGTTGCGGTGCTAGATTGGAAGGCTGAAATCAACACCTCAATAGCAGAATAAGCGCCCAAAGCTGCAAGCACCAGCGCACCAAAGAAGTAGAGGATGTTGAACATGCTCATAGTCAGCCTTTTCCTGTCCATCGCCGCGAAGCCACGGAAAAGACGCTTAATTCCAGAATCATGTCGAACGGTCTCGCCGGTGTTGGGGTCGAAGCCTTCACCAGTCTGAAGGGCAGCGCGCTTGATCCAGTAGGCAGTAGCCAGCATGGGGGGGAAAGTGTAGGTAAACTGGAGGATACAGAACGCGGCGACCACAGAAGTCAGGCCCGAGAAGTTCGGGATACCTGCTGCAATTACAAAGGCGATCCCCCAGTAGACCGGGATCATACCGGCCCACACGACCTTGCCCGCTCTGGTGTTCAAGGGGGGTGCGTGGAGCATTTCGACAAAGATGTTATTGTAGATCACTGAAGGAGACCGGTTAGAGGAGGTGCTTGGGATAATCGAACCGGAGTGAAGCAGACAAACCTTTAATACCAATGTTACCGTACAGGGCAGCGGCAATGACGGCGCTGATCATGGCAAAGACGTTACCCGCGGTCTGGATGCTGTACTTGCTGATTCCCAGATAGCTAGGATTCACAACATACTGTCCCTGGTATCCGTACATGAAAAGTCCGTAGAACATGTAGCAAATGTAAATAAAGAACTGGGCTCCCCACATAGCGGACAAGAAATCCTTAGGTCGCTTCATCTCGGCCATGAACTCGGGGAACACCATAGCACCACCGTAGGAGAAGACAGCCTGCATGGCACCACTAACAGAGCCGGTGAAGCCACCAGAATTCGGGAGGCCACCGCTCGTGGTCACCGCGGGGTAGACGCCATTGACGGGGGTGACCAACAGACCACCGTCCAAACTGGCGCCCGCAGACTGGGAAGCAGCGGCATAGTTGGGAGGCGAATGGGCCGCTCCACCCATACTGATAAACATGCAAATGAGGTTCAGCCACACGGCCGCATTCGCCAGCCATCCGAACTTCTGGAGGGAACGAATCTGGCCCGTGACAAAACCGACCAGGGCCCAAATGAGACAGCAGATGATGAAGCAAAGCTTGAATTGAGCCGCTTGCGAAAGCGCCTCGCCGTTAGAGATGACAATCAGGCCGACGTTGAGCAACAGCTGGAGGCTCTGCAGGATGTTGAACATATAGCGCACCCATCGTCCATAGAGACGGAAGCCCATGTCACCGAAGCTGCGCAGAGGGAATTGATATGAATCAAGACCGAGGAAAGAGTCCCAGAGAAGATAGCCCGAGTAACCGGCCAGACCGGCGAACACAGTGAACAAAGCCACGCCAGGACTGTGGAGAGAAACAAAAAAAAAAATGAGTGTTGGTCTATATTATCACGGTGGAGGGTGCAACTTACCCCCATCCCATACTTGCAAATGCATAGGGGAGACCGAAAGGACCAAGAATATCGGTGGTGATCAGATAGAAAGCGGCGCTACGGGTCGCTGTACGGAAGGCACGCGATGCATTGGTCCACTCCTCATCCGTAATCGTAAATCGCGTGGCAGGATCACTGGTGTTGATGGTCGTGGCATCACGGGTGACGTTGTTCGAAACCTGCTTAACGCCTCCATCGCCCTTGCTGGGAAAAATGATGGACAGTATGCCTTTCTCGCCTTCATGCTCGTCCGCGTGCTGGTCTTCCTCGGCACGAGTCAACTGTGCGTAGTAGTAGTACTCCTCGAAAGTGACAGTCGAGTCATGCGGCTTGCGATGATGGGGCTTGATCGCCTGGCCATCAGTCGGGGTGACTCCATAGTCTACGGCATCCAGCACATCACGCTCCTTCTCATGAAGACGCGGGTCACCACGGTCCAGCACAAGACTGGCAGGCTGAGCCATTGTGGGACTAAGGTAAAGGCAAGACACCGAAGATGGAGGGGGGGGGGGTAGAAGGGGAATTCCAAAAAAGAAAAGTAAAAATCAAAATGGAACAGAGTAAAGAAAGAGGATGGCAAAGAAACGAACAAGCCGAAACTCCGTGGGACCAGCTGGAGGATAAATAAATAAGAGCAAGAGCAAGAGTCGGCGCGTTAGGGTTGTAGGGTTGAAGGGCCCATGAGACGCGAGGCGAACCCCAACGCCATGAGATTGCGATATTATCTTGATAGGATAAGAGGCGACTTGTGATAATGCAAGACTTCGAGGATAAGAAAAAAAAAAAAAGCATCCCCCACATGTGTCAGTGGCGGGAATGGCGAGCAAAGTCTAAACCCTCCAAGCATGCTTCTAAAAGTCGGGGACCGGCCACTGGTGGACGCGCTCCACCGGATGGAATCATTGGAATGGGCATAGAAGGGCCCGCTAGCACGTTGTCTCTGTCACAGGTATTATTCACAGTTATGAAATATTAATTGATGGACAGATAAGAGACGCAAACCCGGGGAAGTTGAACCACGAGACCATAATTCGGTCCATGCTTGAGACCACCATCCAGCAGGCCACAGCTATTGGTTCTACCTCATACGATGGCGAGAGAGATAGAGGAGTTACTCCGGAGTCCTAGCTTCAGATAGCAGCCATAAGCAAGGATATTGTCGGCGGACCATATGAACCTCCATCTATATCAAACTGTTGGCCATAATACCCCAGAATTGCCCGGCGAGCGATGTCTGTGCCCCTGATTTGACGGCTAGTGACATGGATAGCTCTGGATTGCGTGATGGCCAGCTACGGAGTAGAGAGGTCTGTTCCTATCCAAGAGATGTTGGCGATTGGGAGTGAGAGTCGAGACCAATGTCATCAAATTAAGAGCCCTCAAGAGTCACCTATCAGAACAGTGCCTCTGTTAGGGTTAAGCTCCCTCCTCCTGCTCTTTTTCTACTCCTATCTCGCAGCGTAAACCATGGTTCTAGTTAAACGCCATTGAAACCAATCACATGAGGTCTGAGGGAAATAATCCCAATTATCCATATCAACCGGTCTTGAAAGAAAGATGTCTTTCAGAATCAAGCTCTCTTCTCGGATATAATCGGCAGGAAAATGTCTCATCCCCCATGGCGATATCAAGCCAGGAGCATCCACTGGCTAATCTTCCTGGGAGTCAACGTAGTATTGGTGGCGGCCAGGATTAGTTTCACCTTCCTGATCCAGTCAAGCGAAGAGGGGTCTTTAAAAAGGGTCTTTTCAAATCAGAGGATGGAAATGCTCCACCTTGGTCTGTTCCCGCAAAGAAAAAAGCTTGACCGATGAGCACCAGGTTGGATCCGGTTTAGAGAGATAGAGCTTATCCTGGATCAGGCAAGTGCGTACCTATGTATACTCAAACTATGTTATTTGTTCCATCAGGTGGGAAGAGGGAAGGGAAGAGGGAAGGGAAGAGCCGAGGAAGAGATATACATGATGGGATTCTCTCTCTATGTCTTCGCTCGCCTTAAGCATATCTTCACCAAACTTCCCGGGGCAACAGCAGCAGAAATTTCGCCGCCTACTCCGTACTAAGGTAGTATTTCCAAATCTATATTTATCATTTATATTAATCTATTCAAAATGGACCATGGTTCCGTTCGGTGGAGCCGAAGGATCCCATCAAAAAGCTTAGGCAGGGTGTCAAGCCTTGAACTAGTGAACTAACTAGAAGATTGAAAAATCATACGCACTGCTAGTAATCGACGGCCAATTCTTGGTGTTTCTTATTCAAACGCAGTTGCCACCGTATACGAGTCAAGCCCGGGCGGGGACTGATTCCATCTCTCTCGCAAATCAGAGGGTTTACCGCGCTGATAGACCTTCTTCCCATCCCGTAAATTTCAAGGACATATCACTGTGCGCACTGTGGATTTGACTCAAAAACCAGTCCCTCCAGAACCAGGTAGGTCTATCCAACTCATATCTCCTGTATTCCAACTGGAACAGAAAAGCTGTCCGTGTGTGTTACTCTCACGCAGTCTATTAACCTTTCTTATATCAGTAGAGAATTCTTGATGACTACTGAAAATTGGTAATGGTAAACGAGATTAACAAGTATAGACGGTATTTATTCCTGTTATTCACTATTTAGGCGGATATTCCCCGTTTATTATTTCTGTTTTCATAATAGGGGCCGTGCCACGATGTCTATAGAAGGGGGATATACCCCGTACCCTGAAAGGTATATATGATGCCTGATAAGGGAGATTCGGCATAACCAGCCACAGGAGTGGTTATAGTGGTCTCTTAGCCTATATGAAGCATATGTTGTAACTGGAAGAGTATACAGCTACGGAGTAGTTTACTTGACATGTCTGGTTTATGATTGGTGGTCCATGAAAAAAAAAAAATTCAAATCAAATCAAATCAAACAAGAGCATTTCTGACTCGGCGGCACATCCTATGAATACAGTTGACGAGCCGGGAGAGGCTTGTTGATGCCACCATCTGAACCGTATGTTCCCGGATATACAGAGATAACTGGAAGCTCAAGTGATATCTGGCGCTTTTCCGGAGGGTGACCGTTTAACGAGACGACAGCAGAAAAGCTATCATAGATAGATACATACAAAGATGTCTCCCCAGTGTCGCTAGGTCCTGTCGTGTCTGACAGAATATTGATGAATTGCGATTTTTCTTCCGGTATATAGACTTGTTAGCTGCCCCGTTCGCTATTAAACCGGCACATCAGTCTCCCACGTTTGAATGATATGCGATTCTCCTAGTGCCCCTTTGAGTACCAGAACAATGTCGTCAATCGTTGACAAGAATTTGAGGTATGCACTGATGGCCACACAGTACCGGCGATAATTTTCGTCGCGAAATAAGGTGGTGCTCAATTCGGCCGCCCGATTTCGCGAGTACCACGCATTGTAGCACCGTTTGATTAATGGGGTGGGCAGGCGTTCGGGTAACGCAATACCGGATTTGAGGGCCTGCTCGATCACGCTTAGGACGGCCATGATGTCCCCGATATGGTCGTCATCTAACATGCCGGTTGTCTGCGCCAGCCGCGTTTGAAACTCTGGTGGAAGGGTTGCGGACAATGCTAGTAGTCTGCCGAGGCTCTGGTTCAAATCCTGGCACAATACACGCGTCTCTGCTAGGGCTTGTTGGTTGAACGGGCCGAGCGTCATTTCGAATTTCAGCACGCTGATGGAATCCTGGATTGCCATCAAGCCTTCCGCAACTTCTATGGAGATTTTCTCGGCAACGGGCCCCAGGAAACGGCTCCCTTCCGTGCGTCCCCAGTGCGATAACAGGAGCGCATAGTGATCGGACAGTGTACGCATTGTGTTGGAGAGTGTCTTGCAGACATGTCGCGTTGCCGACGGCGGCCGAGGAAATATCTGCACAATGAGCGCGGCGACAACTCCAAGCAGCACGGTCACCAGGCGCTTCCAAAACGCCACATATCCGCGACCGGGGAGACCGTATTGCTGCGTATGCCCGTCATCATAGCTGAAGCCGATGACCAGAACAAAAGTTGCCCCGCTCATGACGGCCGCGATGGTAAATGCTGGCGGAAGAAACAAACGCCACCACATTAGGATTATAGTCATGAGGGCCGTGATTGCTGCTAGTCCATAGGGATTCCCAGGACCGTCCCCGGAACCAATATACCAGGCCACCATCGCGAGCACTCCGCCAACGACCGTACCGGCTGTTCGACTAACCAGAGATAATGTGAAATCCGCCATGTATACCAGCACGGTGGTCTGCGCCGTGATAATCCCCCAGATGCCTTTCTCTCGGTAATAAAACCCCGCGGTCTGCGGCAGAGAGGCGGGGATAGCTGTGGCAATGGTAACGACGACCATGCGAAGGGCGTATATGCCTCCCGGGTTGGTGAACCAGCGATAGGAAGCCCTGAGTATTCGGCTCAGGACACTGCGGCGAATCGGTCGACCGTAGCCACGGCTGATCTTCAATTGCCGTTGGGCCTCTTTAGCCTGGTCCTCTACATCGTCAGGACTGACCGTAGAGTCCGTGGCGAGACCAGGCACAGGGGCGTCTTGATGCCTGTTACCTAGCCAGGAGAAGGCATATCGCAGTCTAGAAGGAAACCAGAAACGGTCTTTGGTCCGCTTCGCCATCAGGGCGACCAGCTGCGTCATGAGCTGTTCAAGGGCCGTTGCTACGTCAAGAATACGCTCCTCGACTACCATACCGATGACCATTCCTCGCAGGGAATATGGCGTCAGTTCGTCGGGTGCCTTCAGATGACCATCAGCGTCGAACAAATCGGCATGATTTTCAATCAGCCGTTCTGTAGTTTCCACAGCGCACAGTGCCTTGGCGGATCGCAAATTCTGCAGCATCGCGTTGGTCTGCACCATCAGTTCATCCACTCGGTGCTGAGTCGGCCGACGGAACCAACGGCCAGAGTTGACGGTGTGGATGCACTGCGCAATGATATCAAGCGACTCCGACGACCGGCTGAGGACCTCGTGTGTAGACCGATTCAAGATATCTAGCGTCTGCGATCGAATGACTCCATAGTCTAGGCTTTTGAGTATCTGGATCAAATCTGCGCTTTCCTGGAGCTGCCATTGACCTACAGGATGGGGTCGCTTTTCATGTGCAGCAGTTCTGTCAGTATCGGACGCCGTCGGCAAGCTCGCCAGCTTTTGGTCTACGCGGATCCGCGCGATATGATAGTCGTTCAGGGATAGCACTGCGAGAACTACCTGTCGTAAGGGAGCTTGAAGGTTTTTAATGTCGTCTGAGCTCCACCGACCGCGGGAAAAGTCGATGGGCAAAAATGCCAATGCCGCATGCATCGCTTTGAAAATTCCAATCATCTTGGTCTTTGTGGCCAGGAGCTGTTCGAGGGCAATTGAGTCGCCAGCGAACCGCGATCGTGTGTGACGCAACGGCGCGTCTCCTAGCCGCAGGAGCTGTTCCATTTGGATCATCACGACATGGGACGTGGATTGCGGGAAAAACACGAGGCAGCAGGCAGCACCAATGCCGATGCCGATGGCGCCCGGCTTGACCAGGACTTCGGGGAGTAAAGCGTTGAATGATGGCAACGTGGGACCGAAGAGTAAGAAGAGATCCGCGACAATGATCCCGAAGAGCTGGGTTAACACAAACTTGGGATTTGCAGCCCGGATTCGGGACATCACGTAGACGAAGAGACAGATCATCACGTAGAAAATGACGGTCACGCGCGCGTCGAGCATGAAGCCATCGTGCACCAAGATCTGGGCCTCCAATAACGGGCTGATACCGGTTTGGTTGGCGACTGCGACTGCTTCCCGTTGCAACGCCTGCACCATCGCCTGGGTCTGGGCTTCAGGTCGCGCTGCTAAAGCGGCCTTCATGGTGAGCAGCCCCCATGCCCATGCAAGGCACATGCCAAAAAGCAAAGAGAAGGCCCCCAGTAAGTATATGAACAGGATTCCACTGGGAGGGACAATATACAGCATCAACGTCGCGAAGAACGTCGCGATCCCGATGTTTTGCAACGCAGGACCAATGAACATCAGCAGTGATGCCACCCACGCCGCAGCGCAGCAGCGAAAAAGGACCTTCAAGTCCCGGGCATTCCAATGGTCTAGCCAGGCAGGGAGAACCAGGCGGCGGTGATGGTGTTGCGTTTCGTCGCCAACATCGGAAGGCTGGACATCAGACATTTTCTCCTCACTCTCGGCATGTAACTTTTCGTATTCCTTTATGTCCCAGGGGAAAGTAATGGGATCTGATCTGTTATCCAACGCGAACGAAAGAAACCCCCAGCGTCCGGAGGCAGAATGAAGAATGCGGTGTCAGCATACTTAACCGAGACCCGAGTCGACGTCATGCATCGCGTTCAGATTCATATAGTGCTATGCGGAGACCATGGGTAGTTTTGACCCTAAAGGGCTTGGATAATGGCTTATTGCAAGTTCGTAGGAATGAACAAATATCCCTGATATTCATGTCACCGAGGAAAGGCCCATTCCTCCTTACGCTGAGCTCTACAGATTTTGCCTCCCTAGGGAGACGGTCCAATCAGATTGGGGTTTAAGGATAGCAGTGCTGGGAACGGATCAATGTCTTTTTATGAAAAATGCGTCTGATGGAGTACTCTATCAATTGTGGTGAGATTGAAGTCGAGTTGGAACAGCGTTTACTGCAATGACTCTCGATTGACGCATTTCATCCTTGGACAAACACTGTGAATACGCAAGCTAAATACTTATGCGGATTCACGGAGCTAATGATAGGAGCGAAACAGCTTAAGCCAAAGAAATAAGGCTTGTTTTCAAATACCTACCCAATATATGGGGGAGCTATGGAAGAATGGCGGCCTATCCTCGCCCGATGGTAAGGGTTTCTGCATGAGGTTAATTCCATATGCAGCTCTTTGTCGCTAACCCCCCAGGCGAGAGAGTCGAGGGCAAGCATTACCTAGTAACTATGGCGTGACTGCATCCGGTTGTGAGTATATACCGTAGACGGATATAAAGGAAGGCATTGTTTACGATCTACCATGAATAGACCTCTTGAACCTTTATAATTTCCTCAATTTTCTTTGCTATACCTGACACTAGCCTCCATCCATATAACAGCTGGCCACCAGGCTCGTGGCGTGTCGCACATGCATGTAGTGAAGAAGTAGACTCACTCAATCTACCATCACCTCTGAGCTCTAGGCCTCTCCAAGTCTAGCAGTCGTCCTTTCGGACGATAACATTCCAGTTGGTCTCGTGGAAGACTTGTCCACTAGTCCACTGTAGCATCGCCCCGTAGGTACACTTATCTAGAATCTTTTCCGCGCCATCTGCTATGCTTCCGAAGCTCTCGAGAAGCTTCCCTTTAGAGTCCTGTTTGACGTCATTAGTCCACTATCAAACGGACTTGGATATTTCCTGTATGAGGGCTTTACATCGTTGCACCAGTAAATGGCTGAGTTCCACGAACAACTCACTCGACCACAGTTCCCAGGGCCGGCGCCATTGCCTGGGCGGCCTTTGACTTTCCGCAAATACTCTATTCCCTGGTAAATGTATGAGGAGCTGCAGGCCTCCCATCTACCCTGACAGGAATAGTCTGAGCCGGAGAAGTCGGTACGCTTCGGAAGATCACGCTTCTTGACCGGAAAGTCTTCATCCCATTTCGGATTCAGTTTGATGAGTTCATCGTGCACTTCTTCAATTGTACCGTTCAAAACAACCGTTTCGCCGCCTGGGGTCACTTCTACCTCCCAGGAAGGGATAAAAAGTCCCCGCTTTTCAAATGGTACTGCAGCTCCTAGAGTCTACCGCTGGTATTAGTCTTGTGCTAACGAGAAGGCTAGGTGACTTACCACGGGCAGTAACACAATGGAGAGGAGCGCAATCCGGGGGTGCATGTTTAAGAACAGGGAAATCGGGACCTAGGGGAGATGATTGAGTTTTCTTTTCTGAACTATGAGCTTGGGAAGAATGCCCATGGATCGATCACTTACCTTGCGCCTTTTATATTGTTTGAATGGGCAAGTTTGGCCCCCTCGGGTTGGATATCATTTCTATTCATGGAGGCATCGAGAAGGATTAGGGTAGGGTTAGTCCTACAATTTCAGCCCCAGGGTCTCATAGCCCCCATTTGTTGGTTTCCACTGGTATAATGATGAACGACGCCGCAAATCGTGCCACGACATAACATCACAGGGCACCTGGGTTATTCGGATTGAATGATGGCAGGGGTAACAGTAGATTAGCAACAACTAAAGGAAGCCATAGCAGATCTTACCTACCTAGTAGACAATCATTACATGACGTTGACTGGGCTCTCAGGATTGAATGGCATCTTGGTCAGTGGCAGGGTATTCACTGTGCAGTACAAGTGTCCCAGTCTCTGTCCAAATCTCATCCGATAGCGTGGCATCAAACCAACAGACTCGGGTGCCAAAAAGCTGCTCTGTCAAATTATGGTGGAAGACATGGCGCTGGATCATACCATACATAGCCATCTTGGCTGCATGAAGAAAGTTCTGCATTGCCTCAACAATAATCGATATTTTTGGTTGGCTCTGGTTATCGTCAGCGTTCCCAAACTAGGTATAATGGGCCGCTCGCATACATACCCATGTAGGCATATTAGTCTCGTTGTCCTGAAACCTCGGGGCATCCACTTTGGGAATGATGGTGCGCGAACTGCATATTCTTAGTTGAGATACACCCGGAATCCAGACGAGAGAGAGGCTGGGTAGAATAACCTAGCCTCAATCTGTAACAGACTGGCTCGCAGCCGACACGAGTTACTCTTCCTACAAACCCGATACCCCACAATATACTGATTTCTCTAGCGAACGCATTTCGTCTTCTTCTTATTCATTCAGCTTCTCTGTTTGACGGAAAATTTCCTCGGCCGGGGAAACACTCCGAGTGTGCTGGTTGAGTCTAAAATTCCCCAGACGAAGCTAATGGCGTTTATATGGAACTCTGGGGTGGATTACTGGTGGAGATTCTTCTTCCCTAATCAACGAAAAAAAATCCGGGGAAATCAGTGGAATTAGAGATTAAAATGGAGATATCAATCATTTCGGGATTCTTGTTCAATTGATGGAGAAATTTCCCCGCGTATTTAAGGCTCGAAACGTTTAGAGCTTAACGACAGCAAAGAGAAGCTTGTTGATCAAGGAGACCGCAAATACATAAATAGACATCATCTTCGGGCAATGGAGAGGCATTTAGTTATTGCAGCAGTCTTTGTTCATCAATATGTTGTGGTACTCCCCCCTTGTTTTGTCCGGCTGCATTGCTGGATCTGTGGCATCGCACCTACTTCCCGGATACCCTGTATGGAATAATGAATTTAAGCTTCCTTGTTCAGGCTCCAGTGCAAGGACAAGTCCAACTTGACTATCCAGGGGTATACCTGCGATTCTACATCGTACCAAGGCAATGCTGCGACGATTTCGTATGATCTTGCCTTGATCAACACACCCAATGACGACCACACAGCAACCTTGCGGCAGTGGAACACCAATACGAAAGTGTACAATCTCAAGATTCTCAACACATTCGGTCACATTAGTAAGAATGGCCAGAATCTGGCCATATCTGCTTATAAGACTAATCAAGCCTACTATGGATGCCAATTTATCGGTTACCAGGACACAATTCTGGCGGAGACAGGTGAGCACCGACGCTAATCATTGATGCAAACTCACGATTGTGTTGTACTGACCGAGCCAAAGGATACCAGCTCTATGCAAAAAGTCTCATTGTTGGTGCGATTGATTTCATCTTTGGGCAGACAGCTCTGGCGTGGTTTGAAAATGTGGATATCCGAACCATCGGCACCGGCTGTGTGACTGCTTCTGGCCGTAACAGCGCTGACAATCCATCCTGGTATGTGATTCATCGGTCAAATGTGTCTGGCATCAATGATAGTATCCCAGCTGGGGGTAACTCTCTTGGTCGGCCTTGGGGATCCTTTGCCCGTGTTGTTTTTCAAGAGACTTACTTGAGCGATGTCATTGTGGCTGCGGGATGGAAAGAATGGTCGACCAGTGCACCTAACCCCGAAAATGTCACCTTTGCCGAATACAAAAACTACGGCCCAGGTTCGATCCTGGAAGAGGGACCAAGAGCGAGCTTCGGCGAACAGCTGGAGGCCCCCATCGCAATTCAGTCTATCCTTGGTGAGAACTTTGAGGATGAATGGTGGATTGACGCTAGTTATCTCGATCGTTCGGATTTCAGGCCGTCGTGTTCCAGTCGGGAGAATGGAAAGAATATGGGTCAAGATGATAGGAAATGTGAGACTCATACAAGCTCTACATCGTCGATCGCTTCAACTGTTTCAACAAGATTGACAACCATGTCCACTACGAGCACTTCGGTTAGTTCTACTACCACGACCACTGGAACGCCCTGTACCTGTACCGAGCATGGCCAAATCTCTGCGGCGGTGGCCTCATGTACTAGTATTGTCTTGTCCAATATTGCGGCGCCCAACGGATCTGCCATAGATCTATCCAAATTGCAAACGGGAACTACAGTGACATTCGATGGTCTGACCACATTCGGATTTATCAACTCATCATCCTTCAATCCAATCACCATTGGAGGAGAAGGGGTCACCATTACTGCCAATGAGGGCGCCGTGATTGATGGGAATGGCCAGGCTTATTGGGACGGTCAAGGATCCAATGGCGGAGTACCCAAGCCGGATCACTTTATCATGGTTAACAAAGTAACGGGCAACTCAATCATAGAGAAGCTATACATTCAGAATTGGCCTGTTCATCTGTTTGAGATCACCGGTTGTTCCAATGTCGTCTTCCAGGACTTGACCCTGAACAATACCGCTGGAAACGCACCAAATAGCCGAAGCAAGGGACTGGCTGCGGCTCACAACTCTGACGGATTCGATGTCAGTGGAAGTTATAACATTACCATCCGATGGAATGTGGTCTACAATCAGGACGATTGCGTTGCCATCACTAGCGGAAACAACATGACGGTATCAGACATGCTGTGTAGTGGAGGCCACGGATTGTCCATCGGTTCCATCGGTGGAAAGAGTAACAACAATGTGACAAATATCCTGGTAAGCCCTGATGACTTCAGCTTTCTTTTTCTTGTTCTTTTTTTCACTATTATTCTTTATTAACGGCATCCCAGTTTACGGATTCGCGGGTCATTAATTCCCAGAATGGTGCTCGAATTAAGACCAACTACAACACTACGGGATTCATCTCGAATATCACTTATTCCAACATTGCCTTGAGTAACATCACGGTCTATGGTATTGATCTCCAACAAGACTATCTCAACGGAGGTCCTACCGGTATCCCAAGCTCCGGTGTCATCGTAGAGAACATATTGTGGGAAAATGTTACTGGATGGATGGCGTCCACAGGACAAGATTACTACATCCTGTGCGGCAGTACATCATGTTCAAATTTGCTCTTTGAGGACGTATCCATTACTGGAGGAGGCGTTGCTAATAGTTGCAATTACAATATGACCGTCTGCACGTCGTAGGTTATGTAAATTAGGATAAGAGGAAGTGGTTTTCAATTGGGAAACAGTGTCTGGCATTATATGTACTCTGTAGGGAGCAACCCTTTCATCCATCTTCATTCAAGTTATTCCTACAATATAGGAAGCGAAAGGTTATACCACCCTTATTTTATGCCTTCAAAGGCTAGCCGTATGCATGAAACCCCCCTCGGTGATGCCCTGTTCTGCAATCTAACGAAAACATGCAGACTCGGCTTGAAGATGGTCCTTTCACGGCTGAAGTTTGCCCGTTGCATCTTCGCTCTCATTATTATCCCAATATTTCAAGTGTTTTGGACCAAGGGATCTTTCCCATTGGAGAGTGGCACCACCACTTTGATACCCTCTGCATTGCGGGAGACGTAATAGTCCGACTTCGGACACCAGGAGCAATGCTATTGGTTGTTGACTACCACCAGAAGAAGTACATTTGGTGTTTATGCTTGTTACAGACGGTGGCTTACAGCAAGGACATTAAGAAAGGCCGTCTTTGAGTCTCTCTTCTCTCATTTCCAGCACATACGACCATAGGAAGTGGAAAATAGGGCTTCCCGTCCGCTCAGCCGTACTCAAGCCACTTGCCGGTCAGTTAGTAGTATGGTGGGTGACCACATGCGAATCCTGACTGTTGTATGTTTTTCTTTCCTTTTTTGTTTTTTAACTATCAGCAAGACTAGAGGCAAGATGGATTGCAGAATATCCCCCCAGTAAAACTCAAAGGCTCCAAATCCGGGCGCCCTAATGTAAGAGATCTGACGAACCCATCACATTCCAACACCACGTTGGAAGCCCTGTCCAGTTTATCGGGTTGTAAGGGCTCTGCAAAGGAGGAGCGCGTCGAAGCTTGACTACACCTCATGCCAGCTCATGCGAGTTGACGTCAGGATTCTTTTGCGGTGATCCCTATAGATGTCTACAAGCCAAATGAGGTTCAAAAATACGATAGGGCTGCCTTATATCTTCTCTGGATTCGACACACGTATTTCTCGGGCTTCTAGCGGTGACACCACTCCGAGTGATTTTTTCCATAGGCAAGCTTCTCCAAAGAAATACCTGTATTTGGACAGACTAAATACAGCATCTAAACCCTGCTTGCGACATAGGCCAATCGCGACTCTCATGCCAATCATCGTGAAAATTTTAAGAGCTGCATTGCACAAAGTCATCCCCACTGGCCCCGGTATGTGTGATCATACCAGCGAATTCATCGTTTTCATTGAAAATCACACGGTCTGCACCAGGAGAACCGCCGGTGTACACCTCATAGGAGCTCATAATGGGGAACTCGTAGTAGGTGCCCGAAACAGGGAAGTCGAACCCTTCATAATCGTGATACACGTGCGGGTAGTTGTGGACAGTTTCACCAGACTGGTACAGAGAGTATCCTTGTTCCTGAGCGTCGCTCACATCGCTGGCCCGGTAGCAGGTGCTGCCACAGGTATAGGCACAGCTGTCGCGGTTCTTTAGTCCAGCATTCTCGCCAGTGGGGACAGCAGCCACGGCGGAGGACAGGAGGAGGGGACAAAGGACAGTCAAAAGTGTCTAGGTCGACTATTAGTATGCGTTTGTTTCCTTCCGGCTCGCTCTCTGATCGAATCCGTACCTTGAGCTGGACCATTGCGCCTGATGTCTGAACAAACTCCGCAAGTGTGAATCGCAATAGGTTTTTGATTTTGATTCTGTTTTTGTCCTCGAAAACCCGGGGGAAAATCACGACTATTTATTCCCCTCCCTCCTTCCCTCTGTCTGTCTTCCATGTCCCTGATACCCTGAATCGGCCTCTCCCGAACATTGGCGTTTCTTGAAGAAGGCCCCCAGGTTACATCGCATCCCCTTTTCGTCCCACGCTGGCACTGATAGCATACCAGAATTCGAGGGGCTTCGGCACGTTCTCGCAACACACTGGTCCATAGGTTTGGAGCCCTGCCGATCTTCACTTGTTGGGTGAGAAATAATATCTGCGTCGCGCATCAATGGGGTTTTGAGAGACAATCTGGAGTGGTTGACGGGGTTGTGTCCAATAATGCCTGGCCGGGCGAATTGCCCCATGTAGGATAGCCCTAATCGATTAATATCGGCCAAATGCTGCCCACTTCTTGTGACGATTGAGGATCTCGAGGATCATGTCGATCATACCAATAAGGGTCTTTAGCCACGTATCTGATTCTATATCTAATAATAATAGCGATACCCCAGTGCGGTATAAAAGTGACATTCATTTTTCGACGGGGAGTTTTCCTTTGCTGACCAGTGATCCATCACAACCACGCGTTGCGGGTGGGTGGACGCAATTATATAAATTCGTGTTAGCACACCCTCCCGAGGACGTGCAGAGTAAACCGAAGGGACAGCGATCTCATGCGGGTTGTCCGGAAGCGAGTTGCAGATCGTGAATCAAAAAGAGATCATTCATGGATGTACCTTTGGCCGCGGCCTATTGGTTACCTAGGTACGAGTAAGATGTCTATATTAACCCTGTGTTACCAGAGGAGACACTCGCCCCAATCAGTATTTGTGCAATACTCTACAACATCCTATGTATTTGCTGCTAGAATGATGGATTAAAGAAGGAGCTAGACGAACTCGCCTTCAATTTCTAATGATTTTGTTCCATTCATTGCATACTGCCCCGTATTCTGAATCTCACCAAGTAGGACCAGGATCGCGATGCTCGCCTCCTAGTAACTGGCTGTTGCGGTTTCTCCAACTCATCACCGGCTTCTGGTCTTTTGCTTCGTGGTTATCCATACTCAGCTCGAAGCCGGCGAAGAGCTGCCATTCCTCAACAGACAGGGAGAGTGCCGTCACAGCGGCTCCAACTCCTATGGCAACACAGGCAATATCCAGTTCCCTGGCAAGAAACAGCCTTGACGGACTCTAAACCCAGTTGCCCCGCGCTGGCTTAGGCTAAATAAAGTATTTAGCCATCCAGTGCGGGGAAATTGGTCCGGTTAAATGAATATATGCAACCGAGATTGTGCTTCCTTTAAGGATGGCCTTTTCAATTCTTTTCTCGTCCTTGTTTTGAACTTCATGATATTTTAAAAACACTGCTGTTGATCCGTCATAGACCATGCCGCCCGTACGCAATCCCATCCTCCCCGGCTTCAACCCGGATCCGTCCATCATCCGGGTGGGAGATGACTATTATATCGCCACCTCTACCTTCGAGTGGTATCCTGGGGTGCAAATCCACCATTCAAGAGACTTGGCTAATTGGGAGCTTGTTGTGCGACCACTGAATCGGAAGAGTCAGCTTGACCTGCGAGGTGTCCCCGACAGCTGTGGTGTATGGGCGCCGTGTCTCTCCTACGATGGCGATAGGTTCTGGTTGGTGTATACTTATATGACCCGTAAGGATGGCTCTTTCAAGGATTCCCATAATTATATTGTGAACGCGCCATCGATCCAAGGGCCGTGGTCTGAGCCCGTGTACGCAAATTCATCCGGCTTCGACCCTTCCCTATTCCATGATGATGACGGCCGTAAATGGTTCGTCAATATGCTGTGGGATCATCGAGGTCGTTCGCGCAACTTCGCCGGGATCGCTTTGCAGGAATTCGACTACAAGGCAGGCAAGCTTGTCGGGCCACGAAAGAACATCTTTCAAGGAACAGAGCTGGACCTGGTAGAAGGGCCTCATCTGTATAGACGTCATGGCTGGTATTATCTTTTGACGGCCGAGGGAGGTACCGGCTATGATCATGCCTGCACCCTCGCCAGGTCGCGCGACATCTGGGGACCGTACGAAATCCATCCCCAGAAGCACATCGTTACGTCCAAGGACACCCCATTTACCGCGTTGCAACGGGCGGGTCACGGAGATATAGTCGAGTCTCCGGAAGGGAAGTGCTATCTTGTGCATTTAACAGGCCGTCCAGTCGGCCAGAACCGGCGGTGTGTGCTGGGGCGAGAAACGGCCATTCAAGAAGCCTACTGGGGCGAGGATGATTGGCTTTACATCAAGAACGGACCTGCACCCTCTTTGCATGTGGATCTGCCCGCTGCTCGCGATGATACCAATTACTGGGCGCAGCAGCATTATACTTTCGAAAACAGCCTCCACAAGGACTTTCAGTGGCTACGCACCCCAGAAACAGACCGGATCTTCGTTGTCTCCGAAGGAAAACTCATCCTTACCGGGCGAGAATCGATCGGGTCCTGGTTCGAGCAGGCCTTAATCGCCCGTCGACAGACGCATTTCTCCTTCGATGCGGAAACCACGGTGGAGTTTTCTCCCGCCGATGAGCGGCAATTTGCAGGCCTTGTGGTGTACTATTGTCGATATAACTTCTTCTACTTGACAGTCACAGCGCAGTCCGATGGGCAGCGAGAAATCAACATCATGAGCTCGGAGGCCTCTTACCCTGAAGGAAAGCTGCAGATGCCCGCGCCAGAACACATTTCAATTCCCAACGGTGGAAGAGTCCGACTGGCCGCGAGCATCCGCGGAGGACTGACTCTGCAGTTCTTTTACGCCCTTGAGGGCCAAGAACTCCAGAAGGTTGGGCCGGTCTTTGATGCTTCGATAGTATCAGATGAATGTGGAGGACATCAAAGCCACGGAAGTTTCACCGGTGCATTTGTGGGGGTGGCCTGTTCGGATCTCAATGGAACCGCCATACAGGCCAAGTTTGACTCTTTTACATACCGGCCGGTCGAAGATGCGGCCGATCGATACGAGATCACAACGACGCATTGAGCTTATACATACCGAGTAGCCAGTCCTTCCTCCACCACACGCTTCCTGCGCCCACGTTCCCTTGATCCATGCACCATAGTTAGTTAGAAATTTCCCGCGTAGTCATCCGTAGGAATAGATTAAAAACGACTCGAGAGTAATACGGAGTACATCCAGAAGCCCCTCTCCTTGCCCAATAACTCGAGCTCATGAGCCACGTGTAGCACCTCTACAGGAACGAATAGGATTCTGGAAAACCTCTGTTGGAGACGATCAGCAACAATCAACCAGCGCCTCTGTCTAGCCTCGAATATAGTGCGGTGCATGCGCTCTCGGGTACGTTCCATTGGCGCCCACTGCGGCCCCCGGCGATAGAACCCAGACCCAATCATGCCACACATGATAGCCCAATGCGCCATTAAGGCCGGGTTCTATTGGATTTGCCCAGTCGGGAGACCCTTGGGACAGTTACGTGATGCGGAAATTAAGCAAGTTCCAGAAAAGCTTCCCTGGTTCAAGCCTTGAAAACCAAAGCCACGCTTCTCGGGCTCACGAGGAGAAGAATATCCAGAATATCTCCCGAGTAACCCTACAAGATCGACCCATGATGGGTTTAGTCAAACACACCAATCCGGTCGGCACGGAATCCGCTAATATCCTCCTACTCCAAGACATGGGTTCATCCACTCGCTTACGCAGGAATCCGCCGCCTGTAGAATCCCATCTGCTTCCCATGTGGCCAGGAGCCATGCTTATTATTTGTTAGATACCACGCTATTTCGAATTGTGGACATGGAGTGCATTAATCTGTTCGGTCTTGGTATCCGGAATCAAGACCTCCCACGCTACCCCCGGGGGGATATATAAAACCATCCTGGCAGCTCCATCCAAATAGCTTCTGTGCAAAGCAACAACGTTCTTGATCTCTCAGCCGCCATGAAGACCTCTACCTTGATCCCCTTGCTCGGTCTGTCGACCAGCGCCGTTGCCGCGGCTGTTCCTGCCAAAGCCCAACAGCCTTGGGGTTATGCCTCGGGTTCCAAGGAATCCATTGCCAACCTGAAGGACAAGGTTGAGAATGTTGTCTGGATTCTCCTGGAGAACCGTGCTTTCGACAACATGCTGGGTGGTATCCACAGGCAGGGTCTTGACAATGTCGTCAACAACGGCGGCAGCTTCTGCAACCCCCAGAACGTGTCCGAGCCCAAGGGCAAGAAGTGGTGCAGCCACTACAAGGACTTTGACTCGGTCATCCATGACCCTGATCACTCCGTCACTGGCAACAACATGGAGTTCTTCGGCACCTACCACCCCGACGACAAGGCCATTGCCGCCGGCACCTTGACTCCTAGCCTCGATGGTTTCGTCGAGCGCCAGATGGTCTCCCACAACATCTCCGCCAAGCGGGCCCATGAGGAAGTTATGGGATACTACTCTGAGTCCGAGGTCCCTACTCTCGTTGACCTCGTTGATGAGTTCACCACCTTCAACTACTGGCACTCGTGTGTCCCCGGAGTATGTTTTCCTACCATCCAAAAAGCGAAAAAGAAAAGAAAAGAAAAGAAAAGCCGCTAATGCAAGGAACAGCCCACCAACCCTAACCGTCTCTGTGCCATCGCTGGTACCGCCGATGGTCACGGCACCAATGACGAGTCCTTCGATGTCTCTGGCATTGATGTCCCCAGCATCTTCCAGGTTGCCAGCGAGAAGAACATCTCGTGGCGCAACTACGATGGCACCAACGGTGCTTTCCTCTCCGATGCTATGTTCTTCAACTGGACCGCTACCAACGCCAAGGAGAACGTTGTCCCTCTGGAGAACTTCTACCAGGATGCCTACCTCGGTCTCCTCCCCCAGCTCTCCTATATCAACCCCTCTTGCTGTGGCCTCAACACCAACTCCATGCATCCCTCCGGTAACGTTTCTTTCGGCCAGGTTCTCTTGAAGCAGATCTACGACGCTGTCCGCACTGGTCCTCAGTGGGATAAGACCCTTCTTCTCATCACCTACGATGAGACCGGTGGTTTCTTCGATCACGTTGTCCCTCCTCTGGCTGTCCGCCCTGACAACAAGACCTACACCGAGACCGCTCCCGATGGCGCCAACTACACTCTTACCTACGACCGTCTTGGTGGCCGTATGCCCACCTGGCTGGTTTCTCCTTATGCTCCTCGTGGATACATCGAGAACTACGGTATCAACCCTGCCACTGGCGAGACTTCTTCCTACAGTGCCACCTCCGTTCTGAAGACTCTCGGCTACCTGTGGGATCTTGAGGACCTGACTCCTCGTGTCTCTCACTCCCCCGCTTTTGACCATCTCATCGGTCACACTCGTCGCAATGCGGTTGCTACGCTGGCTAACCCCAAGCCCTTCCCCAAGGCTGTCTAAGCATCGTCTATGGACATAATTTCCCGGCAGACAAACAGGTCACAGGCAATTTGGAGCCTTTGGTGATCTTTCCATGGGCATTTTCATCATGAAACCATTTCTACCTGGGGCCTTTTGTTCCTCCCATCACGCCCAGAACCTATTGATGTCTTTCTTGTATTTATGTACTTGGGCTTAATGTCTTTCCTGTATTTATGTACTTGGGCTAGCTGTCACCTAAGAGTAATCTCTAAACACTGTTAGTCCCACAAATTCCGTTGTTTTATAATGGTTGAGCTTATCTCTCATCGCCGTCTTCGATATATGGCCTAGGAAACTTGTTCTCACCACGTAGCTGATTCAAATCGCCACATATATTAACTAATATGGATACCACCCCCGGGAGAACTGCAAAAAATCCCCAGTCTGTAGAAGGTTCGATCCTATAGAAACACTGATCCAGCCTCCATCGGTGCCATTTCCAGGACTACCTGGGTAGCTGGTAATAATCTCTACCACTTTCTTCTTCTTTGGTGACTCACTTTCTATTCTCCTTCTTTTATCTTTGTATTGGGGTAATCACGCGGAGGTATAGCCGTTGGTCGCTATTATGACCGTCCGAGCGTTGATTGTACCTCTGGGGGTATGGACGACCCAGGGATAGGTTAATGGACTGCTGGCAGATTCCACGATCGAGGTGACTTCTGTGTGTTGTCTGGAGATTGACCCCCCGCTCGATGGCCTTCTCCAGATTAGTTTACTAGTCATACTGTAGTCATGGTGTAGAATCTTCCTCCGCTGGTGCAGTCGTATCTACACCCGTTTTCACTCGTGATACGGCGCCAATCGATGTCTCCAGCATTGTCCCATACATAACCATCAGTCCATTGCTCCCTGAGATGTCTGCTCTCCTTGGGCAAACCGAGCAAAGTTCTTCTCGAGCCCGGAAGCCGAAAGCACCGTCGCGTACCAGTCCATGTCAAGGCAACACTCCGGGACAGGCACATACATGCTAGCGAACCAACAGGCACACCGGAAAGTTGAATGCCCGACACGCGACGCTGACTCGCGGCCCGAATAGACCGTCGGCGACGCCCGTACGGTGTCCAGGCCGTTTTAATCGAGGCCGTTTCGAACTCCCAAGTCAAGCAAACGTCCTAGAATTCCGGAAAGCTTGTTACGGGACTTGTACGGACAAGGAAACAGCTGTCAATCAACTGCCACAAAAAACGAAATTCTAGACCAGAGCAAGTGGGGAGCTTCGCTCTCCGAAATATCACACCTAGTCGCCGATAAGGCCTGGAGTACGTACTTCTATCCAATGAGGGAGTAAAGAGTAGCAGGGAAAAATAGACATTTATCAGAATGATATTAAAGTGGTAAACTAGGCCTAGCCTTCTAGTAGTCTGGTACTGCAAATCACTGACTCCTTAGGATGTCATCTCTCGAGATTCCACTTTGATCACACATCGCTCGGAAAATACCATGCGTCTGATCCCATAGATTCAGCGGGGTATCTAGTTCCGCAATCTGTCCCTGGTCCATGACACAGATGCGATCGTAGTGAATGATCGTGCGAAGACGATGGGCAATACACAGCAGTGTCTTGCCCTGGAATCCCTGGGCCATCGTCACCTGAATCCGCTGATCGGTTTCGAAGTCGACAGAAGATGTTGCCTCGTCACATATGATGATGCGGGCGTCACGGACCAAGGCCCGCGCGAGGGCCATGAGCTGTCGTTGACCTAGGGAGAAGGTGAGACCCTCTTCGTCCACGGCTGTGTCAAGCGTGAGCTGCGATTTAGGGGTAGAGGCGCCGCTTTGCGCAGGAGCCGACTCTGAGTCGATCAGATGGGCCTGGCGGAGAGCGGACCAGAGTTCCAGATCGGTGTGCTCATGGAAGGGGTCTAGGTTAGAGCGGATTGTGCCCCGGAATAAGGTGGGATCTTGCGGGATGATGGCTAGCCGGGAGCGGAGGTCCTGGAGACCGACGGTTGCGATATTCACGCCGTCGATTTCGATTGTGCCCCCCGACAGTTCGGTGAGACGGAAGAGAGCAGACATGATACTCGACTTGCCGGCTCCAGTCCGGCCGACAATTCCAATGCGTTCGCCTCCTCGGACATCCATTGTGAGGCCCTTGAGAACTAACGGGAGACCAGCCCGATATCGCATCTGGACGTCATCAAAATTAATGCGGCCCGTTTCGGGCCAGGTTGGGGAAACCGGTGCCAGATGGAGGGGAGCCTCCTCTTCCAGCTCGGTGCCGTAGTAGTGCACACGTTCTGTGGCGTTCATGTTGTTCTCAACCTCCGCTAATTGTCGCACGGTGAATTGGAGCATCTGAGCGATGGCAAGAATGTAAGAGAGCACCAAGCCGGAAATACTGGGAGACACGTCGAATCGCGAGGTAACTACCAGGACACCAGTGACAAATACCAAGAGGGTGGCTACCGCATCAAGTCGGATACTCAGCCAGCGCTGGTTCGAAAAGGTGAGGAAGTAAGCCCCATTCATCAGATCGATGGAGTCTCGGATGCTATCTCGGAATTGGGCCTGGACTCCGTAGGCACGGATGGACGCGGTACCGGTAATGGCTTCACCGAATCGCGCATAAACTGTAGAGCGAAGGACGGCTTCGTGGCGCTTCATCTCGCGGGCGGACGCGCGGTAGTAGTTGGCGGCCATGAGGAAGAGGACGAACAACGGGGCGAGAGCAATCGCAAACTAGCAAGGTTAGCATCCCTACCTGGGGAGTGGTGATGGACGATAGCAAACGAAAACACGCACGTAATGGTAGAAAACAATGATCAAGATCATAATGGAAATAATCATGGTCATGGTCAGCGCGTACATCCGCATCGCATCGGAAAGCTCATTGTCCATGACTTGAATATCCTTGGAGAACCGGTTGGTGATTCGTCCCAATGGCGTGGTATCGAAGAACGACATGGGCGCTCGAAGCACTCGAGTCATCGCACGCTGCAACATGGTCTTGCTGGCGTTGGTGCCGCAAGTCGTCGTATAGGTGGAAAATGCAAACATAAAGACCACCACGCTCACCCCGAGAGCAGCGTAGATTCCAATATACTGGCCGGTTGAAAGGGTTGGATATTTGTCGGAAGTCCAGTAGGAAAGCCACAAACTGGTCCACACATTGGCCACGTTGGACAGGGCAAGGAAAAAGAGAATGGCAACCGCGTTCAAATAACTACCGGAAGCTTGGATATATGCCTTCCAGACATCCCATCCGACCGATGCAGTGGCTCTCTCCTCTTGTTGCATCAGGGCGGCTGCTGCAGGCTTGGGTCCCGCAGATGCCTTGGGGTCCTTGTGTTCCTCTTCCTCGGCAATTTCCGGGGTCTCGTCGGATTTCTCAGTGGAGTCTTGGGAAGCCGTGGAAAGTAGACGCTGGAACAGTTCGTTATCGCGCGAGAGCTCGTCAAAGGACCCGACTGCATGGATATGGCCGTCATCCATAACCACGATTCGGTCACATCGATTGAGGACGTGCAACTGATGAGTGGCCAGAATGCGGCATCGACCTTTGAGAAGGCCGCAGATGGCCTTGTCCATGATGTGGCGTCCGACATGGGCATCGACTGCGGAGAGCGGATCGTCCAGAAGCACCAGTTCCGCGTTGAAATAGATGGCCCGGGCAATGTTTAGACGCTGCTTCTGCCCTCCGGAAATTGTGATACCACGCTCCCCAATTTCCGTTTGATCCCCGTTGGGAAGAATTTTCAGGTCGGGTTTCAGGGCACACGCCTCGACCACTTGGTCATACCATGCTTCATCGTAATCTTTGCCAAACAAGATGTTGTTTCGCACGGAGGTGTTTTGAATCCACGTGTATTGTGGACAAAATGCACGCGTCGTGCTTAGCTGCACTGTACCGGCGGTTAAACGCATATCGCCGGCCAGCGCAGATAGCAAAGAACTCTTTCCGGAACCTACTGGGCCAATGACTGCTATGAGTTCATTTCTGTGGACGTCAAGATCCAGCCCCTGGAGCTTGAAAGGCTCTGCCGAGGGTTTGTCCACCCCCTGCTGGTTATCCTGGGGTGAGACGGCTTTATTCATTGCTCGTCCACCTGCCTTCTTCTCGGCTCGGTCAGCATCTTTATCAGCGGCGTAACGCTCCCAAGTAAACGATGCATGATCCATTTCAATAGCGGGCTCCATGCTTGGGTTGTGTCTGATGTCTTCCTGTTGCTCCTCTGCGAGAAGAAACTCTTGAATGCGGTTGATTGCGGTCCACGCATCTGTCACCTGGCCAATAACCATTGGCAACATGTTCAAAGGCATTCGCAGGGAGTTGAACAGAGCCAGGGAGGAGAAAATCGGCGCGGGATCCAAATCATGTTTGGATAAGGCGTACGTGATGAAAGCCAGCATGGACGCAAAGACTGGGATTGACAGTGAAACACACAGGATGCCATTTCGAACCGCGAGCAGCGTTTGAATCGATCGGATCTCTCGGTGGCGAATCTCCTTGAGTCGGTTGAGGAAGCTACTTTCCCAGCCAAAATACTTGACAAATCGTACGGCTTGTAGGATTTCCTGAGTTAAAGTTACGCGTTGGTCGGTGAGTTTGTTGATATTTCGGCGTCGTTTGACCAAAAACCGGACGGCGAAGGTCAAGAAAGGCAGCCCAAAAACAAGCAGAGCATATCCGGACAGACAGCTGTAGCCGATATTGATCAACAGCAAGACCAAGGTGACGATGACCGAGATTGGGGCAGTCCAAATCATGTGGAACATTCCGCATGCCAGGTTGATTCGATCTACATCAATACTCATCAAGGCAACGATACGACCATTGCTCCAGCCTAATGTGTTACCTTTCGCATCTCCCTTGTCCTTCGGTGGTTCCCCGTTGGGCTTTTTCAGCATTTCGTCGTTGGCTGCCTCTCGCGCTTTGATGTCTTTCTGCTCCTCTGGAGTCGGTTGTCCCCCTGCCTTTGCGCGCCCTGAGAGCTTCAGCGCCTTGTTGAAAATCTGGAGAACTAAAACGGCCCGGATTTGGCCACCGACCATCTGGCCCCGATAAAGGAATTGGTTAGTGCAGAGACTTTGGAGGGATTGCATGCAGGTAATTCCGATAACAAAGCCCATGCCGTGACCGATATGGGGGGCGGCATATCCCAAGTGTTGGGCCATATAGGCCTGAGTCGCAAACGCAATCAAATAACGGGTTAAATAGGGGGCGAAGACCAAAAGCAGTGAACTGAAGAGCTGGCAGATTCCACCTAGCAGGAACTCGAATCGAAAGGTATCGTAAAGCGCCCAAACCAGGGGCCGCTTGCTCCCAGCCCGAGTCCGACGGTCCAAGGCGGCTTCCAACCGGTTCGATAGCACATCAGCTGCTCGATCTGGATTGACTGTCCAGATGTCGTGCAGCTCGAGCGGTCGAAGATAGCCCACCTAAGGGGGATGCCCTGTCAATATTTATTCCTATACCTACATAACCGGGCAGGAAAAAAAACAAGCAAGAGAGAACGACGCACCCTCATCAATGGAGACATCCATTGGAAATAAGCCACGCTCAGGAATGAGGCTCCATATTCCCTAGATACCGCCCGCTCGGTTGGTACAGGGGGAATTTTTCCCATCCGCAAGGGATTGAGTCGCCGATACCACCTCGTCTTCCTCGGGTCCAGTTCGGGCTGTTGGCTAAGATCCGCATCTTTGGCTTCTTGAGCTGAAGCGGAGGAACCGTCCGAGGATGCCTTTTCAAAGTTGAACTCCTTCTCGTGTGCCATGGACGTCTGGGGTTGAGGGTCAGAAACCCCCATGATTCCTTTCCGGAGACTGACAAAGAGGGCAAATGTCAGCTCGGTAACCGAACTCAACGCGAATAAGAGAAAACAGAAAAAAAAAACAGACAAAAAAAAAGAAAGGTAACCTAGGCTTTTTAGATTAAGAGACGAGAGGCGAAGTGCTTCACTGCTTCACTGCCTATCAACTCATTCCACCATTCATTAATAATCCCACAGCACCACCAGCGGAGAAGTCGGGGTTAAAAATGCCGACTTGTGGGATGGAATTAATTTATTATCTAAGATTCTATGAGACTAGGGATTTGTACAGAGTACAGAGGAACTACGGAGTACAGCCCAGCCGAGTTGTTTAAAGGGAGCCAGGTATGATCTGATATAAAGTCAATCGCTGAGCCCTAAAAGATTCTATTCCGATCCGACTTTGGATACTCCGACAGTCCCCACGCTACCTGTTCCAAGGACTTTTCCGGAATCAGCCATTCGGTCCCTTATCCCAGAAGGATGATGCGTCTTATTCTGTAGATCGCTTCACCTTGAGATGTGCAATATTCCTGTCCTGAAGACCCCTAGCATATTCCTGACAAGGGATGGATAAACGAGGTGATCTTCATGATTTGCAGTATGTATTCCGAAAACTAGACGCATAACAAAGCTACCGGTCCGCTTGAGTTATGAGTACGGCTCTAATCGTTTAATATTTCAATATCTATCAAGAAATAGGAAATAAAAGGATGTCGTTGCATAACTAGTGGTCTAATTCAAGGCTGACAACGTAGGAGACCATCTCCTGCACCACAATCTTAACTCCTCGACGATCCAGGTATTATTAGCAACCCCATACTTGAAAACTCGCTATGGGATATTTAAAGTACTTGTTTCAACTGTGCCGCCCTAGAAGACCCGGCTTCCGGCCTAAGATCGTTCTAAATCGCCAGAGGAAACAACGTGAAATATCCTCTCTCGCCCGGATTTCGACCGTCGAGCGGAGGCAATGTAAGATAGCCAGTTCAAGTTCCTCTTCGTTCACACTGCAAAGGTCCCCCCGCAAGTACACTAATAGCATTAGCCGGGGCAGAAAACCGGTTACGAGGGCGTAGTTCTGTAGGGCTCTTACCGAGTCCCCAGCCTCACGTTGCACTCAAGCCTCTGGCCTCAAAGCCTTGCGGAATTTCTATAAACACGGAACGATGCGAGGTACTTTACTATTGAAACACTTTAAGCAGGAAATACAGCAGAGAAGGGGGAAGTTCGTTGGGCTTCACTGGTCTACTTGTCTTCCGCCTAGAAACCAAAACGTATTCACCGAGAAGATCTTTTCTAGAACCGTACCGATTCTAGTCACATTGTACGCTCACTCTATCATCATGGAATATTTCAAGTTATATAAAGGATGAATCAACCATCAAAGAGATTAAACCTAAGGATCCGTCAAGGTTATCTTACTCAATCGATACTTTATGAATAAATTGCTACGGGACTCTTCGCATGATTGGTCCATGGAAATAGGATGAGAAAGTTTGAGCATATATTTCCCTTCTGTTATACACCGGGAACATGGCTGGATCTACTATTCAGGAACTGTCTGGGAATAAAGAAAAAAAAATACGAACTAAATAAGCCCCCGGCAACTACCATACACACCGATCCAAAGTATAAGAACAACAATTCACTCCAGCTTTTCTCAATTCTTTCTATCTTGAAGCCACCGACCTGTTCGTAATCGCCATGGCCGCCGCCGCACCCACTGACAACCCTATCCTGGAGAATCATATCGGCGCTGACCGGGTGGACCCTGGGGAGACGACGTCCGACACATTGAGTCTGGTGGAAGAGAACGAAAAGGAAGTCATTCAGCATCCGAATGAGATCACCCAGGATGCCCAAATGGGCGTGCAGAAAGCAGAAGCGGCGGCCTTGGTTTGGTCTAAAACCGCCGTTTATGGCATCTTCGCCTGGTAAGAAAGCCATGCCAGCCATCATGATCTTGGGACAGAGAGGGCCACACCGAGAGAAAAGAGGAAAGACACGTCTGCTAACTCAACACCGCGTGTGATAGGATCTGGCTGTGCTTCTTCATCACCTCCTTACAATTGTCGATCAGCAACAACATGATTTATTATGCTTATGCGGGCTTCGCATCGGCCCCTCAGATTTCCCAGGCCTACATTGTCTCAACCATTGTCAGCGGGGTTATCCAGCTGCCGATTGCCAAAATTCTCAATCTCTGGGGCCGTGCCGAGGGCTATCTGGTGTTTGTCGGGGTTCTTGTCCTCGGTCTTATCATCATCGCTTCCTGCAATGGCCCCAATAGCTTTGCCGCGGGATATACATTGTATTGGATCAGCTACAATGTGGTCAATTTCATCCTCAGTATCTTCATTGTGGACTTGTCTGGCCTGCGCAATCGAGCGTTTCTTTACGCCTTTATTGGCACGCCGAGCATATGTACGGCATTTGTCGGACCCATAGCTGCTCAAGCATTCCAGCAACGATCAACCTGGCGATGGTCTTACGGCTGTTTCGCTATCATCATCTTTTTCGTTTTCGTTCCTCTCGCCTTCGTCTTCAAGTTTTACCAGCGAAAGGCGGAGAAGATGGGTCTCTTCGTTAAAACCCCAAGCGGCCGTACGACTCTACAGTCGATTGTGCATTACTTTCATGAGTTTGACATCATCGGCGGCTTTCTCCTCATGGCGGCCTTTGTCCTGTTCCTCTTACCGTTCAGTCTGGAGATCTACGGGTATGGGGGATACTCCTCCGCCACGTTTATCACCATGGTCGTGATTGGCATTCTCCTCTTCCCGGTCTTTGCCATATGGGAGAGCTACTTTGTGTCGACCCATTTTATCAAGTGGGAGCTGTTTAAGAAGCGGACTGTTCTGGGGGCATGCGTCTTATCCGCCCTGGTCTTTTTCAACTACAACACCTGGGATCAGTACTTGTATTATTACGTGCAGGTGGTCTACAACCTCAACACCACGGACACGGGATATGTGACGCAAACCTATACCGTGGGCGCCAGCATTTGGTCCGTGGTCTTTGGGATTTGGATCCGCCAGACCAAGTACTTCAAGAATGTCTGTCTGTTTTTTGGAGTCCCGCTGTTCCTGCTTGGGGCCGGGCTCATGATTCACTTCCGTGGTAGCGAGACTCAAATCGGGTACCTGATTATGTGCCAGATCTTTATTGCCTTCTCTGGCGGCACCCTCGTCATTGGCATTGATATGGCCGTCATGGCCGCGGCAGACCGCGACAGTATCCCCATGCTGGTCGCGATGTTGGGTCTATGCTCCAGCCTTGGGGGCTCCATTGGCTACGCTGTCGCCGTGGCTATCTACTCCAACACCTTTCCGCAGGCGCTGCGCAGCGCACTGCCCAATGATACCCAGTCCGACCTTGATACCCTCTATCTCGGCGGTTCCGCTGCTCAGCTGGCATATCCTCCGGGCAGCGCCACTAGGTCCGCTCTCAATCACGCGTGGGCCACGAGCCAAAAGTACGAGTGTATTGCAGCCACCGCGATCCTCATCCTTGCTTTCCCTGCGGTTGCGATGTGGAAAAACTACAGTGTGGATAAAAAGCAAATGAAGGGAACCGTCATCTAACGCCCATTTCATTCAACGGCATGGAGGAAGATTGTTGCCCAACAGTATCTTGTGATTAGGTGGGATTCCAGCCCTGTTCCACCACCAATGTAGCACGAGTTTCGGGATTATGATTAATATGCTCATTTTCCCTCGCATGCATTCTTGGCCCACTTGGAAATACTATCATGGCTTCCAAATCTCCCTCCACTGATGATATACTGGGGCATTATTGGTCCTGGAAATAACTGGGCGGGTCCTCGAAGCAAAGAACAAGGAAGAAACAAAGCAGATCTCAAAATTCGGGAGTGAGCTAAACGGGAGTTGGGGCTCGCGGGATACAGCTTTATTATCACATGGAAAGCAAGCAGTTAATCAAGTAGACTGGAAGAAAAATAAAATAAAATAAACGGGGGTAGGGGTTTTCCTGGAGGAATTCCAAGGCAAATAGAATCGCTTCTAGACGTCAGCAATAACAACCCGGGCCTTGCTCTCTTCCAATAGCAAAGGGATCTCCCAAACTGCCTTTTCTCACTGGAGATACGGCCTATAAGGCGTATAAGCATACGTACACTTTAAGCAATTGGATTCAAGATCGGCCCAGCCAGCAGCTCTTCCAGGGAAGTCACATCGTCCAGCTCTTCCAGTCCCAGCACCAATTTCTCTATTGAATTTCGTCGCTCGTCATCGATCAGTCCCTTTGTGAACTTGCGATATTTATCAAGAATCTCTTGGTTAGATAATGGGGGGTTGACTCCTTTGGGTGCATCCAATGTTTTGGTGATGATACTGCCGTCACTGAAGGTGATAGTCACCCGCTGTTCATATTTCTCACCCAGTTCAGGTGTATGGTAGCACTCTGTCTTATTGACTAGTTCCCAGATCCTATCTCGATCTAAGAGGCTCTGGTGGAATTGCGCGAGGGAGACCTGTCCATCAATGAGCTGCACGGCGGCCACATAGGCACAGCTCATCTGAGCACCAGTCGTCGTCAAAGGTCGATGGGCTTTCCATCCCCCATGGTGATAAGCTGGCTCGGACATTTCGATTTTGATACCCTTGATGGCGGACAAATCTTCCAGCTTTTGTGGATGGGCCTTCTGGAGAGCCGCAACGGTGTCAATTGTGCAGTGAGTGCCTGCCATGGCCGCATGGGGCTTCACTCGAATGGCATCCAAGAGCCAAGTCTGCCCGAGCCCTTTCACCAGTTCATTTTCCAAATAAGGAGGTTCCTTGCCCGACCCTTGGCTGAACACCGTCAGAAAGCCTCCGTAGGGCTCCTCAAAAACTTTCTTGATGCCGGAATATCCGCCCTTGGCGAGAAGTGCGGCAAAAAGGCCATTCCGGGCTGCAAAGCCGTGCTGCATTCGCTTTGCATCGCTGCTGAACTGCGCAGACATCAGACCACAAGCTTGGGTGCAAGCGATGCCGACAGCATCCTCAATCTTGTCCGTTGGTAAATCGAGTAATTTGCTCACGGCTACCGCTGAGGCGGCATGACCGAACACCACGCCCGAGTGCCATCCCCTCGTAAGCATGTGGGTGCCGTACAGACATAGACCAACACGAGGACCTGTCTCGTAGCCAACAACCGTGGATACAATGAGACTAGCTCCGGTAGTTGGCGACATCCCGCGAGCCTTCTGCTGCGATGCGGCAGCTAGCAGGGCCGGAAGGAGCAGCGCATTGGAGTGCAGTGGCGCCATAGAATGCCAGTCGTCAAGCTCAAACCCTTGCAGGGCGGTACTATTCATGAGAGCTGCGGGTAAAGGTCCAACTTTCTAATTCATTCTTCAAATTAACAATTCTGGCCCGAAACTGATGCAATATACTATCTCAAGATGGCCGGGCCGTACCTTTTCATATCCCCAAACTGGGCAGTCCCCGGCGGGCTCCATATCAAGAATGGCACCCACGGCCTTCTCCGTCCACGGGAGATGGGCCCCGACAATGGCACAGCAGAGCCCATCGAGGATGAGATACTTGGTTCGAGTTCGTACATCCTCGGGAATGTCGTCTAGTTTGAGATTGTCAACCCAGGCACAAAGCTGGTGCGTCACACCTGGACGAGTCTGGGCAGATGGAATGGGATTTGAGGCCATGATGGTCTTTGCAATACATAACAACCCGTCTCAAGTTAGCCCGAGATGAAGTCTTTATTTTCCCCTCGCATTCGGCCCGCATTCGGCCTCCACCTCCAGACGGCCTCATCCACAGTTAGCTAGTTAACTAACTACTCCGTATTTAGTTAACTAAGCCGGGTGAGTACATAACCGTTTCTCGGCCCGTATGCGGGATAAAAACCGACTGCTCTCCCCAGCATGATATGATCGGGCTGGACCAGGCATAGCTCAGCGCGTCGTTGCCGCCCTCCCCTACATATGTGCCATGGCCAATATAGCACATAATCCTAACCTTTCATCCGGGTCCCCGCGCTACCGCAGTAAACGGATCGCATGTCGGCAATGTCGCCAAGCTAAGGTGGGACAAGTCCAGTTCAATCCACCCGGACATCAAGGAAGAACTGACCAATGGGATATATATGTAGATTCGATGTGAATTGTCGACGGGAGGGGCTATTCCCTGCACCAGGTGTCGGCGAATGGGGCATGACTGTAAAGTAGACCAGGCATTTCAACGCGTTAACCGGAGAGAGTATGTCAGGATGCCTCTATGAGTTGAATAACTATTGCTAACATTCACAAAGAAGGCTTGAGGCGCTCGAAAAAGAAATCCAGAGTCTTCGATCTTCCGTTTCTACGCTTCCAGGATCTACGGCTTCTGCGCTTCAAGGCGCTTCCGCCCCAGACGACTCGTTCAGCCCGCATGTGTCTTCGGCTGTGGTGGATGGCAGGCCATCTGAAGCCAATGAGGCCTTCTTGATCCCAGGCTTACCCTCCGCAGCCCTGGAGAACACACAGAACACCCCAGTTCCTCCGTTGCTGCATCCGCAGAATTCATTAGACAGCCACCTCACCGCGGCCTCGTCGACTGCTTCAAGGTCTCTCGATGGCCTGCATTTTCCTGGGTCTCGGATCGATATGTTGTTCCAAATGTGAGCAAGCCTTTCTTTCTTTTGATTGCCACTAGTGTCTAACCGTCCCTAGATTCTTCCAATATTACCATCCTTACATACCTCTGCTAGACCCTGGAGTTTCCCCAGATTCATACTATGCAGGCTCTCCGTTGCTCTTCTGGACTGTCACACTCGTCTCGTCTCGTCGTTATGCCGACGAACCGGGATTGTTTGTGAATCTTACGGCGCCGGTAAAGAAAATGCTTTGGGATACTATCTCCAACCCTCCGCAGACGTGGCACGCCGTTCAGTCTATTCTTCTCGTCTGTCTGTGGCCCTTTCCAACGTCATCACTGTCCTCCGATATTACCTCTATCCTTCTCTCTGCGGCTCAAACCATTGCAGTACGACTGGGTCTCCACCGTCCCGAGGCTATCCAGGAATTCTCGCGAACCAAAAAACGGTTAAGCCCTACTGAAATCGCTGAAGCAGCACGGATATGGGCGACCTGCTATATTGCTTCCCAGACGTAGGGCCAGATTTCTTTGTCTCTTTCGGGAATAATTGCATTAACCGAGTTTTATAGTGTTTTGACTACAGAGGGTCAACTTTGGATATCATCCGATTGGATGATTGACCGTCTGTGTAATCGAGATGATACTACTACTATCATTCCTTTGGCCCTGAAACATCAACTCATAATTGCGCGCTTCTCTACCCGCGTATACAATTTCATGTCCGGTCATCCCCACGCTTCCACTGGCCTTCCTCATCCGGCGGAGGGAATGTCCCTTTTGGCCCTGCTAGAGAGTGAATACATTGATCTGTGTTCTTCGTTGTCCGAACAGCTTTCGGGTGAGTCATTTTCACTCTGGGGGGAAGTCGATATGATGCTAATACGACAAGCACAGAGTACAATAAGGTTTTACTCCACGGAGCTGGCCTCCAGCTGTATGTTTTCTATCTGCTTAATAGTAGCGGGTCGGATGCACGGAAACAAGGTCTCCTTCGTGCCTTCCACACGGCCTGTGAAGTGATCTTAAAACTCAATCACTGGGAGGTTTCGTCCGAAGCGATGAAGTATGGCCCAGTATCCTACTTCCGCATCATCTCGCTTGCGGCTATGTTCATTATGAAGCTCAGCTATTCAAACCTCGGTGCCTTCGTGAATATCGAGAGCGGGAAATGTGCCTTCAATGCCGCCATCTCCCTTACCCGCCGTATATCGATTGAAGACAACGATCTGCCAGGAAGGATGACAAAGATCCTTACACAGCTCTGGAGTGCCCAGGCCAGAATCAGTCAATGCGATAAAGATCCCGGGCTTATACTCAAAAATCGCCTATCGGCAAGTTTGGTCAACGACTCACTATGGGCCTGGAGAGAGGAATTTGGCGGACAGCGAGGTGGACCAAGTACACCCCCTTCTCGTAAGTTACATTCTCCAAGCCTCAGTTCAAGGGCTGTGAAAGTCGCAGTACAGCGGTCTAACATGCGATAGGAACGAAGCCGTCCAACTCCTCTACCCAGGAAAGCATGCTGGACGCTTCCCAAGACAACACCGACTGCGATGTACTAACGCTGGCAGATGTCGTTGATGCGGAAATGCTGGCATTGCTTCCGTTTAGTCTAGATTGCGATGGGTTTCCGGTATCTTAGGAGCAGACTCGATCGTCTTTGGTCACTTGCCGTGGATTTTTTTTTTCTACTCTATGGGCGATTTTTCGAGGCATAGGCCAATGCATAGGGTGTAATTATAAGAGCTAATACGAGGCCCTTATGAGAAGACACATACTACCACTGCAAATTCGCATGCGGTTGAGCAGTTTCCCCATCACCTGTCATAAACATGTCCTTTGCACTCCCGAGATTTTTCGGTGTTGTCATTTTCTCAAACAGTCGGTTTCCAAATTTCTGGAATGCAGAAGCTATTCCGCCGTACTGGAAAAGCTCCCTCTCCATCTGGCTCAGTTGGAATTCGAATTTCCTTCCACCACCCACGTCAATTGTCTTGCAAGTCAAGTCAATAGATACCTCAGCCCCGTCTTTAGCTTCATCATAAAATGCTTTATCCTGTATAGTGATGCCGAGGAGACCGAGGTTTGGCATGTTACGTTGGAATATGAAAGCAAATGATTTGGCAATGACGCATTGGACACCACAACCTGCACACAGATTAGATCCGTATCTTGCCGAACGGAATGCCGAATAACATACCTAAAAGTGCCATCACGGCCTGTTCACGCGATGATCCACATCCGAATGCCTCTCCAGCAACCACAATATTAAACCCGTCTTTCACTCTCTGTCGGAACGCCGGATGAGTGTGTTGTAGGCAGTGAAAACCGCTAAGCTCATTGCTCTTCATATTCATGAGGAATTCAGCAGGGGCCAGCTAGTCAAGGTCAGTCTTTGCAACCAAACTCTCGAAATAACTCAAAAGAAACACACCGCGTCCGTATCAATAAAATCGCCTAAACGTTGAACTTTTCCTGCCATGATGTCGCCGTGGGGATTGGATAGTGTGCTTTCGCCTTCCTCTTGTAGCGATGATTCCAGCTTCTCTTTCGAGCTTCTACTTTCTCCTACAGACAAGCCGCTTGGCTCGACATAAGTCACGCCCTGTTCCGCAGGGAACTCAGCTGGGGCAGGTGAGATGCCACGAAGACAGTGCCATCGGTCGAGGTCAATATCATCGAGATATTCCTGTGGGTCTCGCACTTTCATTTCAAATGAAGATGCTGCAACGGTAGCAGCCGAAGCGAGGTTTCCGATTGAACCTATATTCGTTCAGTGAGACCTTGATTAACGGCACCATCTAGGGCAAATGGTTTTTAATTCTACCTACCTTTTCCCATCCGGTTCTCGAAATTCCGATTCTGCGACGACAACCACACTTCTCCCGGGCCAGCCTGATCAGCGGACATTCCAACGCAGTAGCTGCATCCTGGAACACCAATCTCAAACCCAGCGTCTTCGTAAATTGTGGTGAGTTCGAGTTCTCGAAGACGGTGTAGGATAGGCATAGACCCAGGAACAACCTTCCGTGTGCCATGGGGGCCCGGTTTTAGCCCGCGTTTCAGTCCCTGTTCGAGAACAAGAGCAGCCAAAATCAGGTCTTCTTCAGCGGTTGTGCATGCACCAATAAAACAACCGTCTAAGGGCATTCCCTCCACATCTGCAACCTGGACAACATCATCCGGATTGGGGTACTTTGCTATAAACGATCTCACACGGCCGAGATCGATCTCATGGACTTCAGCGTAATGGGCATCATCGTCGGGCTTGAAGTAGACCCCTGCATTCTTGTGTCGAGGCAGGTGTCGTTGCCGGATGAAGTCATGCGTAATCTGATCCGGGACAAACACACCGGTGATGCCGCCAAACTCCTACCATCTTTGTCAGTATGCTCTAGATATTTCAATTCCGGGAATCCCAGTTTCGTACCGTTGTCATATTGCATATTGCGAATCGAGCATCGCATGATAGGTGTTTAGTCCCTGGCCCGGTAAACTCAACAATTCGATCTGCAGCGACGGTGTTTCGCTTAAGCTGCTGCAGAATGTATAGAATGGTATCCTTTCCTCCAATTCCAGGCTTCGGTGTCCCAACCAAACGAATGTTAATAGACTCGGGAACCTTGAACCACGTTTCTCCAGTCACCAGGGGTAATGTGACATCCGCTGCTCCTAACCCAATTGCAAGGCCACCTAGGGCCCCGGAAGAACAGGTATGCGAATCAGATCCAATCACTATCATTCCAGGTTGAACTCGGGACCTATAGAACTCGGTGTGCAGAATAGTATACTAGTATATTGTTATTTTTGCCACTCCATCTAAATTGCACGGGGGGCCTATGTCAATACTCACATTCATTCCTTGATAATCCGTCATCTTGAATACCCGCTTGGCTCTCTCGCTGGCGTCAATCAATGCCTGCACCTTGGGCAGATTATTGACACGAGGGTCGACCACATGGTCTCCTGCCAGCCAAAAGCGGTCATTTCGGAAGATCCCCGGTTTCCCAAGCATATTGTAAGTTCGTTCCATGCCCTATAGCTCCGTTACTCATACATTCAACATACCAGCCACGAGGCAGGGTTCTTACTGCCCATGAAGCCTCGGAAGCAATAACCCAGTCGACATCCACTCGAATCAGTTCACCTGGAATCACCCAGCCTCTCCTCTCGGTGTCATGAAGGGCAAAGATTTTCTCGCTAAGGGTCATTCCTCGCCGACCTAACGGTCGAGCTAGGAGTGGTGTAGGAGGAGATTTTGCTCTATCTGCCGAGTTCAGCGATTCCAGCCACGAAGATACGAGAAAGATAAGCTCCGATTCTTGTTTGGCGGTGCATTTGACCGATTCTGTCACTCCGAGTCCCCCAAGCTCCCCCGGTCGGTGACAGATTTCCAGCACATCCGACAAAGCATTGGCTTCACGGGAATGCTTGTAGGTCTGGAGAAGCTTGACGATGTGCAGCAGCTGGCTAGTAATGCTAGGATATGCTTCTAGCTCTTTCGCTGTTTCCCAGTCAGTTATACAGCTTTGCACAAAACCACCCACGACTCGGTACCTACCTTCTTGGTCAGAGAAGCTGATCCTCCGGCTTTGGTGCAGTGTTTGCAGCAACTGCTGGATACTAGACTGTTTTATATCGGCCATGTCTGGAATACTACGTTGATTGATTTATTCAGGGAATAAACATGAGCGACTTCCAAGCTTCACATGTATATAAATAAACGCATGAGCCCAAACCCCGCGATTCGTCCGGCACGTCCGCGGCCCGTTTGCGGCCCGGAGATTGTGAAGTATATATATATATATATATAACTGGATCAGATGACGAGGTCGGTAACAACTCCCTGACAGCTTAACAAGTATCTTTATATGCAGCGGTTTCGACGCAATAATTCTGTTCAAAATGCCGTCTTTAGCAGCAGCCAGACTACGTGAACTCCTGGCCGATGAGAACAAGATTATCGTCTGCCCTGGGGTGTATGATGGTTTAACGGCTAGGATAGCCCTTCATGAAGGATTCGACGCGATATACATGGTACTCAGATAGAGTCTCCCAGTGAAGTGTTCCAGCTAATCCCTTATTTCCCCGCCAGACTGGTGCCGGAACTACAGCCTCTCGATTGGGACAACCAGATTTGGGCGTCATCACCCTGAATGAAATGCGCGGAACAGCAGAGATGATCGCTAATCTCGATCCGTCAGTTCCGCTCATTGCAGACGCGGATACTGGGTTTGGAGGTATACTGTGCAACGAGACACTTGATTAGTCCTGCAGATGTCATCACTAACTCCAAAGTTAGGGTCCCTCATGGTTCATCGCACCGTCACCGAATATATCCGGGCTGGGGTCGCTGCATTACATCTGGAAGACCAACCCATCACCAAGCGCTGCGGACATTTGAGCAACAAACAGCTCGTCTCGGAAGAAGAGTATCTGAGCCGCATTCGCGCCGCAGTGAACGCCCGCTGCCGTTCCAATGGCGATATCGTTTTGATTGCCCGCACGGACGCTCTGCAGTCTCTAGGATACGAAGAAGCCATCTCTCGACTGAAAGGTGCGATCGAACTTGGGGCCGACGTGGCCTTTTTAGAGGGGGTCGCGTCCAAGGAGCAGGCGCGACAAGTGTGTGAAGCCTTGAAGCCAACTCCAGTCTTGTTCAATGCTGTCCCTGGCGGAGTATCTCCGGATCTTTCGGTCCAGGAAGCTCAAGATTTAGGATTTCGCATAATCATCTTTCCCGGGTTAGCGCTAGAGGCAGTGTCAACAGCAGTGCGGAGTGCCGTTAAGCAACTGAAGGAAACAGGAACACAACCTGTCCGAGCGGGAAGTAGTCCAAGGGATCTGTTTAATGTGGTGGGGTTACAAGAGGCAGTGGCTTTGGATCACGCAGCAGGCGGCAAACTGTATGAGAAAGGGGTTTAAGTGGTATGTATAAGCGTGTCAGATTCCTGCAAGCCACAGACAGATGCACACAAAATGAATTTGTGTGCAATAAGGCCAGCCGAATAAAAAATTCTGCGAGTCCGCCGGTGGGTGGCAGTGTATGATTATTATTGTCCAATTCCTCTCGGATGAAATATGTTGATTGAACAACTCCCAAAGCATTAAGCTGTCCCCCCACTGCCACTCCAACATATCATCGCTGCTACGCCCGGCAGAGTTCGATTCGACGGGAAATAAGGACGCCAGAGGGATTTGAGGGTCCTGGGGCACTTCATGGCTTCTTGTTTAGTGTCTCCTAGCGTCGACCCTTTCTGCACTAAGCTTTAGGCACACTTTCGCCTAGTATTTCCAGATTGGAATACTCCGTAGCTATGGGACTTGGATTGTGCCTCGTTGACCCCTGCGGCTGAAGATGTCCAGTGAAAGCACGGGGAAGGGTCATAGCCGTCGCTTGACCCTAATTCAAGAGCCGCTTGAGCGCCCAGGTTCCAATTCTCACGATGATTTTTTTTGAATCTTCTCTGCCCATTGCTCACCTTGCGTATGTTCTGCATGGATTTTGCAAGATGCGGAACCTTCTTTATGTTTTGGGTTGCCTTTTCTACCTTGACCTAACGAAGGCCCAGCTTTCGACCCTACCAACCTGTGCAGTGCGATTACCCTAGATTCTCGCGTTATAAAGACCATCACTAATCTTTCTTCACTGCAGCGAACATGCTACACCAGTACTGTGAGCTCTACAGATTGCTCTTCAACTGACTACTCGTGCCTTTGTTTAAGTTCCACTTTTCAAAAAAGTTATACTTGCTGTGTTCGATCGGAGTGCGATGCTATAGATGACGACAGTATGTCCAAATCCTACATCATGAAGAGCAGTGGACTGATAAATTCTGAAGCCATCGAAAGTGAGGCTTTCGTGCTTTGCGTGGAGTGAGATTCTCCATTCAGATCAATGAGAAGACGTGTAGCTAAAACATCTCCCTGCAGATACGGAATCTCCATTACATCTTTGCCAGCCAGCGCATGTTCCAGTAGCACAAGCACTGCCACAGGGACAAACACGGCCAACCAGGCCAGCACCACGACTAATAGCTATACCGACTCTTCAGATTCCTCTTCGGACTTACTGGACAATGCATTGGAGAGTAGCAAAAAGCGAAAGTCAAGATTGAGCACCGGGGGCAAGGCAGGTATTGGCGTCGGTGTAGGATCTGCCGCTGTTATTATTCTTGGGGCAATCGCTTGGTTCATCAAGAGACAGCGACGAAAGAAGGCGCCAGGGCCGAGTTATGAAACGGCCATTCAACCCCAAGCGGACGCTGCCCCGGAAAAACCGTACATGTCGGAGACAGTGTCGCCGGCTCCTCCAAGCGAAATGCAGCCGAATGGCCAGCCTGTATACCAGCCGGATTTGAGTACTCCGGTTGACGTGTATCAAAAACCTTTTGGTCCATACGAACCAACCACAGGCAGTACCACCGAGCAGCACGCGAACTCTCAGAGTGTGTATCCACCAACAATAAACACTGCGAGCGATCTGCAACCGAACCCTCAGGGCGTATATCAGCCAACAATGAGTCCTCCGAGTGCATATCAACCGGCGGCGACCAGCGCAGCCGAACTACATTCGAATTCACAGGGGGTATACCCGCCACCAACGGGCACTCCTTCGGAACTGCCATGCAATGCACCTTACTCCCAGCAACAACCGGGTTACAGTCAGCATGAGTTGCCGGGTAATTCGCACCAAACACGTTACGAGTTGCAGTAGAGAATCCTAGCGGTAACGGGGCCCTTTGTACGGAAGGAGGTACATAATATAGCCATATGACAACTGAGACAGGCTTTGTTTCTTGACTTACATCTTCGTCCTCCTACGCCCATAAAACCACACTCGCTCCGAGAGTTAACTGCAGTTAACGAGGGATGCCTTCATAATTGGTATCTCGCGCCGCTGCTGGGCATAACTGCAACTTTTGGCTCCACTGGATACGAAGAGGATTTTGTGGCGCCTGTTAAGCAGACTCTGCAGGCCGAGTGCGATAATTGCCAGGAACTATTGGTTCGGAAAAGCCAGAGTCAGGCCGCCGTCAACGCTTAGCGTAGGGGGCTGTGGAATAAACCCATTTAGCATGGAAAAAGAGACGATAGTCCCTTTCTCTCTAGAATCAAAGTCGGGCTGATGTTTGTCCGTTCATTAGCAAACGCTTCAGGTCATCCTGGCTCTCGATAACGAAGCAATCTATCCGTATGTTTACTATGTACTCCGTAGACAAAAAGGGATACTAGCCGAAGACAGACACAGCCAGTCAGTTATACTCCGTATTCTAACTGCCTGCTACTATTTGTTCGCACCCAGGACAAGTTCAACGTTCTCCATCATCCTGATAGACATAGCTCAGTTGCTGAGTCGGGCCGAATGCATCTCATAATGGTAGAACATGAATCCCACATTGAGTAATATTAAAACACAGCTCCAATGGTATCCCCGAATTCAAATCAAGCAGACCACGGCAGAACAAGAAGAAAGTCGTCGGAATGCGGCTGGAATCGTGATGATTTAAAGACCGATTCGCTCCGACTCATGGATTTCTCCACGTTTCCCCAAACTGAACGCTAGGGGCGCTGCGAAAATGGACACTCCAGAAGCGCGAGGTGCAAGCGTCGAAGGTACTGGTATCTCTGGCTCGTCCAATACATATCCATGGGCGATCCGTGACTGCCTGTCAGAGATGTCGTCGTCAAAAGGTGACTCTGTCTTTCGTTTCACTGGATCGTCCCTTTGCGAAATTTCCGCCATTGTCCTAGCTCCGATGCACTCGCGAACGTCCCGAGTGCTCTCGCTGCAAGCGCCTGCATGCTCACTGTGTCTACCCTCGACCAGCCGATCGTCGGGGTCGGAGGATTCAGTGGAGGTCCGACCCTGCTCATAGAGCGCATGGCCAAGGTTCCAGACGAGGCCTTGTCGAGCGATCTGTAACGACAACTCCCGGCAGCGTCTCCATATCTCAGTATCCTGAAGCGGTTCCCTTAGGGGGGAGCGATTCTCTACTCCCCCTGTCGATATAGCAGTACAGTTTCGACCCATGACGGAAATGCTTTGCAAGATACCGGACTGAATTGAGGAGTCCAAGGCCCCGGGGCCGGGATCGACAGCCTAGCAGACGGCATTGAAACAATGAATGATTCTTCCCGGTTGTATCACACTCATACACCATTTATGTAATTCAGTTTTGAGTCACGCTTTCCGGCTCCGGACTCCGAAAGTCGCGCGTAACGATTTGTACTTGATTTCTCTCTGTCTTCTTTCCCTTCTCTAGATCCTCTTGTTCTTACTTTCTGCCTATCCTTCTTACTATTCTCCCTGACGTTGAAGCCGCCTGCTGTTGTATTGACGCCCTTTAGCGCTGGCCTACCGTGCGTACCATCTCTTCGAATGCAACAGAAGGATGCTCACTGCGGCCGAAAAACCAGATACTTCGTTTGAAGCTGAACTTGAGCGCCGTTGTTTTTGGTCTTGCTGGATATCTATATGCAGAGGTAGGGAGCCCGAGCCTTATGTGAGATCTGCCTGGCCCAAGGGCGCTATGCTTAAAGCCCGTCCGGCTATGGCATTCGGATGAACGAGAAGATGGGTCATGATTGGAACCCGGTTTCCGTCGAACCTTCCAAAGGTAATACACCTCCTGTTTTTGCAGCAGCGTTTGTGAAGTTAATTGGTATTTCGTAAGAGCCCAGTATAAGCCTTCCAAACGGCTTAGGCGCTGAATATTAACCTATTCATAGGGCGAAGGTCCAGCTTTTAGTAGGTGATCGCGCGTGCTTTACGGATACCCAAACTTTCGACTCTTTAAGAGCGCTCTGATTTGGCGACTACAGTCTTCGATTCTGCAATGTCCGATAAAGATGACACTGCTTTCGAAGATGGCGTTGCAGTGGAGGGGAATCCTCTGATGCTGTTCTTCGCTTCTCTTTACCACCAATGCCAAATCACTTTTTTTTTTTACATGCGATGATTCTTCCTTTATTTTCGGGTGCTCCACCTGACTCAACTCGACATAGTGAAGAAAAGTGCAGAAGCTGTTGCGCGTCATGCAGAGCAGGTTGAAAATCTCTTAGCCCCATACCAGTACGGGCAAGGACATGTCACGCTCGTGCCTCCCATGGTAGTGTGATGGGACGTACCACACCTGGCGTTGGAGATATTGGCCGTGATACGGCGCAACCTGTGGTATCGCAAGACGATACTTGGTATAATTTGTCTTTTGCAGAAATTGGACTCGAGCAGTTCGCCGATTTTGAGCATCTATTAGGACTCTTCCAACATGGCTGGAATTCGTTTAGCTGAATGTCAATACGGATAGATCGCGCTTTCATTCCCACTACCCATGAATACTTGTACGATAAATATATACTACTCTGGTACTGTAGTATTGTTGGGATTTCTGAGTAGACATCTATGTAGTAGTCTGCTTTCTTTGCCGACCCTTAACCCTAGATGTGGTGCAATGATACCCAAACACAGAGTAAGTGGGGAAGTTCGGACCAATATAGAAGACCGATTGGGATTTTTAAATCCCGATTAATGCCAAATATTCAAGAGTGGAAACCACACATAGAGACTGGACTAGACGAGCACCGGCTGGAGGACAAGGCCCAACAAACAAGGACGATTCGCAGCTTCCACAGAAAGACAGCATTTGGGAAGCGAACAAATGCAAAATAAGACAGGAGAAACGGGTCCAGCACGAGGGGACGCCGGATCTGAGTCCTGTAAATAGGGGGGGTTCGAGGAGATATTCCTGGCACTTCAACACAAGCCAGAATGTCTTTTGTTTTACAAGGGTAGTAGGAACGAGGACTATTTGTTCTAAAAATATTCGAGTACGTCTCCAGTTATAAAATAAGTGCTCAGACGATCCCAATCAAAGGATTAATACATCGATCGTACTCCGTACTCCGTGGAGCATCACAATAGACTAATTGGACGGATTAATAGTTTCTCCGGGACATCAGTCCGTTCTCGCCTCATCTCTCCACCGCTTGCTGGAAATGGCGATTCTGCCGGCAATACTACAAATTATCTCGCCGCTTTTGATTGAATCCGCGAGTCTCCGAAGTGGATCAAATTTCTGGACCGCAACAAGGGACCATGGTCTTTCTTCGCATGTCGGAACCCTGAGATGGAGACTGTCCAAGGCACCTGAATCTGGAAATCATACCCAATGACCATCATAAGGTACAGTGTAACACCAATGTCGTCGACGGAAGAACGCTGGCCATTTATTCCAGGAACGAGTCAGGAGTTGAATTTGGATCTGACCAACCAGAACGGTTACATGAACAGTCGCAGGCCGTCCGAAAACGATATCGGCCAACCAGAGGCTTTTGGGCGTATTGGGTCTCAGTTTCTCTTTTGCTGATTTGTAGGGTTTCTTCAGGGGAGTCAAGAGACCCTGTCCTTCGCCGTAAGGGGTAACCACGCTCTCCCCTCCCTATACCTAAATCAATTCATTCTGTTATTTATCCAGCTTCCTAGCCATCAATAGTAGTCTAACAAACTGAATCCCAACGAAAGGATAGTGGATAGTGGGTGGATAGTGGGTGGATAATTGTGGCGTCGTCTGGACTCGGAGCAACTGGATCTAAATCACGTGAATATCCAAGCCCGAAGCGGCCAGTGGCAACATTGAACACACAACCTGTTGAAAGGGGAAACGCATAAGGATTAGTGAACGGATTAAATCGTTGGATGCCCAATAATGACTTGTACCACAAGGTGAACGAACGTGATGGTGGTATCAGAGTCTTCGATCCCCCGTCGACGGAAAGGGACGACGCCACGACATCTGCCACCTAGCGAGTCTTTTGACACTTGTGCTGATCTCCTCTTATCTTGTCGCCGGGAGGTATCTATCTACTTCGACGTCCTATTCTCATACAAAGCCGAATTATACTTCCATAGTATACTCCGTAGGTAGAATCGGATCGCTGCCGATCGGTGGTGGCCTTTCGACCGGCCATGACGGGCACTAAGCAAAAGAAGCGCCAACTGCCGCTGCAAAAGGTTCGGTTCCTCGAGAGATGCTGTCGTTCTCCTTGGTTGACGGTGCTATCTTTAGACTGTGGTTCAAACCCTAACTAACTAGCCAACGCGTCCAGGATCCACCTAATGTGGTGCCTGGCAGTCTAGAATCCTCACTGTCTCTCCTGGATCCCCGCCCAGATTTAAGAAGCCTTCTGCATCTCTTTCATGGCTGACTTTCTTTCATTACTTTCTCTTCCATCTATCTGTCTTTCGCTGATTTTACCCCGGGTCTTTCGTTTCTTACCCCGGTAAACGACATTCGTTCTTGTCTCTCTCTATCTCTTTCTGTTTCTGTTTCTCGTTCCCGACCCTCACAAGTATATCCTTCGTTTGCAACAGACTCACTACGACACAATGCTTTCCCATATCCTTGCCCTTGCGCTGTCCATCGCTGCCTCCGAGGCCGCCTATAAGGGCTTTAACTATGGCTCGACCAACCCAGATGGCAGCTACAAGGCTCAGTCTGATTTCGAGTCCGAATTCACCACTGCTAAGAACCTGATCGGCACCTCCGGATTCACCAGTGCCAGACTTTACACCATGATCGTAAGTGCCTCGGTTGTCTGATGAGTGGGGAAAAAAAAAAAAGGTTCCCTGGCTGATTATTCTCTAGCAAGGTGGAAGCTCCAACACCCCCATCTCGGCGATTCCTGCCGCCATCGCTGAGGATACCTCCCTTCTCCTCGGCTTGTGGGCGTCCGGTGGAAACATGGCGAACGAGCTGGCTGCGCTCAAGTCGGCTATCAGCCAGTACGGCGATGACTTCGCCAAGCTAGTCGTCGGTATCTCCGTCGGTAGCGAGGATCTTTACCGTGACTCCGAGACTGGTATTCAGGCCGACGCCGGCGTGGGTGTCGGCCCCGACGAGATCGTCTCCTACATCCAGCAGGTTCGCAGTGCCATCTCTGGTACGAGCCTCAGCAGCGTGCCAATCGGTCACGTTGACACCTGGAATGCCTGGACTAACTCCTCCAACTCCGCTGTCATCGATGCCTGTGACTGGCTCGGCTTCGACGGATACCCTTACTTCCAGAGCACCATGGCTAACTCGATCGATGATGCCAAGTCTCTGTTCGATGCGTCTATTGAGAAGACTAAGGCCGTTGCCAATGGCAAGGAGATCTGGGTGACTGAAACCGGTTGGCCCGTCAGCGGATCGACTCAGAACCTTGGTGTCGCCTCCATCGCCAACGCCAAACAGTTCTGGGATCAGGTTGGGTGCCCTCTCTTTGACAACACCAACACCTGGTGGTACATTCTGCAGGATGCCTCCGGATCTGTGACCCCCAGCCCCAGCTTTGGCATCGTTGGTAACACCCTGTCCACCACCCCTCTGTTCGACCTGTCCTGCTCTGTCTCCTCTTCTTCCTCTGCCGTTGTTGGCAGCACCAGCACTGCTTCTGCTTCCAAGACCACTGGCTTCGTGACCTCCTCTGCCACTGGCTCGGCCGCCACTACATCCGGCGCTGGCTCTAGCTCTAGCCATGGATCTGGCTCTGGCTCTGGCTCTGGCTCTGGCGCTGGCTCTGGCGCTGGCGCTGGCTCCAGCTTTGGCTTTGGCTCCTCTAGTGTCATTCCCAGCTCCAGCGTTCCTTACACCAGACCCAGCTCTACTCTGAGCGTTGGTCGCCCTGGTGCCTCTAGCTCTGCTTCCGCTGGCTCTAGCTCTAGCTCCAGCTCCAGCTCTAACTCTAACTCCGGCTCTGGCTCCAGCTCCGGTTCCTCTACCACTACCAAGTCTGGCACTGGCAGCGCCACCTCTCCTGCTAGCAGCTCCTTCACTGGTGCTGCCGATCGCGTCACTGGCTCCCTCTTCGCTGCTGGTCTGCTGGCTGTTGGTGCAGTGATCGCTTTGTAAAGTAGCGGTTTCGACTGTCTCCCAAGCTTAGTACCTGATCGCTGGCTGAAAGTGTGATACTGAGTTTGTATGTATCATTTTAAACTAGACCATCTTTTCACCTCTTGTACTTTTGGGGGGGGGGGTTTTCCCTTGACCTTTTTTTTTTTTACAAAAAATATATATAACATTTTTAATTTCAAACAACGTGATCCGGTCAAGTTCATCTTAGTAGTTGCCTCCATACTCAGCTCTGTTCCTGGCGAATGACAAGCTTCCGGTGGCATCTTCGCCCGTAAATCTGTAGAGCGAATATCTTCAAGGCGAAGAGAATTCGAACAAGAGTCTTCATCTGGCTTTCATTAACCTCACCTAAGTGAAGTACTTAACCCCTCTCCAAACTAATACGTTTTGCGTCTTTTCAACTTCGGAAGATGCCCAGGGCTGTAATCAAGTCCCTGGATAGCCTCCAAGGACACCTCACTCTGGGAAATCGATCTAGAAAAAATGCGCCCTTTGCTGTTTCCAAAAAAAAGACGATTACTGGCTCTTTAGAAGCTTCAAATGAGTGTAAAATACTTCCTAATATCTGGTTACCCGACAACCATCCATCTACAGATATTATGTAAGACGCCTCGCTTTTGAGGTCATGACTTATACCAGTCAAGTGTACAACATTCACGGTACCACTTGCAATCTTCCTCATCTTCTGCTGCCTGTCTTCTCTCTTGCTTTATGCCTCATTATTGAATATCTGGGCGGTGCGGTGGTTTCTCGGATCTAGGCAGTTTTTCCACTTGCATCAGAGGAGTTATTTGGATGAGCGGCCAGGACAACTCTTGATACCAATCACTCCCTTCCGACTATTGAAATCCTACAGATGTTGATGTGGTGCCATGGAGGACGTGAAATTAACGCACGGTGGAGGCGGTAATGAGAAGCCCCGATCCTTTGCATAGGAACCGAAAAACTGAGGCATTCCAGAGCGTCTTGATGCTGTGTCCAGCCTTCTCGGCCGCGCGTTTGATAAAGACCCAATACTCAGATACATGCTTTGCGACATGTCCCCTGAAGAATATCGATCCTATCTGAAGCCTTACTGGGAACGACTATGTAAGGCAGCAGTGCTCAACGACGGCATTATAACCGAAGCAGATGGATGGAAAGCAGGGGCAGTGTTGATGCCACCAGGCAAGTTGCTCGATAACCCCTGGACCATGATTCCGGCAGGGCTCTTTAGCGTACTGTTTCGAATCGGAATTTCTGGGGTTCTGGTATTCTTAATCTTCTTTTGCCCCATCGCATCCTGAAAGTTGTGTCCTACTAATGGATCTAGCGCATGATGGCGGACTACAGTAATCCAGCCAAGGCTGCGAAGAAAAAAGGACTTAAAGGGCACACCAGGTATTACTACCTCTTTGCCATTGGGACTGAATACGAACACCGAGGAAAAGGTAGGATGGCCCTGTATGTCTACCCCTGTGCGATACTAGTAACATTAGGTAGGCCTGGCGCGAGCTATCATCAAGCAGTATAAAGAGAGAGCTCAGGCCGATCAAGTACCTCTATGGCTGGAAGCCACAAATCAACATTCTCGTGACATTTACGCCTCCGAAGGGTTTGATGAGATCGAAAAGGTCACCATTGGGATAGGAAAAGCTGCTGCGGATGGAACCGTGCAGAAAGGGGGATCAGGGGTTTCGTTTTGGCCTATGGTGTGGTGGCCAGAGTCTCTAAAATAGTCTCAGATTCTGCTACTCGGGGAGTAAGTAATACGGATGGGGGTCATGGGGTAGTGATACTTGATGATGAATATTTTCCCTAGGATTAATTGCCCTCTAGGGGTGAGTGAGAGTGCTGTGGCTGTGTATATTTGTATTTAATCTCCAAAGATTCATTAGTTATACAATTTAATATTCCATAAGCAAAGGTTAATTTGACGGTTATTGGACTATCAGGAAATTAAATAAATATCAACCAATATCATCAGAAGACTGTAAGAGCCGTGCACCACCAGCTCCCAGTTTCCCAGGCTCCGCAGCATGGCTAGTTTGTCCATTTTAAACCCGTCATAGATCAAACCGGTGACTCTATTCCATATTTCCTCTGATATGACCGACGAAGGGATTGAAATCAGCAAATTGCCCACGACCATCAGCATCATAACACAGGGTGCGGTATACGTCCACTACTGCTCAAATTGTTGGATTGGTACCGCAGGAGAGGAGAATTCGCCTCTCTTCGCAGTGGATAGGTTTTCTAGATGCTGAGGTGTGACTGCTGAAAGACGCTGCGCCCAGATTGCGTGCCATCTCCCTTTTGCTTGGATGGTGTATCTGTGTCCTTCCACGAGCGGTACGCGAGGAAGAGTTACTTCAACCACAACGGAGCTGCTGGGAGGAATCTCAACCAACTCCTTTGCGGACGGAGGTAACTTGCGAGAGAGCTTTATGGTATCCAAAGTAACGGGCTCGCCGCTTTCTGCATGTCGAATCTCAAATAAACCTAAGATATTGGCATGAGGGTCCAAGGGCGACCCCCATCTCAGAACGGTGAGACATGTCTTCCCAGTGTTTCGGACTGACACCCGCACTGGCACGGCTATAGGAGAGGAGAAGGCCGCAGAGAGGGTTGGCAAATTTAGTTGAACCTCAATACTGGGGAAGGAAGATGATTCGGGTTCGGAAGGAGTCGACATGATAGTATAGAGGAAGAAAGAGCATGCCACAAAAATAGCCACCGACCCCATACGAGTACCGAACATTGTCTTATCTACCATCGGCAAAATAATTAGACTGGCCTATCCACTTTTGAGCGGAATAACCTTGGTATAGTCACTGATTTATGCGTGGAGTATCTGATCGGCAGTCGCAGAAAGGCCATCGTCCGGCACCTCCGACCTCTTGGTGATCTATTTGATATTAGATGGGCCGCTAAGAGAGCTTCAACCTCCATTTTCGAAGAATAAATAAGAGATAGCCTATCTTTTTTTCAAGAAGATCTGCAGTAGCTGCCGCTCTTCTGATCCAAAGCTAGAATCATAGCAAATCATGCGCGAACTGCAGGGGAGTTACTCCAACTAGTGGCTAGCAGAAAGGTCTTGGGTTGCATCCTTACATCGAGCCCGTTCTTAAGAGAGGTCAATTGTATTAATGTTGATGTTGTCTAAGCATTGTGTCTTTCTAGGGACAAAGCAAAGCCATTCTCCATTTCCAAAACACTCAACATCGCTGGGCTAGAGGGACATGGCCATTCTAGTGACCTGGAGATAGTATTAGTCTACGCCCAGGTATGGTTATTCTCTCAGTATTTTGTAAGATGTGTGCTTGCTCCCAGGGAAATACGGGAACATACCGAGGGAATCAACTACCGTCAACAAAGCGGGACCTGGAACTGCATTATCATGAATCGATGCTACATTCATAATTTGCAAGAACACTCCGGAGTATGTATGCCAAGAGCGGATATCCGGAGAAAGGCGTCACATCGTCAGACGCACGATAGTTATGCTGGGCGTCCTTTCTGACAAAACTATCCGAAGTGCATGCTGCGCAGGGCTAAGCTGATAGCAATATAATCTTCAGATGCAATTGATGGATATCCTAGGTGATGGTCTCCGGGCCAAGAATTTCATGACTCTCTGGTGAGCGACATGGACTGCTAGGCCATCAATTCTACTGGACGGCCCCGGAATAGCTTCATTTCTTGCCAGGACCGCCATGAAGTTAGGCATCGGCTGCGAGCCGTCATGAATAATGCTACCTTCTCTTTTAGTGGACAGCTCCGTGATATCCACGGCTGCCCAGACTTTCACGACTTGGGGTAGAGTTTGCTATGGGAAGATTCGGTCTTGAGGAATCGGCCTTGAGGTTGATTCTATCTTCCTATCTCTTCAGGGATAAACTATAAAGAACACCCGGTGTTCCTCCTATACTCTCCAATATCAGCATATCCTCTAGATCTCAACGAGATTCGTTCCCCTTTCCAATTCCAATCTACTGTTCTTCAAAATGCATTTCATTACTCCCCTGGCGCTCTTGGCTACTTTCCATGGTGTTTCTGCCACTCTGCTAGATGTCCCTCGCAGCGCCCCAGGGTTGAACGTTACCCTTACTAAGGTGGGAAACACCCAAATCAAAGCCGTGGTGGAAAATGCCGGAAGCGAGAACGTTACCTTTGTGCATCTCAACTTCTTCAAGGATTCCGCCCCCGTGAAGAAGGTGTCTCTATTCCGGGGTGGTGAGTATCATGGACGATCCGATCGTATACAGTAGCAGTCCCTGATAGATGAATAGATAGCGAGGTGGAATTCCACGGAATCAAGTATCGAGTGAAGAGCCAAAACCTCACTGAGAGCGCTCTGACCTCCCTTGCTCCTGGGGCTACCATTGAAGATGTCATTGATATAGCGTCTACCAGCGATCTGTCCGAGGGTGGTCCTATTACCATCCGAGCATCTGGTCAGGTGCCAATTGTCACCGGGGACAGAATTACCGGCTCTGTCCCCTTCTCCTCTAACGAGCTCACCATTGAAGTTAATGGAACTGAGGCCGCAACTGTTTCCAAGGCTGTCAAGACCCTGGACCGCCGTACAAAGTTGAGCAGCTGCTCTGGCAGCGAGGGCTCCGCGTTGCAGACTGCTCTCAAGAACACTGTCTCCCTCGCCAATGCTGCGGCAAAGGCTGCTCTGGATGGAGACAAGCGCTTCGTTACATTCTTCAAAACGGACTCTAGCTCAGTCCGCAGTGATGTCGCTGCTCGCCTGCAGGCTGTTGCTAAAGAGGCCGGCTCCACCTCCTCGGGCTCCACGACCTATCACTGCACCGATGTGTACGGATACTGCGAGACCAATGTGCTGGCCTACACTCTGCCTTCATCTAATACCATCGCCAACTGCGCCATTTACTATAGCATTTTACCCGCTCTCGCTAAAACCTGTTATGACCAGGACCAGGCCACGACGACCCTGCACGAGTTTACCCATGCCCCTGGAGTGTACCGCCCTGGCACTGATGATCTTGGATACGGTTACAATGCCGCCACTGCTTTGAACTCTGCTGATGCACTTAACAATGCCGATTCGTATGCCTTATTTGCCAACTGTGCGTCTCCTTACCTTGCTTGATGTGCGCTCGATTTGCTAACAGGGCTTTAGCTGTTTACCTTAGCTGCTAAGGGATTTAATTGGGGGGGGGGGGGGGGAATAGGGTGAATGAACCTGACAAGTTCGGTATACATGTACATAGCCGCTTTTGGGGGGACATGTTGTACCTGATACAGTATGTACATATGGGACAGGAAATCTAACGCTGGTGTCCCCGCAATTTTATTTACTTCCTTACTCTCTGGCTCTAAATTTCAGCTCGTAAGCACCCGTTGGGGGTGATTCTGGTCGGTTAGCTCCTAATCACCGCAGACCAAGCAAACCCATCCGCAGCGCCTAAAGGTTTCTTCCCTTCGTGACTATGTAAAATCTATGCTTAAATCGTCACAGGGCACATATTTGTCACCAAGTGAGGGGTACACAAAGGTGCCCGGCGTTTTCAACGTCTCCGCAACCGCCCACCAAAGCCAATAAAGTTAGGAGAAGAGACGTTCTACTATGTACTCCTGGACAGTGCATGATTACCCTTGCTAGCGACGAAAGGGAATAATAGATAGCGGGGTACGGGGTGTTTGATTTCTGTATTCAGAAATCCAAACTAGGATATTACTCCGTATAATCTGCCTATCCTAGAGGTTTGGCGGGCTGCTAGCTTGCGAGTCGCCGGCTGCGGCGCGTGGGCTGAGATGATTTCGACTGTTCCCTCTCTTAGGCAGTGAGGGATATAAAACGAAGGGTCCGGATAATAGAGAGTAAACAAAAATCAGCAACAATCATGGCCTCAACAACTCCCATCCCTCTCCCAAGTATTCCCGACATTCATCTCGTATTTCCCGAGTCGGAACTTGCGGTCAAGGCATTTGCCTATGCGAAGCAACATTGCACCGAAGCTGTCTACAACCATGCTGTTCGCTCTGCCTACTGGGCCCTGATAATCGCCAACAAAGTGAGCAAATTCAAGAATGTCAATTTCGACTTTGTAGTTGTCTGCTGCATTCTCCACGACATGGGTTGGTCCACCACAGCGGAATTATTGTCCGAGGACAAGCGTTTCGAGGTTGACGGGGCGAATATCGCGCGAGACTTTATATCGACAAATGCCCAGTGGAGTGCATCGGATATCCAACATGCATGGAATGCCATTGCGCTACATGCTACGCCCTCGATTGCTAAATACGCGGCGCCGGACATTGCACTTATCCATGAAGGTATCGCCGCTGACTTTTTTGGGCCCACTTATGCCATGATCCCGGGGGAACCAGGAATCATCACTCTCGATGAGTATTATGCGGTGATGAAACTCTTTCCCCGGGCGGGATTTAACCGTGAGGGCTTCAAGAACATTGGATGCTGGCTTTGTCGGACAAAGCCACGCACAACATATGACAACTGGGTCGGTCAAATGGGGCTGAACTGCGGCATAGATGGGAACGGCGAAGGAAGAGAAGAGTATGAGAGGCAATGGAAAGAAAACCAAGCTGTGCCGATGTTGTTTTCGGCTTTGGATTGTCTCGAGGCCTATGACCAAAACAAACCCTTCTAGTGCGTAACTTGTAATGACTGCTGGTGCAGTAAAGCTTACTCCACACCCAGCCAAAGAACCAACATCTGGACTATTGACGAGTTAAAAAAAAAAAGAGAGAGAAAATCTGAAAGTAGGGTTTGACTTAGGAGGATGTTAGATACGGGATTCATATGTTTATGGAATGCAGGTTGTGGTCTTTTCGGCCACGACTTCAACAGAAAGCCCTGAGACGTCGCCCATTACCCGATTAGGTACTTTGTTACGTTAGCCTGACTCAGCTGATGTTTTCACTCACGATGGAATATAAAAGCAAAATCCAGACCTTATTACACGCTATTAAGTCCTTCAGATCGATACATTTGCTATTCACCATGCCTGGAAAATACCCATACCTGGTGGGTAAGCTTGATTTCACGGCTTTGCCGGCCCAACCACCCCAACCGCTTGCGGTGAATTCGGCTCTCGGGCTGGCTCTTTTGAGTCCTGGTACTGGCATTGTTCATTTTGCCCGAACCGGATCTGCGTCATCGCTCGTTGCTGGTCTGAGTCTTGGGGTATTGTACTTGGTCAGTTACCGTCGGCAAAAGGAGCAACAAACTTTTGCCGAAGAGACGGGTTTACTCGCTTCTGCATTCTGGGCGGCTAGCACTGTGCCGAAAGCATTGAAGAGTGGATGGAAGCCGCTGCCGCTTGGATGGAGTGTCATGGCGATGTACGGGGTAGGGGTTTTCGGCACTTCCGTCAATAAGAAGAGGCTTGCAGCAGCGCGCAAACTTCCTGATGATCCAGTAGAGTGGTAGGTAGGTGTTTAATCCTGTGCAGCCAACAATTCGGAAGTGGGAAACGGCTAAAGTATCATGTTGGAGTGCTGCACTCAGTGAATGCAACCAGCACCACCATAAAGCAGCATCACCATAAAGAAGAAGATAGCGACACGTGACTACTTTGTGTATTTAAGGCTACTATTTTCTTCTAGATCTCCATGCTTCCTTCAAGTATCTCTCTATTTCTTAATTAGACCCAAATTGAATTTATTTTGGTTAACTTTCTACTATTATAGTTTAATGACCTCTTATCAGGTTATGAGCCCTCCTTAAGGTTCTATTTTATATTTTATAGACCTCTAAAAACTCTTATTATACTCCTATACTAGAAATCTACTCCCTGATTAGAAAGAAATCCTGGTAGAAATATTACCTACTACTATTATGTTACACTACCTGTACTACTATTATATTACTCTACCTGGGTGATAGTATGTGGAAAATCTCTATAATTTAACTAAAATAGTAACTAAACCTACTCCTGGTAGATATCCTAACATCCCTAACTTACTATACCTACCTTTGATAGCTACTATCCTATTTACTGATAGCTAAAATTAAGTAATAAAGCTAAAGAATAGCATATTTAACTTGAGCCTGATAATAGTATTAGAAAATAATTTAAAATTTAAAATCTAGGCTTTATTTATATAAATAGAGCTAAGGCTTTATAAAATAGATAAGCTTTTTAAAAGTAATATTCCTAGATTATAATTTAATAATCTTAAGTATAAATTATAGGAACTTTTTTTATAAATAATAGCTAGTTAGATACTATATTTAATAAGTAAGAAACTAGTAAAGAAATTATTAATAAATATTATCTTATATATTTTTATAGATAATTTTATATAAAAGTTATAAAAAATAGTTATTAGTAATAATTAAAAATATATATACTAGATATAAAAAGAAATTATTAAAATTAAATATAAGAATTATATAATTATTAATAAGTTTATATTAAACTTTATTTAGAAGATAAATACTTCTAATAGATTAAAAATAGTTATTATATTTTATTAAGTAATTACTATAATACTTTAGGAGCTTAAAAGGAATAATATAAGTTTTATAGATTTAATCTTAAATAATCTAGATAATAATCCTATTAAAATAACTATATAGAAGTATTTTTATACTATATATAATATAGTAAAGGATAAGATTTAGGAGAATTTATTATCTAATATTATATTTAATACTATAATACTAGCTATAAATATACTAAATTCTTAACTAATAATAAATAATAAAAAGAGATAGTAGTAATAGCAGAAATATATATTACTATAAAATATAATAATTACTAACTATATTAATTATTAGTTAAAGTAATCTAGAAAACCTAGAATACTATACTTATTTTATAAGAAGGAAAAATATAATACTAAGGACTACTTATATTTAGTAATTAACAAGTAGAAGGAAGGATAGAAACTAACTTTAATACTTTAGTACTTTAAGCTATATAAGTTAAAGAATAGGAATAATTTAACCTAAAATTAAGTTATTACCCTAGCTATATAAGCTAATACTATTCTAGATACTAATAATTTTATACTATCTAGAGTTAATATATTAATAACTTTAATATTAACTACCTTTAGGAATAAGTGGCTATATAACTCTAGAGCAGGCTATATAGTATATAATAATTATAATCTTTTTAATAACCTAATTAAAGATCTAAATAACTTTAAGAATTATAGTTTTATTACCTTTAATAGTAAGGTAGTATATTCCTAAGATTATAGAAAAGTAATAATTTAATTTAAATTAGATAATAATACTTTAATATTATACTAAATAAAATATCTTTAGAATCTAAATATACTATATAATCTAATACTAGTAGAAAGAATAAAAGTAGAATTAAGAATCTATTTTAACTTAAAAAATTAATATATTTATAAGATAGTAATAGATAAGATAATTAAATATACTATCTTAAATAATAATATTCTATTTTTAGTTCTAAATAAGGTAGTAATCATGCCTACTATACTAATAGACTTATTATATTAATAATTAGATTATCTATCTATTAAATAATTAAAGTATAACAAGGTAATACTTTATAATAAAAGTAATAATTTAGCTATTAATAACTTGCCTGCTATTAATTAGAATATTAAATTATACTATAAAGTATATTAATTATTAAAATTAAAGAAAAAGATATCCTAAAAACTATAATTATATATAATAAAATTATTATAATTTATATATATAGATCTCCAAGAAATCAAACTAATTAGAAAAGATAGTATTAGATATATCCTACTAGTTCTAGATAATTATTCTAGATACCTTTTTATATAATATTTAAAGGCAAAAAGTAAATCTTTAAAGGTATTAAAGAAAATATATAATAATTAGCTAAATATAACTAGTATTTATATTAAAAGGGTTAGATTTAACTTTACTCCTAAATTTAATAAGTATGCTAGATAGAGTAAGGATTTTAATACTATATATGAACTAATATTACTATGAATCTCCAAGAAAAATAGTACTATTAAATAGTTTAGTAGTTATATAATCTAGACTGCCTGTATAATATATATATAAGTAAAAATAGAGCTAACTATATGACTATATAATATAGATATAGTAGTCTATATTTTAAATAGGTTGGTTAAAGAAGATAATAATAAAGGAAAGCTACCTATATAATTTTTTTATAAAGAATTAAATATCTTAATTAAAGATATTAATTTATAATATATTTATATATAGAAATATAAGGTATTTATAAATATTCTATATAAGAATAGGATTAAAAGTATGAAAATATTACCTAGAGTAAAAATTAGTTAACTAGTTAAATATAATAAAGATTATATCTATAAGGTATAATATTTAGATATAGGGAAGATAATTTAGTCAAGAGATATAATATTTAATAAAGGTAATACTAATAAAATAGATAGAATATAATTATAACTTCCTAATAAATTAAAACTAAATAATAATAATTTATCTAGAGTAACTATACCTATTAATACTAAAAAGGGAAGAATAACCTATAATAATATATCTTAAAATAATATTATTCTCCAAACCTTACTATTAGTAAATAATAATAAGGTTATTACAGGAAGAATTTAAATATTAATACCTGATCTAGTTCTACCTAAACTAAGCCTACCTAACCCAGAGGCAGGTATTAAACTCATCATACCAGAGCGGCCACCTGCCTCTAGGGCTGCCCTTAGGGCTATCTTTAAGACTACTGAGCTCATTATACTAGAGTAGATACCTGCCTCTAGGCCTGTCTCTGGGGCTGTTTCCAAAACTATTACTAAGTAAAATAATTAAGTGATTAGCAAGAATATAGAGGAGATAGTAAGATCTAGTATAGAGAAATAATCTAGGTAGGATAGATATAAAGGGATAATTAATTATTTTACTATAGATAATTTATATACTAGTTAACTTATTTTTAAAAGAATACTAGTATTATAATTAATATAAAGACTTCTAGAATTATTTACCTAATATAAGGAGATCTTACTAGTTTTAGAACCTTCTAAAAATAACTATACTCTAATAACTCTAGATATATTAAAAAGGAAGTATTTAAAGATTAAAAAGTAGGTTAAATTTAATATTAGGAATATAGAAATAATTAACCTAGTAAAGGTATAAAATTCTACTAGTAATAATACTAGTAATAATATTACTACTTTATAAAGATCTTCAAGATTTATAAAGGATTAATACTAAAGTATTTACTTTAAAGATAAGCAGGCAAAGTAATTATAGGAAGAGAAAATAAAATAGGAATAATAATCTTAATTCTAGTTTATATTACCTTTAAAAATACTTCTAGAAATATCTTATCTACTAAGATCCTATCTAAAGCTAGGAGAATTACCTAATATAATTACTATAATATTACTAGATCCTAGTAGTTTTATACTAGAGATTAAGCTTATAAAGACTTATAAAGTTAGAATCCTATAAATCTATACTTAAGTAATAAAATTACTATAAAAGGATTACTAGATATAAGTAATATAAAGTTAAATTAGCAAGCTTAAAGTTATTTAGATTTATAAATTTATACTATTACTAAAGAATATAAAGATCTTACTAAAAAAATAGGTATATAATTTAAAATTAAATATAAATAATAATATATTATAATTTTATATAAGATAGATTATATATAGAAACTTCTAAAAATTAAGTATAGATTTTAACTAAGTCTACTCTTTAGTAATAGTAGATACTTTAGTAAAGCTATTTTTAAGTATAGTTATTTATTTTAATTTAAAATAGGCATAATTTAATATAGTAACTACCTATCTTAATATAATAATTAAGGATTAAAAAATCTATATATACTAACTAACTAATTTTAATAAGTAAGATAATATAGTATATCTACTACTCTAAGCCCTATATAAATTATAATAGTTAGTATTTCTTTAGTATAAGAAATTTCATAATATTCTAGTAAAAATTAGTATAAAGATAATTAATAAAGACCTATACTTCTACTATAATCTAGATTAGTAGCTAATACTTATTATTTATATTAATAATATAATAATTGCTAGCCCTAATAAAGTAAATATTTAATAATTTATAGATAAGCTAGAAAAATATTTTAAATTAAAGTAACTAGATAAACCTATATAGTTCTTGGGATATAATATTTATAGATTATTTAGTAGTCTAATATTAATATCCTAATATATATATATTTAAAAGATACTCTATAAATAGAATTTTTATAATCTTTAACTATATTATATACTAATAACTCTAGAATAGAAATTAACTAGAGAGATACTAGATACTAGTAATATTATTCTAGATACTATATATACCTCTATAGATAAAGATAATATTACCTATTACTAGGAGCTAACTAGATTATTAAATTAGATTACTATTTAGACCTGACCAGATATTTAATATATAATAATATAACTACTATAGAGGAATTATAATCCTAGTAAGTTAGATTATAATATAGTTAAATAAATTTTCTAATATTTAAAGAAGACTTTAGATTATATAATAATCTTAAGCTATTTAGATAATTTATTATATATATATATTAATGCCTCCTATATAGATTATAAAGATAAGAAATTAATAAAAGGCTTTATATTTTTTATATTTAGAATACTAATTATATAAAGATTAGTAAAGTAATTACTAGTTAACATAATTCCTAGGTCATCCAGCCACCACAAGTCATCCAGCCACCCACCAAATTTTCACGCGTTTAATTACACGTCACTATTCAAACTATTACCATGCCACCAAAAGCGCGTTAATCAACTCGAAACTTGGTAGAGTAAGAGGGTAGGATCTAGCTTGCTATCTAAGCCTTTAAAAATGGCGAAATTCCAAGTATTTATCATGTAGCTATTATTTACAACGTGCCTTGATCTACCTTAACTGATCGCCTACATAGTTACCAATATCAAGCAGAACTCTACAATTATAATCTCTGGCTATCTAAAATCTAGGAGGATACTTTATTGGAATAGATTATATCTAGAGATAAGCATGGAGTTACTCCTAGACTAATACATGTGGTAGAAATGGCTTATATCTTACTTTAATTAGGTAGTTTGACTACCCAACCACCAATTAGAAAAAACTGGGCAACAAATTTTATTGCACGCCATGATTCAATTAAAAGTCAATTTACAAGAAAATATAATCACTAATAAGCTAAATATGAGGATCCAAAGACATTAAATTAATGGTTTGATTAATTACAAGCTACCCAATTATAATATGGTATTACTAATGAAGATATTTATAATTTTAATAAAACTAGCTTTGTAATAGGTCTAATAGCAACTACTAGAGTAGTTACTAGATCTAGTATGCCTAGAAGACCTCATCTTATCTAACCAGGTAATCAAGAATAGATTACTACTATTAAATATATTAATGCAAGAGGTTAGAGTTTACCTTCATGCATTATCTTTAAAGGAAAACACCATATTAAAGGATAGTTTAAAGAAAACCTTTTACTATTAGATTAGAGGATTAAAGTTAGTGCTAATAGCTAGACTATAGATAAAATAGGTCTTTAATAGCTTCAAAAAGTCTTTATCCTATCCTCTATAGGCTGTATAGTTGGAAAATATTGATTACTAGTCCTAGATGGCCATAGAAGTTATCTAATACCTGCTTTTAATAAGATATATAATAATAATAATATTATTGCTATCTATATACCACCCTATTCATCCTATCTTCTATAACTATTAGATGTTGGTTGCTTTGGACCATTAAAATATGTATATAGGGGCTTGATAGAGGTAAAGACCTGACTAGGATCTAATTATATTGACAAACTAGACTTCCTAAAGGTCTATCTAGAGGCCCACCAGAAGGTCTTTATACCTTAAAATATTCAAAATGGCTTTGCTATAGCTGGAATACTACCATGGGATCCCTACTGGGTCCTTGCTAAATTAAATATCCTATCTATACCTACCCCTCCTAGAAGTCATGGAGAATCTACTAGCTCTTCTATTATTGCAACCCCTCATACTATTTACTAGTTATATAAAAAGGCATCTTCTATTAAGAAGACTCTTCAAATTTGATCTGAAAGTCCTTCTTCGCCTTCTAAGATAGTATCTAGAGTGGTATTTAACTAGTTAGTTAAAGGATGTGAAGTTGCTATCTATAATGCAACTTTAATAGAAGCTGAAATTCGCAAACTCCGGTCAGAAAATGTAAAGGAGAAGCAAAAAAGGAGTCAATCTAAATACTAGATGACCCCTAATAAAGGTATTTCAGTATAGGAAGCAAGAGATCTAATTTTATTGCAAAATGGGCAAAATAATGGGTCTATTAGTGAAAATATTGACCCAGTGTTGGTTAGAATACTATCTTTGGAAGGTTCAAAATACGCTCCACTAACATGCTCTAATTATAATATTCAAGGTCATACTAGAATTAGATGTCCTACACGTCTAAATAATTAGAATTAATAGAAATACACGTGTTTTGGTAGTTGGGGATAGCTTCAAGTTTTTCAACAATTGGTAGAATTTGGTGGGTGGCTGGATGACTTGTGGTGGCTGGATGACCTAGGAATTACGTTACTCTAAATTTAATTATTACTAAATTTATTATATAAGATATAGTAATAAAGCTAGCTATATAGCTATAAAAGTTATATATAGCTATTAGACTAGAAAAGTCTATAAAAAGTACTATACCTTTATATACTAATTCTATAAATATTATTACTTTAATAAAGAAGCTAAATTATATATCTATACTTTATTAGATAGATATTTATTACTTCTTTATTAAAGAGGTAATTAAAAATAGTAGAATTTAGCTATAAATAATTAGTAGAGAGGATAATATTACTAATAGGCTAACTAAGGTACTACTAATTATAAAATTTAATAAATTTATTAAGAGATTAGGTTTTAGTAGGTTAAAGATAGACTCTAAATAGCTTTATATAATAGATATATTGCTAAAGGGGGTGTATTAGAGTGCTATACTTAGTAAATATAACCAGCACTACTATAAAGTAGCATTACTATAAAGAAAAAGATAGTGACACGTGACTACTTTGTGTATTTAAGGCCACTATTTCCTTCTAGATCTCCATGCTTCCTCCAAGCATCTCTCTATTTCCTAGTTAGACCCAAATTGAATTCATTTCGGTCAACTTTCTACCATCATAGTTTGACGACCTCTCATCATATCATGTAGATAATGAAACCTCATTGGAGTGAATCGAGTACGACTGCAGGGGATAATGCCGAATAGAATGTGTTTATTCCCGAGATAGACAATTTGCATGCGAATTTGTGAGTTATACATCCCTGAATCTCGTTGTCACTTCTCGTAACCTCCCATCTGATAAAAGTTTCTCCAGATCTGCATCGCACTGGCCAAGGGAGCAAAGGAAAGGCCCAAAGGGATGCGAGAATTGGCAACCTAAGTACAGGTTCACTGCGATTTGTTATGTTTTACAGACAACCTCGAGTCATTGAACAGTCTAATTGATAGAATAAGCGGGGCAAATGCGTTGACTTTGGATATATACATGTATAGATATAGCGTAGGACTTGGAAAGTACATGCATGAAGACGGTCAGCATCGGGCCTACGAAGTCCGGCAAACTTTACAACGGTTTGATGAACACAGGGGACTCGCGAGACTGGGGCATTGGTGAGGCCGATTTATTTGACATAGTCCACGATCTTATATATCTGATCCATTTCCACTAGTTTGCCCGTTTCCCGCCCAAGGACCGATCTGAATATCATATAGCTCCATCGTCTTCTTAAGTCACATACTAGCAGCTGGAGGCACACAGAGTCAGGGTCTCGTTGGCGTCGGGCCCACAGGACTTGACTTGGCTTCCGGCGGGAGAGATTCCATCGGCCCAACAGATGGATGGACAGCTCGGGCTTCCGGACTTAACAGCAAGGGTTTCGCCCTCAAAGGCATTCCCGAAAATGCTGGAAAGGTCGTAGAAGAGGTTCGTCGGGTCAAGAGTATAGGCATAGATCAACTCGGGGCTTCCGTCATAGAGGCCATTAGGCGTGTCGGTGATCTTGATGGCAATACCGCCAGAGGCTGGGTCATGGTAGAACTCCTCGCTATATGATGCGCCAGGGTTGAGAGTTTGCATAGGCCCGACTGAGCCTCCGACTGACCAAAGATAGACAGTGGAGTCGCAGTGGTTCTGAACAACAGCGCTCCCGGCCGCACTGGCAAGGGAAGCCAGAGCTGCAAGGGGGATCAAAGAAGTGAAGTGCATTTTGGTTTATGAGCAAGAGAAGTGGGAGATTGGATGATTCTTAGGGACTTCTACTTGTCGATAGATATTCGAGGGTCAAGAACGGATGGTGGCCCTCTTTATATAGCTGGGCTCTGGGGGCTAGGATTCTCCATCTTTCCGTCACACTGTTGCATTATTCTTCTGTCCCATAAGAAATCATCCCACGTCATTTTCTCTCCAGCGGTCAGGATGTATCCAATGCTCTCTTGAGGTGATTGTGGCCCGATGCTGAAAACCCCCATATCTAGCCATACGTATAGATCGGGATACGGCTACTCGAGGTCATACTTCCATAACCTGATGGCTGCAAAGAAACGTCATTTATTCCCCAATCACGATGAGCAATGCGTGTAAGATTGAATGGCATAGGTAGGCTTGTGCGACTCTACAGTGAGACAGTCTCATCCTGCTGGAAAAGCAAATAGGGTGATGAGGACTTCGAAAGGCGAGTCACTTTTTTAGATGTGATTGAAAGAGGTGCTGTAAGAATCTCCCTTCAAAACTAACATACTCAGCGATGCCGGGGGCATTTTCTATAGATAGCAGTCTTCGCATCGAGAAATGCATAATCAGCTAGCTGTGATAGCCCGCTTTTTAGCTCCAGAACCAGACCCTGAGTCTATCGTATGAAGACCCTGTACATAGATCCTTGCCCGTTTGCTGTATTAAGTAGCCGCCACTCGTGTTGAAAGCGCTTTTCAAATCGTAAGAACATTGATACATTAGATAAAAGAAATTCAGGATGTAGCCGGGCTGCATGGAAGCTGGACGCCTGATTATGGTCTCATCGCATCCGGTTAGAAGCTGCAAATGCTTACTAGCCAAACGGAACCAGACGGTAAATATCATTCCCCTCCATGGTGCTGCTCTCAAAGATGATCAAAGATGACACCTCAAATACTCTTTACCGCAGAGGCCCTATTTGGGAGACGAGGGAGCTTCGACGCTCACAATATATGCCCGGATAGTAAATGGCAAGAGCCCTAGCATGACAATGTGGCCTGTTTCCATACGTAAATTTCCACATTTAACGTTACATAAGTATATCTCATATATCTCACAAGGAACAACATCCGTTACTCCGTTAAGCTCGCAGCTATAGGACGCCATTGTTAAAGTTATCAAGTGGTGAGTCCGCTTCAACGAGTTTCCACAGGTCCTCAATCTTCGCAGCAATCTCTGGGCTCAGGGGCCCCTTCGGGATCAACGCCAGTGTCTCCTTCAATTGGGAAATTTTGGTTGATCCAAAGATCACACCGTCACCCAGTTCTGCGTTCAATTCAGAGTTGTATGCTACCCAGCGGTATGCAAGTTCGGCTTTCGATATTCCTGTTTCATCGGAGATCTTCTGCCACAGACGAAGTCCTTCAAGCATGCTTGGCTTGTTATAAAGCGCATGGTAGAGACTGCCAAACTGACTGCTCTTGTCCCATCTTCCCTCTCCACCGGCTATTAGCTGGTCGACGTTCTTGGTCAGGAAGCCACCAGCAATTGGGGAATAAGCATAGAATATTATTCCATGTCTGCGGAGCGTAGGCAGGATCTCAACCTCTTGTCGACGAGCGATAGCGGAATAATTTCCTTGGTAAACGGTGGGCAGGATGTAGTTCTTTTCACGAGCCACCCGAACCACCTCGTCGACTTCCTCGGCCAGGAAATTGGACAAGCCGAAGCGCTTGATCTTGCCGTCTTTGTACAGGGTGTTGATACCGTCCAGAACGTTCTCCAAAGCGGCCTCGCGAGGAGGACAGTGAAGGTAGTATACATCCACCTAAACATCAGCGAATTAGCTACATGTTGAGGTTAAATCACACAAAGTCTACCTGATCTGTCTGGAGCTTCGCCAGACTCTCGTTTGCGGTAGCAATAATGCTCTCCTTGGTGACCGGTACATCACTCCAGCCTCCTGGGTGCTTTGTGTCGATGGTGAAACGAGAGGGTGCCTTTGTCTTTCCTAGGATCTGTTCACTATGGTGATAGGTCTTTGCAGTATCGATAGACTCGATACCGGCATCATGCAAAAGGTTGAGAGCCTCCTGAATGGCCTCTGGACCCCCAATCGTCTCCTCATTTACAAAAGATGCTCCTCCGAAGATCCACTTGATGTTGCTGGCAGTCATTGTAGCGGGGTAACTAACGAGATGGCGTTTGAATAATAGGATAGATTGGATGTAACCCGTACGCAAATGTGTTCTTGGAGCTAGAGGAACTGAGAAATCACACGGGGGTTTTTATCCTCATTCAACAAAAAAGCGTCCAACTCCAGGATTCGATTATCAATCCAAACGAAAGCAGCTTGGAGGCATGTCAACCGGGGATAGAAGCTGGAAGAAGGCCCTAGTTCTTCACAGACAATTAATAATCTTGCTGACAAGCATTAGTTAACTATGTTTCCGGCAGCTACACAGTACGAGGATTGGGTGTCGGACTGTTACCTTGTAACTAAGTAGTACTAGGTAGACCCATTTCTTTCCTAATCTAGGGTAGAATTCCAAGATTTCAAGGAGAGATATCCTATAATTTCCATTGTTCCAGCTTATCGCATCCCCACCCCGGATATATGTAAGTGCATTTGGTAGATTTATAAGCCGGGACATAAGCACACTAACTAATCTCCGGTAATATAGTTAGTTATACGAGTAGCCAGTGACAACAAACTGGCCATATCGCGCTCCTCTATCAGTGGAAATTGACAGATAAACCCCAACATAGACGCGCGTGGTGATGCTATGTATTGGTCAGACTTGTATCTTAGTTACGCGTCAAGGATCCTCGTGCCCTGATTCTATCGCCTTTGATCCGTCGGGATTTCCCACATCCCATGGAAAGATCTTGATTTATCCGAAACTGCTGCTCCATGGCATTCCGTGACGATTTGCATCTGATAGTGATAGTTAATATGCCTGTGAGATCGCGTGATTTTGACCGGATGAGTATTGAAACGAGCAAAGAGCGGCTATAATAAAGTGGGCGAGGTAATCGCACACCACTGCCATTAGAAGCTAGGGATTTGGGAATCAGCTTATTCATTATTGAATATTTGGCTCACGGGCCATTGAATCCATGGCTCAAACGTTGGATGCAGAAAAGTCCGAATACCAGAGATGACATGCGTATCCCAGCCTACCATAAACCATACAGATCTCATGTACTTCAAAAGCAGGACCCAATGAGCGAAAATTACAAGCGCCATTTGATCCTTCTGTCCTAATAACCACATGAATCTCTCAGGAAGCCGGAAGAGCCAGCCCATTAATATTTGCGTGAACCCCACGGCTGGACTCTGGGCGGACCGTGCTTCGTGGATGTCGGTAGCTACCATCAGCAGGTCCTGAATCACCGCCATGTACACAGCAATAAGGGACTTGTCGTTGGTTTCCTGCTTAACTAGATCTTGCACCGTGTGCATATGAGTGGCATATTCCAACAATTCATCCTGGATTAAAGACGTAATACCATGTTGGGGGGGACGGATTTTAGGCTTGAGAATATTTCCGCTGATGGTCTCTCCGTACAGTTGTAGAATGAGTTTGACTCCATTCAGCGGTACCGGCGATTCAACCGAGCCCCTGTTATTGAAGACCAGAAACTCTCCCGGACGGGGACCCCGCCCGAAATACACAAAGCAGACCAATATGGCGGAGATGTAAACCTGCTGGCAGGTATTGACGTTAATCTGGCTCAGCATTGCCGAAACGGACTGAACCCCAGAAGTAAAATGATCATCCGCCTGTCCGATGTATTTATCACGTAGTTCACGTTGTTCGTGGGCAAGATGAAGCGCGGAAAAAGCTAGAATTAGATGGAATATCGGCGGGAATGAAAAGCTCCATTGGACAACGTGATACTGCCAAACATCATGTACATCCTCGTGGTCCACGATGGTTTGGAAAGCCGTAGTGGTGAAGTGATGAAATAGGCGCAGGTCAGCAAATGAGATTTCCCCGGAGCTGGGTGTTGGGGAGAAGTTGCATTGTGTTCCCACCGACGTGACGCATGATTGAGACTGTTCCCGTGTTGGCGAAGATGCGGAGTTAGGGCTCAATGTCCCCTCTTGATATTTACCTGAAAGGAACCGATACCTTTTCCCCTGCGAGGAAGCGGCATTGGAGGAGGGTGGTGATTCTTCTATGGGAGCCGTATCGAGACGAGAGAACTTGCATATAATATCGCGGTCGGTGCAGTTGGAGCAGAATGGCCTATTCTCATCGCACTTTGGAGCATTAGCAGATATCAGACCCGTCATGGTAAAACTGCGTCAAGAATGCTAAGCGAGAGCGAAACACGAAAAACAAAACAAAAAAAAAAAAAAAAGGCAAGCAGACCAAAGATATACGAATACGTCTGATTAGCGTCCTTGTATGAGCGGATCGAGTATCATTTCGGCCAGCGAGGAGACAGAAATGTTACTCACTAACCTTGACGTGCCGTTTCTTGCAGTTTAAGCATCCTCTGCGTGATTTGTGGTGTGAGCGACGCGACCTGACCTGTTTCCCCTTGGCCATTTGCTCCATACTCGCTCTATCACGCCTCGGACCGAGATTTCACCACCACAGTTACTGCTCATAAATCTCGGGGATATGGGTCTATTAAATTTGTTTTAGCGAGAGAGGAGAGGGGCGGGTTTGAGATATGGATGTGGGCTAAGCTTAAACTTATAATAGATACATGATCAATAGCATCTTAGCCCAGCTTCTCTTACAACCACAACAAAACCAAAAAATGAAATGAAATGAAATGAAATGAAATGCAAGAGAAAAGAAAAAGAAAAGAAACCGCACTAAAACCCAATCAATTGTCTTACATGGTCATGAAGCAGACAGTCTGGATCAGGGGTTCTCTAACAAGTACAAATGCGTGGATCGGGTTGGAGGTTGAAACTAGGGTTATTGCCAGTTCCGGGAATCTTCACGTATTCGTGTGGTGATCCACTCGACTGTACTCTGGACTTGTAGTCAAAAACACGCCACATGTAAATCCCTTCATTATACTCCCCAGCCTTAAAGGGATCTCATAATTACCCACCTGCGGGCGTATCGCTTCCCACTATTTTTGTCACACCCTTCAAGATTAACATCAGGATGGTTTCTCGGGTGCCTAGCCTAGTACCATTGCGTTTGCATAAGAGTTTCCGCTTGTCCGAATATTTCAATCCGTGAACTGTTTATACTACAAGTCAACTGGAATCTCCGCTCATCGACTGGCATTGCAGATTGATATTTGTGCTGGCGTCGATTCGTCCTGAGATTCACGATTCACTTCATCTCGAGCCATGGACGGCCATGCTCTCACCCCTCGCGGCGGCCTCGCCCCTTTTGATTTGTATCCATATAATCCTTCCAAGACACTTGCGTGGGTTTTCCTCGTCATCTTTGCGATAGGTGGTGGCATACATTTGATTTTGATGTTCCCATTACGAGCGTGGTTTTTCATTCCTTTTGTTCTGGGCTGCGTTGGTAAGACATGACATGACGGAAGCCACCCAGAATTGCGTGCGGTGAAGGCTAACCAGACATGCCAAACAATAGGAGAGGCATTTGGTTACTACGGTCGATCGTGGTCACATAACAACATCCGCCTCGGCAGTCCATATCTTCTGCAGCTCATGCTTCTCCTGGGATCTGTCCCGCTGCTGGCGGCAACAGTATACATGACGCTGGGCCGCATCGTGAGAGGCCTCAATGCGGAAAAGTACACGGTCATGCGGTCGACGTGGATGACCAAAATATATGTTGTCATCGATATCGGAAGTTTTGTCTGCCAGATGATGGGCTCTGCGATGCAGGGCAGTGGTGATCCCAGCGGCGTCAAGACAGGCCAGACGATAGTGATCGCTGGGCTGGGGGTCCAGCTTGCTGCGCTTGGCTGGTTCATTATTGAGAGTGTCAATCTTCATCGTCGACTCAGCAACCAACCCACATTCACGTCGAAAAGCCACTTGATTTCCTGGTCCAAACCCCTCTGGGCATTACACTGTGTGGCCGGGTTGGTTTTCTGCCGCAGTTTATACCGACTGATCGAGTTTCTCCAGGGCAGCGAGGGTAGCCTGAGCAAGCACGAAGCGTATATGTACGTCTTCGATTCCGCTCTCTTGTCTATCGCAGTCTTTGTCTTCGCTGCTTTCCACCCGGGGCGGCTGCTGCGGCAGATTCGACGATTGGGATTAAATTCGTTAGACGACACCGACGTGATGTTGGATTGATAATTTTGGATTTTCCCCTATTCACCAGGATTTCAACGATATCGTCTCATTATTTATGCCCAAGTTCTCCCCTTGGAATTTTGTTCCTACCGAAGTGTTGGCAAGATGGGGTTTTCGTATCTTCGCGTTATTAGCTCTATATCCTGGCATCCGGCTGCACTGTTTACATGAAGGAGAAAATTCCAGTTTGTTTTTAGAAGAGTATAATGAAATTCTCATGTGATACATTACTTACAGAATCCGATCTAGGTGTATGTTGTAATAACGAACCCACTGGCTAGATGGTATATAAGGCGCTCAACTTGTTGATCAGTCACCTTGGACCTGTTGTCGGCCGGTTGATCACGCAACAGAAGCCAGAAGGAGAAAACTAAAAATATGCTTAGAAGTGTATATTCAAATTTTTACACTTTCAGCGTTATTGCGTCTATGAGATAGTCAGTCTTTCTTTCCCAATACCATCTGCGGGGTCGCCATCATTTCATCACATCTGACATCTGAGCCCACAGTGGCTGGGTAAATCCCCCCTGGCGGCTGACTAGGATTCCACGCCAGATACTGCGGACCACGCTCTTGAATAACGTCCCCGCAAGATGGGGATAGGGCTAGAAATAGAACCCGATTCTGTTGATGCTGGTGCAGCGGATCGTTGACCGAATATAGCAATCCCAACTCCTAGTGCATCCCCCCCCCCAATCTCTCGACTCACTTAGTCAAAGCCTGAACTGTCTTCGGTTGGATAAGATTGATTTGGCTTATATGATGGTGCATTGGCATAAAGCTGGTGAATGGAGTCTCGTGCTCAATGGGTCTTGCAGAATTCAGGCATGGTTCATTGCGATGCTACCGTGTCTGTAGATAGCTGAACTGAGTAGGCTGTTAACGAAAATGGGGAAACTTTCATTGAGGATGTAACTGAGGGAGATGTCTGGTTTTTTTTTCCCTCCGTAAGTCGTCCTGTGCTGTCACAGGGATGTCGATCCTGACTTCACTCTATCCAGGCCCTGGATGTGGGTGTTGAGATTGAGATTATGCTTGTCTTGATGATGGGACCTTCTCGGAAGATAATACCTTCCTTGCCTCTGAGATACTTTCTCACAATCCGGTAAGTGCATACATTAGGTTAACCTGGTTAGCGATTGGTCCTGAGCAAAAAACTTTGATATCACCGTCTCTGCCCTTGACGATATTGCTGACGGAGAACTTTTCATTTCCCCGGGGACCCCGGCTCCCAAGGATATCGAAGAACAAGATGCTACCACAGCAGCAGGCCCAATTTCGAGAACACAGAGCTATTCATATCCTTTCTCAGAATAGCCGGCTCATAAAGTTGCGGGAGGTACGGTTAAAATTGTCGATTCCGTAACGTTCCCTATCGCCACCAATTTTGCAGCCGTTGTGGTGACTGTGAACTCTGGTGGAATGCGGGAGATCCACATCCGAAGCATTCATCATCGAAATGGCATTGGCTTGGTTGTGGAAAATGGGCGACTCTTTTTGAAGCATCCGATACTGCGACAACTTTCGATTACCGAGCTGGGGATGTTGGATACTTCCCAATGTCTCAAACCCATTATATTGAAAACACAGGACATCAAGACCTCGTCTTTCTAGAGGGTTTACAAGCGGACAAGTTTACCGGCAAGTATCCCATCAGCACTTGAATCATCACCCATTCAATAATGTCAGCGGCTCATTAAGCAACAGACATTTCCGTTGGTCAATGGCTTGGATCCACGCCTAAACCAATTGTTAAAGATACTTTAAACCTCCCCAACAGCGCTTTAGCAAAGTTGAAGTCCGAGAAGCAGTATTGAGCCAACGTTAATTTTAAAATAGTTGAGGGGCCTTTAATCTTTAATCCTCGCAGCTTTTGAGAAGCTTATGTGTAGCCTATACTCTTATGTTGTAGATCAAGAAGATTTGTTGTACTGTATCTGCAGGAGATATAAAAGATCAGGCGCTTCATATATACAGTATTTGGTATACTCCTGTAATAGGGGGGAAATGATTATCTCTTTGGATTTCGATATCTTGCTTGCTAAATACTACTTTTTAGAGTACCTCATCTAAACACATGCTCCTAAGAATAGGCTGTCCAGCAAATTATCATTGGTAGTGATATAATCGAGCACCCGACCTAAAGTCCTCAGCAACATTCTTGGGTGAATTGGATTTTATTGAATATTTAGTGAAGTTCTGCGCTAGTTTAATCAACAAAGAAATCCCTAATTTTGTGGGTATTTAAGAAGGGCATGTTTTCTTTGTCCCTCTCTATATATACAATACCTGAATCCTGGTCTCTTCCCCAATATTAACTGAATACTTAAACTCTGACATGATGCAAACCGCACTTACAGATCCTGACCTGTCAAAGTCTCTCTCCCATGTTTCGTTTGCTTCAGCCGTGTTCCTGGGGGCGTATTTAATCCGCAGATGTATGAAAGATCCAAACCCTCCTTCCAAGTCCAGCAACACCGGGCACCAGAAGAAGGATTTCCTCATGGTATCCGGCCTGTGGCTTTCTCCTGCTCCATACCGTGGCCTATTCTCCATTTTCAGCCTGGCTCATGGATTGTTCTCACTTGTTCCCGAAGCCCAACGCCCAGCTCTGTGTCCGAACTATGATCCTGGCGTCAGCGATGATCTTTTCCACTGGAACACATACACCGCAGTTTTTCTCCTCCTCCTCAATCTCTCGGGTCTCTTGCGTGTCCTGGCATTTTGGAACCTGAAGACCTCCTTTACCTTTCGCCTAGCTCGCCCTAACCACCTAATCACCACGGGGATTCACCGATACGTCCGACATCCCTCATACACAGCTCTGGTCTTGAACATTACAGCCTTGTTGATGCTTTTCTTTCGGCATGACGGACTCATAGGCTGCTGGATTACTTCAGGAATTATATCCCGAGCGATCGAGGTGGCATTGCTGTTCTGGGGCGCGGTGATAACCCCGATATGGTTCACAGTTCGAGTGCAGGAGGAAGAGACGATGTTGCAGGAGACGTTTGGGAAGGAATGGGAAGCATACTGTGCACGTACAAAACGGTTTCTTCCAGGAGTATTCTAGGGGCTTGTTTTGCAATCTTCACTTGTCTTAACGAGGATACGGGTTTTCTTTCTCATGTTTTCTTTATGGAAGGCTCTATATGCTGTTGTATTGATGATTCGCTCGCTAGGCCTATTTCACGGAATGAATCACAGGACACAAGTGTACAGCGGTCGCGTTTTTTTGATATCTCATGGATAATCTGGACGAGTGCCATTTCCAATTCAAGCTTCACCAAATCGGAGAGGACTGGGAAGCCGTTGATTTGGTCCTGGATGGCCGTGCTGGGTAAAGGTAGATGGGTTCCAGCACCCAAACCCTTGGCGCAGTACAGAGTTGAATTTTTTTCATTGTATATTACCTAGGTAGGTAGCTCGTGGAGGAAAAGGCCAACAGGAGCTTCGATACGGCTTGCAGGTTGTGATTGCCATGTCTTGCGCATGTAATATCCTTTGATGATTTTTTATTATCTTCTAATGTCAGTAACGAAAATAAAGTGCTTATTGCGGGGCTCGATCCACAGGTATAGTCAACAAAGAGCTTTAAACTACCGGAAGGAATTCAAAGATATCTGACCGGGTCAGCAGGGAGTAAGCAGTACCTTCTGCTACATGGCCAGAAGCATAAATCTGGGTAACCTCGCATCCACAGACGCCGTCATGGATCCCCGTATTTTTATCGAGTTCGTTGCATCAGATAGACGTTTCACGCATCCAGGATCCAAGAACGAGGTGCTTAATAATGTATGTGATTCTCCTTCCTACATCTGAAGCGGAGTATCTGGGTAACGGGATGTTGGATCTTGACATGGATTGACATCCCAATGAATACAAGCGATATACTAGGAGAGCGAGCTGCTGGAAATAAGGTGGCCCGAGTAAATAGATTCACCTCGTTTTGTCCGACGGTCCAGGAGCTGGTAGGCCGGTTTGGGAACTGTTCAATATGAAATTACTTTCACGTCGGGTAAGCGGGCGCGGTGCGTTAGTGGGGGATACTGCACCTCCATTTCATCGATGGAAGTTCGCACTAGAATATTAGGAAGTGTATGTATGTTAATTCTCGTGGATATGGGTGAGGTAGGGCGATGGCTATTGGAACAACAACGGATGATATTCCGACTTGTTTGGGGTTATATGAAAAAGCGCGTCGACCACGGATGGACATCCAGGTCATCAAGTATACCAGACTAAACGGACGGGACGACGATGACACGCCCGGGCAAAGAATCAGCGGTCAGTATGGAGTAGTGATAAACGATCAGCGATAGAGAGATATGTATATTTGTGGTTTCACCCACGCCGGGACTGACAACAACGAAGTGCAGCGGTGGAGATGGTGAACTTTATGAGCCCATTCCAGCAACACTTTGCAGACATCGGGACAATTGACCTGCAGTGCGTGACGGAGATAAAATTAGGACCTGGACGTAGGGCTCAGCGACTAAATAACGAGCGACTTGCCCGATAAGGATATTGGGCCTGTGTACCTGGTACCTAACTTTGAACCTTAGGACCCTCCGAGTAGGATTTAATCCTATTGGAATTTTAAATCCGAAATCTACCAAGGGCAAGTCAGCATTGTGGCTGAAGATGTTCCAACTTCCGCGTGTGTGTCGCGGACTCATCATGAATCATCGTTGTGGATTCCGTCCATGGAGCCCGAGCGGCGAAGTAGGTGGAATAGATAGACCATTGTCCAGTGAATCAAAGATCCGCTTTATTATGGGGCTACCTCTGGAGACTCATGATTTGCGGACACACTGCCTGGAACCCGACTTAGCTCTTATCCCTTTTCCTGGTCAGCCCCAAAGCTGAAGAAAGCGACGAGGGCGAATATTCCCCCGAGAACAGTCGTCGAGAGGCAGCACCACTGAACGAACCTGGAAGATAGACACAAAATAGGCCTTATCAGTATCATCTCTATCCATGCAAGTCTGCATCGAATCGAGGCAGGGAACGGTCCACGCGGTGACCTGGTCAAGCATCGCGCACGGCTCGTATCCAAAGGTCCTCTAGGGCATCCATACCGCGGTTAGAAAATTCTAAATCCAGGCAACCAACATACGTTTTAAACTCTTTAATAATAGTACGGAGTAGCTTCGCCAATCATGGCCTCGGCCTCGCAAGATCCGTGACCGAAGGGGAATTTTTCAGGAGCTATGACTGACTGTGTTAAATCATCCCCTAGACTTCTCCAAAATGAGCAGTTCAACATGATTCATTCGAGTGCCCAAAAAATAATTAAAAATGAAAATAAAATTTCGGATATAAGAGTTTTCAAGCCGCAGGGTATGAATGTTTGTTGATAGTATAAAAAGGCTGCTGTGGGCCTTCTTTTCTTCCCCAGAGCAACTCAAACTCGAGCCCACTCTTTGAGAGTGAGTCAAGAAAGAAAGAGTCTTGGTTGAATTGCTCGCTGGCCTGTCAGTATCGAGTCTTGCCAATATGTCGACCACTGGCAATATTGAAATCGACGAAAAGGGCAAGATCCCGGAGGAGGAGGAGGTGGAGAAGGAGGTCAGTTCTGTGGAGGAGGAATATCCGCCTTTCAGCAAAGTCATTGTGATTATTCTCGGTCTCTATCTTGCTGTTTTCCTTGTCGCTCTGGATCAAACCATTATCGGTGTTGCAATCCCCAAAATTACCAACCAGTTCAAAAGTCTCGATGATATCGCTTGGTATGGAAGTGCCTACTTCTTGACCTCAACGGCGCTGCAACCGTCCTATGGTCGAATTTACAAGATATTTAGTGTTGGTTTATTCCCCCCTCCCCCAAATCCCCTGCCTTGTCCTTCAATGTTGGCTCACAATCCCTGGCAGGTCAAATGGGCGTTCCTCTTCGCAGTTTTTGTGTTTGAACTTGGATCTTTGATCTGTGCGGTAGCGCCGTCCAGCACAGCCCTAATCGTCGGACGTGCCGTTGCCGGTATTGGAGTGGCCGGGATATTCTCTGGGGCCATGGTCATTATCGCCATGTGTGGTAGGTTTTGCTGACTGGCCTGATCTCTCTTCGTTTGCCTTTCTGATGTATTTCCCCTAGTTCCGTTGGCAAAACGCCCTGCCGTCTTTGGTATGTTTGGAATGGTATGGGGTATTGCTTCTATCGCCGGGCCACTTCTTGGAGGCGCGTTTACGGATGGGGTATCATGGAGGTGGTGTTTTTACATCAAGTATGTTTCTCTTCCGACTGGACAAAGATTTCGCAGCTAATGTCCAGCCAGCCTCCCCATCGGAGGGGTCTCACTTGCCATCATTCTCCTCGTGCTACGACTGCCCGAACACACGGAATTCAAAGGCGTTCCTATTCTTGAACGCATCAAACAGCTCGACCTCATTGGTGCCAGTCTTCTCATTCCTACAATCATCTGCCTGCTGCTCGCTCTGCAATGGGGTGGAAACCAGTACGCGTGGAGCAACTCGCGTATCATCGGTCTATTCATCGGATTCGGTTTATTGGTCCTCCTCACAGTCTTCTCCCAGATCCAACTAGGTGATCGCGCTACTCTTCCGCCACGTATCATGAAGCAGCGATGCGTCATCACATCCACCTCATTTGCCCTACTTTTCGGTGGCTCCTTCTTCGTCCTGGTATACTACCTACCCATCTTCTTCCAATCTGTGCGAGGCAGCTCCGCAATGACGTCGGGCATCCAGCTCCTCCCCCTCATGCTGGCTACCGTGGTCTCGTCCGTCAGCGTCGGGATTCTCGTCACCGTCTTTGGCTACTACACTCCCTTCTTGATTGGCAGTACGATTCTTACCGCAATTGGTGCCGGTCTTGTGACGTCGTACTCCGTAGATATCTCAACCGGCAAATGGATCGGCTATCAGATCATTCTGGGCGCCGGTACAGGAGCGGGTTTCCAAATCCCTATGACCGCGGTTCAAACTTCTTTGAAGTCCGAAGACATCCCCCAAGGCACAGCAGCCGTCATGTTTTTCCAAACTCTGGGTGGTGCGCTCTTTATCGCGGTGAGCCAGTCGCTCTTCCAAAACGGCCTCATTGAGGGCATCCACACCTACGCGCCTGCAGTAGATGCCGGGAAGATTATTGGCTCCGGGGCAACTGAGATGCGAAGCGTTCTAACCAACTCGAACCAACTTGACCAGCTGCCCAACGTGATTTTGGCATACGTGAGTGGTCTGAGGGACACATACCGATTGAGTCTTGCTCTCTTCTGCGCTGCGTTTGTGGTCAGTTGTCTGTTTGAGTGGAAGAGCGTCAAGGATGGTGGCGCAGATGGAAAGAAAGAAGCCGCGGTTCCTGCGCTCTAGTTCGGTGGAATCCTTTTGAAAGCTTGGATAAAAGGATAACGGCCTACGTTAATACATTATAACCACTTTTAATGAGTTGCTAGATAATTAATACACCCTACTCTTTTTTTGCCTAGATTTGTTCTCATACCCCGCGTCTGCTCCGTACACGAAGTGATTGAATGAGGAATTTTCTTAGCATGGCTATGTATATGATTGAATCCACAAGACGCCCGGAATACTTTGTCTTTTTCCCGACGAAGAGTCATAAGTCGTTTCCCTTTACCTGATTTCAATGATCCTACCTTTCTATTTCGGTTTAGGGAAGCTCTGTTGCCTTGTTGCCTGCTGTGCTTAATATCGGTGCCTGATAAATGCCTGTCTATTTGATAGTTAGCTTGGGATAACTAGCTATATTTATACCGTGAGAGAGCTCTTACGGATAAATCAGACTAGGATAAAAAGGTGTGGCCGCGTCTGTATTGGCGCTGTGGTGATGTATCGCTTACTTCACCTTTAGATCTTTGATGAAAAAATCACCGCTAAATTCATCACGAAAGAACTCCAATGGAGAAGCAAGGAATTCCAAAACAAAAGGACAACTAACCTCCTATGATCCAGGAGTAGTCAAGTCTGATACCGCAATTCCCCTTGAACTCCAACAGGAACTCCGGAGCGCCGCCAAGCGACTCGAGGATGTTCCCATAGAGCAGAAAGACTACCACCCTGGATCTGATATGAAAGTGGTCGATCTGGTGCACCCCTCGCTTTTCCCCGTTATCTACGGCCGCACGCGGGTTCTCTCTGGAGTCGATTGAGGCCCAGACATTGAATGCTTGGAGTGGTAAGTTCCAATGGCTTCCATGCGATGTAAAATTTACTCCCGACGGAGAGGGTCAAATCATGTCCTACATCAACAATTTACATCCGGCAAGATACCGAGAGTTGTATAAGGTTATGTATAGAGAAGATTCTTACCCGAATGATCCCTCTGTGGAATACCACTCTTTCCAGGAAGGTCAATATCCCATCGCGCATCAAGTATGATTCGGTTGATTACCTGCCTGATGATCCGCCTGAACCTGAACCGGAGGAGGGAGAAACGTATGAAACTGGTGCGTTTTGGGCGCGATGGGAAAAGTGGAAGGAATCTCGACATATTGAACTCCCAGAACCAGCGGAGTTTCAACCACATTTCGAATAATGCCCTTGAAGTAATCCAACTATCCGCAACACAGGATCATAATTACTAGATGGGTGATTCCGGTGACACCGCTAGGACCTCTCACGCCCTGATGAAGCGTCACCGATAAGTGATCTTAGGTCCATATGTGTTACCAAGTAAAGGCTGCGCTTGTGCAAAAATGAGCCATGTCAGTCAAGCATACAGCAGCTATCCTCCATGATGGATGTGTTGGGCATGCCACGAAACTGTGAGTAAAGAATTCTACCCACGGTAAGCTATATCCCCTATCTACTCCGATGTATACATCTAAAGTACAGAAAGGTAAGGAGGCGTCCCTCGCGACATAAGACACTCCCCAGTTCCTGAGTGATTGGTCCTTCATCGAAACCGCCCACAGCAAGGTTAAATCCCTCTACATGCCAGGACCCCCCCCTCATACTCGGGCTTTTCGGGGGTTAGTTCAATATTGGCCAGCTTCATGATGACTTGAAGTCCTTTCTCTCCGAACTTTTCGCGAAGATCTAACGTTTCATGGCGAGACTCCTCGGGGTTTTTTTTTTTTTTTGGATTAATTTAGCATGTATAATAACCCAATAACCTCCGGAATCCTGTTTATTAGCTGGGAATGTGCTAGCTAGAGCTTGGTCTTATTTATTTATTTATTCTCTCTAATAATTGTAGCGAAATCACTGGTATATCCAACATGCATTAGGAGTGAACGCTGGCTACGAGGTTATTCAAGCGAACAATAGCACCAACTTGAGTACTGTACATGGAACCTGTGCTGCCTTGATTGACCAACAAGGGGTTCTGCAGCTATCTGGGTACCTCCATTCATGTATAATGGGTGGCTTGTTAGCAAATAGCATGGTACCAGGGTATGTCAAATAGGAAAGCTGCGGAAAAGCCTTATATTGAGAACTATTTCTGCATTACGCACATAGTATGACCATTCACGCAAACAAGTTAGTTGACTGCATTGCAGCTATTGTTCATATTTCAATTACATACTTGTGCATGGTTGATTCAACATAACTTCTATGAAACTACCCCAAACCCGCAACGTTGCTGTCTATCCCCAGTAGTAAGGGGTTGTCATTGACTCTTGTAGATAAATCCCTCACTGATTCAGGGGCCAGATCGGCCCGCAATTATTCGAATCTATTTTTCCACGGATGATCCTCTCCTCTCCTCTCCCCCACTTGTACTGGGCTTATTGCTGGCAGATAGTAGATGTCTGTCATTGCTTTATTTCTACCCATCACCACAATATACGGGCTAGTGTTAGTCCACCCCTATAACAACTGCTCTGGGTTTCCGTCCGCTCATTAACCTCTGTTGGAGTGCTGCACTCAGTGAATGCAACCAGCACCACCATAAAGCAGCATCACCATAAAGAAGAAGATAGCAATACATGACTACTCTATATATTTAAGGCCACCATTTCCTTCTAAATCTCTATACTTTTTCCAAGCATCTCCTTCTCTCTATTTCCTAGTTAGACTAATTAAATCTATTTTAGTTAACTTTCTACTATTATAGTTTAACAACCTCTTATTAGGTTATAAGCCCTCCTTAAGGTTCTATTTTATACTTTATAGATCTCTAAAACTCTTATCATACCCCTATACTCCTGTATAGTAATCTACTCCCTAATTAGAAAGAGATCCTAGTAGAAATATTACCTACTATTATTATATTATACTACCTATATTACTATTATATTACTCTACCTAGGCAATAGTATATAGAAAATCTCTATAATTTAACTAAAATAGTAACTAAACTTACCCCTAGCAGATATCCTGATATCCCTAACTTACTATACCTACCTTTAATAGCTACTACCCTATTTACTAATAGCTAAAATCAAGTAATAAAGCTAAAGAATAGTATATTTAACTTAAGCCTAATAATAGTATTAGAAAATAATTTAAAATTTAAAATTTAGGCTTTATTTATATAAATAGAGTTAAGACTTTATAAGATAGATAAGTTTTTTAAAAATAATATTCCTAAACTATAATTTAATAATCTTAAGTATAAATTATAGGAACTTTTTTTATAAATAATAACTAGTTAAATATTATATTTAATAAATAAGAAATTAGTAAAAAAATTATTAATAAATATTATTTTATATATTTTTATAAATAATTTTATATAAAAATTATAAAAAATAATTATTAATAGTAATTAAAGATATATATACTAGATATAGAAAGAAATTATTAAGATTAAGTATAAGAATTATATAATTATTAATAAATTTATATTAAATTTTATCTAGAAAATAAATATTTCTAATAAATTAAAAATAATTATTATACTCTATTAAGTAGTTATTATAATATTTTAAGAATTTAAAAGAAATAATATAAGCTTTATAGATTTAATCTTAAATAATCTAGATAATAATCCTATTAAAATAACTATATAGAAGTATTTTTATATTATATATAATATAATAAAAAATAAAGTTTAGAAAAATCTATTATTTAATATTATATTTAATATTATAATACTAGCTATAAATATACTAAATTCTTAACTAATAATAAATAATAAAAGAAGGTAATAGTAATAGTAGAAATATATACTACTATAAAATATAATAATTACTAGCTATATTAACTATTAGTTAAAGTAATTTAAAAAATCTAGAATATTATATTTATTTTATAAGAAAGAAAAATATAATACTAAGAATTACTTATATTTAGTAATTAATAAGTAGAAGGAAAAATAGAGACTAACTTTAATACTTTAGTACTTTAAGCTATATAAGTTAAAGAATAGGAATAATTTAATCTAAAATTAAATTATTATCCTAACTATATAAGCTAATATTATTCTAGATACTAATAATTTTATACTATCTAGAGTTAATATACTAATAACTTTAATATTAATTATTTTTAGAAATAAGTAGCTATATAACTCTAGAGTAAGTTATATAATATATAATAATTATAATCTCTTTAATAATTTAATTAAAGATCTAAATAACTTTAAGAATTATAGTTTTATTACCTTTAATAATAAGGTAATATATTCTTAAGATTATAAAAAAGTAATAATTTAATTTAAATTAGATAATAATACTTTAATATTATATTAAATAAAATATCTTTAGAATCTAAATATACTATATAACCTAATACTAGTAGAAAGAATAAAGGTAGAATTAGAAATCTATTTTAACTTAAAAAATTAATATATTTATAAGATAGTAATAAATAAGGTAATTAAATATATTATCTTAAATAATAATATCTGTCACGGTGTAGCCGTGTACCTATCTGGTTAGATTCTGCCCTAACTGTCCGCCTCTACTCCTATATTTAAGCCATGTTGCCCCTAATCCTATTATAGCTCTTTAAGCTATGTCCTTGTCCTGACCTGATCCCTACCTGTTGTATTTATATGCAGATAGCCTGAATATATACCCTGCTATTAGCTATACCTACTGCCTGCCTGCTTCCCGTGACATTACATAGCTCCTACCCTAGGTATAGCTACTACTAGTATGTTAAAACAACCTAAACTACTCCTAATTATAGACTTAGTCAAGGAGTTCATGAGCTATATTACTAATAATCCTGCTATCTAGATTATTTACCTCAGGTCCTATAATAGATATACTAATTCCTTGAAGAAGGAGATTCATGCCCTTTAAAACTAAGCTAATAAAGCTAGCCTGGAGCTAGCTAAGAAGGAGGGAATAGTACTATACTAGAAGAAAGAACTAGAAGTAATCTAATAGAAGTTAATTAAGTCTAAGCATGTATTTACTATACTATAGGTTACTACTATCTTTACTATACTTACTTCTATTACTGCCCCCGCCCCTACTAAACACGCCCCCCTTACTAAAGCTATAGTAGCTAATATAATAAGAATACCTATATTTATTTCTACTAGCCCTCCTCTTAATACCTATTTTAGTAAGAAACTTCCTAATCTATAAGAGTTTAATAGTATTTATTCTAATCTTTACTACTTTATATAATAGATCTATAGTAAAATAAATACTAACCTAGACTATTTTCTGGCTGCTAAAGCCTGACTAATCTATATAGTAGGATATCTAACTAGAAAGGCTTATAAATTAATCCTGTCTAAGATAAGACTTAATATCCCCTAGTTTCCAGACTATCCTGACCTGCTTAATTATCTAGAAATAGTATTTGGAGACTCTAACTAAGTTTAAAATACTTAGAACCGCCTCTATAGTTAGAAATAAAGGAACTTAGACTTTAGTATTTACTTTATAGAGTTTTATTATCTTACTCTAGAAGAAAAAATACTTAATAACTCTCTAATATCCCTCCTAATTTAAAATATCTTAGTTAAACTCTAAAATATATTACTTTATAACCCTACCCTATCCTAAGACTTCTAAGAATATACTAACTACCTCTAGTTACTAGAAAACCACTACCACTAATACTAGCTATAAGTATCCTATTCTTGCCTAATATCTAGTTCCTACTACCCTAGCCTAGTAGTACCAAGGAATCTCCCTAGTTCTATCTTATCTAGTTACCTAGTTACACCCCCCACGCCTAGAAAAGATTTAGATACTATAGACTTATCCCATGCCCGCTGTATACTATACTCCCCTAGGGGAGGATAATATAAGCACAAGGAATATTTCTACTATAAAGATAGAATATACTATATAAAGGACTACCCCTTACTTAACTAATATCCTATATAAATCTAAGAGTAGATAAATATACTAGCATACTATACTAGCCTAATCTTTACTATAATATTACCTGCTCTCTATATTATAGCTTGGAATAACTACCTTACTACCTTAAAGGAACCTAACTAACTATACTCCCCTGATACCCTGCCTAACTCAGAAAATAGAGTCTGCCTAGCTATAGTTACTACCCAGCACTAGAACATGTGTAGAAGCCCTTGCTACTAGATATACTACTCTACCTATTCCATACTATTACTAAATTAACTAACTCCCCTGATTCCTATTATATGCGTGCCAACCT